TTTCAATATTTAATTGATCATGTCGAGATTGTATTGTCTTAAATAGCCATGCACGCTATCAATAATTTGCCATATAACCTGCACGTGATAGCAAAATGTTGCACTAGACAATTTGTACAATGGTTAAAAAAGTAATTTTTTTCAGTCATTAGCCCTGTCTCAACTTAGCTACAGTGTTGCTACTGAAATAGAAAAGTAAACTGCTCTAACTTAATTTTTGGAAGCTATTGAAATATATAGACAAGATTGTAAACACGACTGTCATGCATAGACTTCTAATTGAATCAAAAAATGAGTACTAGTATCTATAAACTGACAGAAATAACGTGGCTATAATATAGACTTTAACATTATTCCCCTGGCAATTCCATTTTGCTTAAGGATAACTATCTATAATGTTAGTTCTTTTGACTATTCGTTCTGTAGAGCTACGATTTCAGGCATTATATCGCATCGCAAGCGCAGGGCTAATAGTAAATACTAAATACTGAAAATTTGCAACTTTTTCCAGGAGTGAACTAAAAGGCATAAGAAATATTTTTATACTAGCTATTAATTTTAAATGCCCTTATCAACTATCTGTTATACTTGATACGATACATCATCATAGTTATTTACTAACTGTTTTGCCAAAAAATTAACCACATACTGTGTCCGTAAGATGTACGGTAATCATTTAATGAATTCAATCACGATTGTCTAGGCTGCAAGTATTAATTAAAATTAACGGAAGCTAGTGATCATTATTTATACTCTTAATCAGTGTATACGGTTCTTTAAGTTTAAACGGGACTATTGTAGCTACTCATTCTATATCGAGCATTAAGAAATAATTTCTAAATACGAAAATCGAACCCTCTGCCTACATGAATTCGCTTCTGTTAGTTGGACTACTGTCTCTACTATCTAAAAGACAGTCAAAAGATCTGAGAAATGATGGATGCTATATCTATTTCTATAATTGCCTGAACATTACCAGTATGATGAATAATGCGAAGACTTTTACAGCGATATATAAGACGTTTAAGCTACGAAATTAAAAGTCTACTAGAAAGAGTATCCGAAAATATGGTAATTAATAAATGAGACGAAATCAGATTAAGAACAAATCTTTAAGAATTTCGCTCTACAAAGCAAACAGAATCCAATTTTTGGGAATACTACTTTCTTTTATCATATCTCGAAAGAAAAGCTTTACGGCTAAAATAACAACAGCTAAAATTAACTAAATTCTGGTAATTTCAGAGCATTAACGAAAATGCCCCAACTACAGTGAATATTGGTTAACGGTTAATTAGCCTATGATTCTGGTCGGTCAACTATTCAGAAACGTATCTCCAATTTTCGTCAATATTACATAAAAATCATTTCTATAAATTCATTTCTGACTTCTAAAGAGAATTTTTATGTAGAAATACTTAAGCTATAAAATCAATGAACTCACTCTTTCCCTTGGACGTTGCTAGCAGAATGACAAACCAGAAGCAAGATAATTACATATCCGATTCGTGATATGCTTGAAGTTTGAACCATAATTGTTTAAGATGACTTAATAATCCCAAGTATATTAACTGTAAATGAAGAAGAAAAAGAGAACTTAACATTAAACTTAAAACGTAGGTTCTAATTCAAGCTTAACCTTTCAAATACCACCATCATATAAAAATGCTATCTACCAACCTAGCGGAATTTAGCCTTTCTTTGAGTAAGATTACACAATAATATATCTATTTATCTATCTAACTATCTAAATAACTATCTAAATAACTATCTATGTATACTATGTGTCGGCTAACTCTTTTTTTTGAATTTGAAATTTGACGGAAAGTGATCGCGAGAAACGAAATGACTAATCCAAAAATCGCACTTTTGAGCGAGCTTTCAACTTGACTTCAGTCAAGATGGACTAATTATTTTGACCGTAAACGAGAATTCTTATCCAACTGCAAACGTGCATCAATCATAATAGAATGATAGTTTATCCAATCATGTATCGAAATCATGCCGCATCATTCCGTATTGGCTCGCATGCATTGGTAAATACACGTGAAAATTTAACAAAACAACTTCATCGGACCAATAAGGTTATTAACACCGTAAAAAATATGGACTTAATTCATAACTTATCCAACTCGTATTGTCACAATTAAATTTAATCGTCGAATTGATTGGTTAGCCATTGATATTTATATTTCTTTCATCGCTAATCCACTCTACGTCTTATTAATGCATTATCAATGTACACTTTTGAATAAGTAGACATAATAAATTATTATGGATAATTGGGCATGATATGCTTAAAAATTAAAAGCCTTAATAGGGCCTAGAGATGCAAATAGGGGTGTGAAAAACAGCTGCTGCTACGTTAGCAATGTTCAGCATCAATACTATACCTTGTTATTGACAACGAATAAATGCACGTGCACAAGTTTATTTCAATTAAGATGAAATTGCGAATTGATTATGAATAATATCTGATAATATGTCTGCTTTAAAAATTGCGACGGTATTACTATTTTATTCTAAAAATAATAAATAAAAACTTTTCATACAGTTGCTAACATGTATTCTATATAACCAATAGTTACGGCTACATATTCATGTCGAAAAATTGTAGAAGACAGGAAGTAAACAGCAAATAACCCTCGCGTAGCTATTTTTATCATTAATTTTAGTACTTTAATTACGCTCAAACTAAAATGTAACTTTCAGCTATAATTGAACCCAGGTCAAGTGAAAAAGAATCATTTCAGCCAATTTTTTAATCCTGTCATTCAGCATGATAAAGAAGTAAAGTAACCGTACTAAGGAAAGAGATTTATTCTTTCCATGAGAACAATTCCTCATTTATAACTATTTCATGCTGCATATTATTTATTTAAAGAACGTAGCAACGAAGAAATAAGCTATGTTTAACAATACAAAGTTCTTATTCAGTTAGGAACATCTATATAATTTACTATGTAATATTAATACAAATGACTTAAGTAGCACTATTGCAATAATTGCTTATTTTAGAAGGCTAATAACGATTCTATAAATGACAGTAGCATAACAAGACTTTAGTTATAAACATGTCTAACAACGCATTACTAATGCCTGGATCGATATAGTATAGAATGCGAGTGATTGACTTTAAATAATTCCTATAAGTCTCTTTACTTAAATCTCTCTAGCTACTTTACAGTCTATGTGTATGATTTACAGATTATTCTTTATTTGTTGTACATACAGAATAACTAGGCCGTAGCAGGAATTACAGTGAAAAATTTTTTGTATAGTACAGTAATTGACTGCCAAATCAAATCTCCAGTATGCGGTATAACTAAAGACGTCAGCAATGTGCGAATTAGTAGGTGAAGAAAACAGTCTTAAATGATAAAATAATCGCATAAATAAAAAAGAACTGGATACTTCTATATCCTTTATTATGATAAGAAATCCAGAAACCTCGTTTATCCCTTATTTAATTCTACTAATTAACTATTAATTTTATCTTTAACTGATTTATTTGTGAATGAATTTTTATTCTCATAATTAAAATTTAAAAAATCACTTTAGCCTAGATGATAGCTATTGATAGTGATGGTATTAGAATATTCCTTGATGGTTACCCCTAAATCAAATATTCGCATTAAAAAGGCGATCAATGTGACTTCTTTCTACTTTACACTATTATAGTATCGAAATATCATAATTAACAATTAAGAGGACAAATCAATTTATATTACAATGCGTAGTCTTCATACAAAGTTTCAGTCGTTTAATGAATGACTCAGCTATCACGAAAGCATATAATAAAAATAAAATAACTTTGTACCGGCATGTATGCGTTCATGATTTAACAAAGGACTGCATAAACAACGCAATCATATTATCTGTTCTAATTATATATTATTCATAAGTATTGAACAATACTTTACTCGGTTTTGAAGAATAACTTGAGTATTATAAATGAATTATAAAGTCAAAATACTTCAGAAAATCTGTCACCAACACATTATTATATTTTTACTAAAAACAATGGATTAATGTGTCTTAAAAATATTTTTAATTACATTAATTAAGTTTTATTTGTTCTCTTTAGCTTAGAGAATAGTTGGCATATTTATCGGTTTACCACCTTTGAAATATTACAGTATATAAACCTATGCCTCTATCATCCGTCATTGTCTTGAAATGAGGTAAACTCTCATATTATTTCGTATTTAATAAATTAAAGTAGTAATACATGCATAAGTAATCTTTATTACAATGAAGAGAAAATGTCGGGATATACCCGCATTCATTCCTATACACGTACATGCAATTGCAAGCATTATCATAGACTATTAATAAAATGTAATCTACTGATGTAATAATCCACTAAAAGTATTAAGTGGTCTATAGCGTTATCTAGCAAGATTTCTTTGTTTGTACTATAAAAGTAAGCACTAGAAGTTGCTAAAATCTGAAACTTTTAATTTTTTGTCCAGTTCATATTAAAATGCAACCAATAGTATCGTTTTTTTCATCTTGTTATAAACTTGTTGCCTTTTGACTACGCTTTTCGAATTCTTAATCTATAAAATGCTAAATTTAGGGTTATAGTATAATAGTAGTTTTTCTTTTGGATTGTAATACAAGGCAATAATGCATAGTTGTACACAGTGGGTTTCTATAAAAGACCGTTTCCATACCGAAACAAAAAATAGTGAAGGATCAATTAACAAGAGCAAGCTTTTAACTACAATATTATAAAATCATGGGCATGACATGAATTCCTAAATACAATATAACTTAAATCCCTCATTGTAAGAAGTAATGTTGTTGATTTTATAATGAGGAGTAAATACATCATATACATAAAAATCGAAAAGATATTTCTAAGTTAATATTCGAATATATTTATAATTTGTAATGTCAATAGCCAAATTCTTATGACTACCGTCACGTTACGATTAACTGGCTAATGTTACTAAATCAGAAAGAGTGACCGCTTCATACTTCATTCCAGCTTTTTGTACATATACAACTCCTCGATCAATGTTAATTACTAAACTACCGAAATTATACAGTAATTTTCCATCTTGACGAGTATTCCGTGTCGGCATAAATATGAGTCCATGATCCTCGGCCTAGAAATATATCATAATTGTAGCGATTATCTTAAAAACAATTTTATACTAAAGTTTGTAATATCTTGCATATCAAGCTATATTTTTCCTACCAATTTCTGAACCATGTCTTTGAATGTCATTTTTTCTGTTTTGGCCCTAGCTACCGCTGCAGCTCTTTCCTTGGCCGCTATTTCGGCAGTTTTCCTATAAAATATAATTATAAACGTTGTTAATTTTTAACACTTACAACGTAGCACGAATAAACGGATATTGCTTTAAAAATTATTAAACCTTACCTGCGCTCAATTGAAGTGAAGTGTGCTAAATTCTCTCTATCATGTGAACGCCCCTGACCATCATCCATAGATATCGATTGATTCATTACATCTAACCCTCTGTTAAATTGAGCCTTAATCGCTGGTAGACTCACTAAATCACTTCCAAACATTTCTTTCCAGCCCTCATACCTAAAGTAAAGCAAAGGATTTGTGATAAAGTTATGTTTAAGGATATACTATAACTGGCGGTAATTTTGATGATAAGTAATAATTAAAGACTTGTAAACTAATATAGTAACAAACCATTTCGTTACTTCTTTATAATTTGGTTTATTGTTTAACCATACCGTTAAAGCCTACGAGTATTGTGTAATCGTAAGAACGAAAAAATGAGCCGTAAATAGATTCTTACGAGAGATTTCTAATACGAAATAAAAATAATTTAGATTTCAGAGCAATGTACACCACTTACTTGCAACCATTTAGGGAAAAAATGTCTTTCCATAAGAGTCACCATATGTTGTTTGGAGACAACATCTTTCCAATCTATGACCCATAAGAATGGTTCAAGATGCTGTTGATGAGGATTAATTACGAATTCAGCTAAACATGCAGCTAACTTGGGTAAAATGGAATTACGTAAAAATGCATCAAACGCATTGTCTTTAAAAACCTAGTAAAATAAATGAATGAATGAATGTTTATCTTTTATCGAAATTAATGCTACATTTTTAACAAGGTAATTTAAATATGAATAAAAAGGTAGATTACTCCTTTCCATGGTTGAATTATTAAGCGTGCCGACTGATCGGAGGGGTGCCAATTAGTTAGAGCTAAAGTAAGCTTATGACGAATAGGCGCTAATAGCGGTCCCAGCTTATCACCTGTTAATGATAAATTTTTTTAAAATCCTAAAATATTTAATATCATTTTAAATAGTTTACAAACCTAACAATGGCAACCATGGATGCACCCAGACATGAATCGGTACTCTATCAGCCACCGGATTCCACATCTCTATTTCATGCTAAGAAGACATTCCAATTGCAAGCATAAATCAATTCTGTTTTAGATTTGTCGTAGTTAATATGGAAATATCTAAATTCATATAAAAGAAATATACCTGCAACTGTGTAAAAATTAGTTGCTCTAATATATTGTTCTTAATCCAAGTAGGTAGTAGGTCTTGCCATAAATTGATAAGATCAATCAATGGCTTCGGGTTTCGAATAGACCTTGTCCTGACAAATATATTAGAATATATATATATATTTAATAGATGTTCTATGAGTATAGTGGATTTCTGCCAAAAATTTGAAGAGATTTTGGTAACCATTCTATCTGTTTGGCTTACCTAATAATGGTATCTCTTACAACCGGTAACCATATCTCCCATATCATTCTATCGAATAAATTCATTGTTGAACCGGTATTATCAAAGCTAATAGGACTGCTATCAGTTAACAAAGCATTCCATTCGATGAAAGTTTTCAAAGAAAATGTTGGATCTTGTAACGGCATCCATCCTCGTAAATATTGTTTAATCTAAATTAAAGGCATGTTTAGATGTACAATTAGAGAAATCTTTAAATAAAAAAATAAAGCAATACATATAACGCTTGAAGAAAATTCTTACTAGAGGATAAACAATGGCAACAGCCAAGTCAGCTAAACCATACATCTATCAGACGAACATTACAGAGAATCAATACAAGACATTTAAAGCCCAAAGTTTCTTTGCTATTAACGTATTATACTACCTCTGATAGTTACGTACTTTATACTCATCAGGAAAGTTCTGTTGTAACTTTTGAAAGGTACTACTACAATCATCTAGGGTTAAAGGATGAGTGCTTTCATTTGACATTCTTTCAGAGCATCTAGGTAGAGTGTGCGAATGTCAGTTGTATAATAACTTTACAAAATTATGTATGATACATATTCAGTAACGAATGGAAAATAGAGGTAGCTAGCCTTACTCGCTAATAATTCTATCCAGCTCTTCTACTCTTTCAACGTCCCTTTGCTCAGCAAATAAAATCTTACTTAAACGTTCTTGCTCATGTCTCATATTTTCAATTGTATTACGTTCACTTTTTAATCTTCATAAGCACGAATTTAAAGAGATAATATTAAAATCTCGCTATTCCGTAGCTAGAGTTTAATGAGTAATATGTCAGGACTCACTGAATGTCTGTCTGTATAATATCGGATTCTGCTAAATCAACCAAGAGGGAAATATTGGATTGCAGTTCCACCATTGAAAAATTAGCTTCTTGAGTTCCTGTAAAAGATTATGTACCGTTGTTGGTTGATAGTGTTACATCTAAGACGGTATATTCTTTTGCTGATTTGCGAACCTGCTAAAGAGGGAATCGACTCCGTAGGTTTTGTAGGTCTCCCTCCTATTGCTGAATACCCTGATAAGACTCTACTTTGCGGTCCAGTCATATCTATTACCTATAAAGTAACATTAAATGTCAGTATAAAGTTATAAATAAGATTTTATAGCGCAAGAGCTATTTCATGTATGCACTCACCTTGTCTTTGCTGCCACTAAAAGTATCAGCGTTAAGTTTATTCGAAGCTCCAGACTATACGTTTATCATTCATGAAAGTAGATATTAGAAAGAATTATGGAATCATCAAGGGAGCAATTGTACGCCAAGAATAATTCGTTAATCAACAAAGAATTGAGATAAGATCGATACCTTTACTTCATCGATAGTCTTGTAGACGTATTTCTTACGAACTTTTGCAGTCTAGAGTAAGGGTATAAAAATCAATTTGAATCTACCTAACAAACCTTGGTCGATTATATGAACATACTGTAATAGGCACATGCGGAGTATCGAAGACTATGTTTTATTTACCTTGCCAGTTTTTTTCCACTTTTGAAGCTCTTCTACAAATTGTTGTTGTTCATCTTCCTCTATATCGTGAGCTGCATACTTCTAAAATAATCAATACTATTTTTTTATAACATGATTACAACTTAGAGATTAATTTAACAGTAAATAAAGAATCAAAAATTGTTTTTTATGTAAGCGTATGAGAACAATAAAAAAGCCTATCGCATATCGATTTAATATAGAAACCTTTTACAGTGTATTGATGGAATTAATATGAATCAATCTCCAGCTTTGAGTTTCATACCTCCTCTGAACCTTTTACCCTTTCTGATCCGTAGTAGGCAAGGCCGCCAGGGCCCTTTCTCTTTGTGACCTCTACTGGCTTAGCAATACCCTATTTAACATCATATATCATTAGTACTACGTTGCTCATTTGTACCAAAATAATCACATAGTCAGCGTCATTGAATAAAGTATCATACACTTGTACAATGTATGTTAGCAGTATATCCTACCTCATTAGCCTTTCCAAGGCCTTGACCAGACTTGAAGCCAAACTGAAAAATACAAGCAAAAGATTGTGATTTACGGGTATACGATTCTAAGTGATAGTTTTGTAATGCCAGGTAAACAGTTAGCCAATGTTTTTCCATCAATGCAAGATTGCTTAGCATTGTAATGCACAACAGTAGAATATGATATAACGGGATCATGCTATTAATAGGTGATACGTTTATCTAGTTTGAGATCAACTATTCGTTGGCACATGATGAATACCCATGTCAGTCTATTTACGGTAGGGTAGCTCATACCTGCAACAAAACCTTGTAAATGGTTCAAAGTTTTCCTTACAATAATAAGTAACTAATAAAAATGTCTAATAAAAATGGTAGGGTAGCTCATACCTGCAACAAAACCTTGTAAATAGTTCAAAGTTTTCCTTACAATAATAAGTAACTAATAAAAATGTCTAATAAAAATGGCAGGGTAGCTCATACTTGCAACAAAACCTTGTAAATAGTTCTAAGGTTTCCTTACAGTAATAAGTAACTAATAAAAATGTCATTATAGTAGTTCCGGCGATCACTATTTCATCGCCTATCATAATATCTAGCTAACGATACGCGATAACTATATCATCAATGTATATATATATGATACATATAACTTTGCTGTACTGTATACAGTAGTAAAGTTGACTGACGCGATCCCGAATCAATTCTGTAGTAAATAAGCTAAGTGTAAATTTCAATTAAGACAGATCCTGCGCGCCCAATAATATCAGGTTTCATGTTCAAAGTTACGAACCTTCTCCAGATACTTTTGGCCGAAACCTTTAGTATGCGCTTGCCATTTACCAAAATCCCTACGTCAGGGTATCCAATATTGCATATGAATCAGACAATATAATCGATTCTCTTGTACACATACAATATATCATTCTATCCTTATCGAAAAAAGATCATGATCAAATTTCTCTTACTTATCAGGCCTCTTTAAGTTTTTATTCTTGGCGCTTACAGTGGCATCTATTGCAGAAATACAACCCAATAAGTACATAGAGCTCATGGATAATTCAATTCATTGAACATTGCTTGATCAAGTCTTTGAGAATACACGAATGCTGCTGACTTACTATTCTTGGCCTTGGTCGTACTTTGAGTGGATTTCTTACTACCAAAGTCCTTTGGTACTTGCTTGCTATCATTCCCTGCTTCTAATAATGACTGTAATATTACTTCATCGGCGTTTCTATCGTTGTCGCTATCCTCATTACTAGAAATATCAACATCTTGCTCCGATTTGGATTCTTGACTGCTTTCACCTTTGACACCTCCACTAATAAAATTGACCGGTTTGCTATAATCTTTCCCTTTCTTCCTATCGTCGTAACTGCGATCAGGTGCAAAGACGCCATAGATAGCATCTTCCTTAGTAAATCGATATCGTTTCCTATCTGGATTTAATTCCTCTAGATCATGATCGGTTATAGCAAAGTCTTCCACTTCGATATCAGAATCATCCATTCTACCAAGTGTTTCCAACCACGGTCATTGAGCGACTGATGAGATTATTTGAGTGCATGCATGCAGCTTGAATACTTTCCATCAATAGCTCGATGGCATCCGTGTTGGCTCATATGAAATTGATTGCTGCTACAGCTTGCCATACAGTAGTCTATTACCGTTGGTAGGCGATGAGTGCCATTTCATGGACTTCTAAGCTTGAAGAAGATCCAGACATTTGGATAGAGCGTACAGTGTACAGTACAGTCACAGTACTAGTCGGGCATAGTACTGTAATTTGATAGTACTGTACAGTACACTGTACAGTACTGTATAATACTGTATCGTACCGTACCGTGCCATGCCGTACTGTACACGGTTTGGTGCGATCCCATGGTGGATTGGCTGAATGGCTTTTCTGTGTGTCCGGAGAAATGTTCCACAGCAGCTGTTCATTGAACAATGTTCAGTAGGGTGGCTGAGGAGGGACCAACCACTTTTACTCTTCTGAGAAGTGTTCATTTATTTTTACTGTACAGTACCATTAAGTTAAGCTTTATAAATAACTGTACCATTCAGTTAAGCTTTAGAGAAGATCCTGGCATTAGATTGAGTGTACATTCACAGTACTAGTCGTGCATTGTACTGTACTGCATGTTGCGCAGCAGCTGCAGGATTGTTTTGCGTGCGACATACAGTACAATACAGAACTGCAATGGTAAACCGCAATCAAATAGTGAATTGCTGCAGCATAGCACTATACAGGATTACGGATAATCCTGTATAGTACTATGCTGCAATCCATAATATCCTATTCGCGTGAATTAAATTATAAATTGGTGGAGCTGCAGCATAGCACTATACAGGATTACGGATAATCCTGTATAGTACTATGCTGCAATCCATAATATCCTATTCGCGTGAATTAAATTATAAATTGGTGGAGCTGCAGCATAGCATTATACAGGATTACGGATAATCCTGTATAGTACTATGCTGCAATCCATAATCCTATATAGTGCTGTGCTGCAGCTCCACCAATTTATAATTTAATTCACGCGAATTGCATACGACATAACAGTCATTACTGGTAAATAGAGTTGATTGAACGCTGAGTATAAAACGTCGCGAATTGGATACAATACGACAGTCAGGACCGGTAAATAGAGCTGATTGAACGTGGAGTATACGTATAAAACGTATTGATTTTGACGCACACTACAGCAGGGACTTGTCGATTTTGGGGAACACGTTTGGGTGCAAAAATGGAAAAAAAATCGACAAGCCCCTGACTACAGTCATTGCCGGTAAATGCTGTTTGTATACCTGATTGAGCGTTCAGTATACTCATAAAACGTAGATGTGATTGGCAATGTGTTCAATAACATACTGTTATTTGTGCGTTAATATGTATGGGCAAACGGATCATGATCATTATCATTAGCCTAACAGAAAGTTCATTCAAAATTACAGAAGATTACTTCTGAATATCTATAAACGAAGCACAAACATACATAATAAGTACTGAGAAAGCAAGAGAGACAAATTTAGTGTACTGTACATGGACTAAAAACATCAACTCAACGTTATCATGGAGAAATAAAAATATCACCATCGTGATAGTGCCATAGACTACTAAAAAAACGCATCTTACTATACCATCTGGTGCATCTAGCAGTTCCATGACAGTATACTGCAGTGTGGTGCATTTTTCTATAGGTACCCGATTTACCGCACGATACATATACACGTACATGTAGGTCTAATTGTCCACTTTTGAAGAGCAACGTGAGCAGCATCATTGCTTATTTGGTATAGTTTTATTATTCAATTTCTTGATTTGAATCTTATTCCAACTAAATCACACTGTCTAAAATTAACCTAAGCGGCTAATTTGGATGACAATTATAGACAGTACTGTAGACTGTAGTGTACCGTTTCAGATAGACAGTTCACTTGAAAATGACCGGCAAAAATGGTCAGCTCTCTTATTTTCACACACTGCACGACCGTTCCTTGTCCCCCTCTTTCTTCCTTCTTAGGACTCCCTGATCGTTACTAACTGCGGCATGATTGGAGGCAACAGAAACCATGAACTTTTAGTAGTCCATGACCGGTCTGTACCATATACAGTGAACGAAATTAAGGCTCAATGAATCATAAGAGGTTTTAGCTTCATTTCTGCAAGAGTTTAGCTTGTCAATAAATATTCTGATAAAAGACTCAATTATTCAAATTATATACCTACTGTACGAGACACTCAGAGCTTTATGGCGCAAGCATGATAATCGATATCGTATCAAAATACTGCAGAAACCGCTTTATAATGGCGTTACAGGATCTACATAAATCATTACAGTACGAAAATAACTGCTTCATGAAGACGTTTACAGAATCTGCCGGTTATACGCTATTAATAGCCAAGTAAAGTATAGTTAGGCTGGACACAAAATGGACAGAAATCAGGTTGCACCAAAGTGACATGTCTTACAATTTTCGTAATGCTTAGATTGTCACCATGAAACTGACAACATATAGTATAACTTAGTCTATATCGATCGATGATAATTCACTACAATGCATTATTCAGGCATTTCTTAAATATGATTTTGATTAAATGAAAACAGGATTGAGTACAATTCGTAATATTCTCGTATAACCATTTCAAGTCAAATGCTAGCCAAAATGGCAAATTATGTACTTCTATGATATACGAATACGAGCATGTATGTTACACGCTGTCCAAAAATTGACGATTACGAAAGTTATAAACTATCCCAGCATAGTAACTGTTATTAAGTTTAATGATAGCTAAAAATGACAGTATAGTTATTATTTGGCATACTGGATTCGTACTGCATATCACAATTAACCATAAATAATAATAACCGTCTAGCACTAATGGATTTATTGCGGTACATTTATACTGCTATCATACCTATTCTAAAACGTCTAGTAGCGAGTACTCATTGAAAGATACAGAGGTTGCCTTGCACTTTTCTTGTAACAGTCTCATAGATTATAAAATGGAATCAGCGTAGCTCACAAGATGAATAAATCCTCAAGAATTGCCCATATAAATTAAAAATTATTTTATTTATTAATACTAGTAGCAAAATAAATTCTCTATCCACTGTTACCATACTTATGGTTAGGTATCTAGGAGTAGAAGGTGAAATTCTGTAGGTGACAGTCATATTAATTAGTTAATTATTAATTATTCATCCTGCCTGAATTAGAATATTTTACACCATTTTTCGAGGTTAAAGAAAACAAGAAAGAAATGTAAAAGAGCTGAAATCCCTATGTTATATCGCTACCTTATTATGTTGGTAATACATAAAACATGTGAAAATTTTAGACACAGTATACAATACAATACATTAAGAAAAGTAGTAGTGAAAATTGGACGGATTTTAAAAATAATAATTGATACATAATAAAAACCATCGTAAAAAATAAAAACGGAACCTTAATTGACCAAGTACCAATAGCTAATATCAAACACTAAACAGGACAGTGTAGTTCTTGACTGAACTTTAAGTTTAATGCTTGTAATACATTGATACGCTCATTCTTTCATTATAGAAACTACCATCTTCTTTGATAGTATAATAATAAACTACCATATTAATAATATCAATCAGCTGCAGGATGTACTATTAATATTGTAATGTACTCGTGTGTAACTAAGAACGGATGATAATTAAGAAATTCAACAACAACAAAGATGTTCACGTTAAAAATAGATTGATTTTAACCATAATTGTCAACACGTAAGTATTCAAATTTTCAAGAGAGGAAAGATGCAATGTTGATTTAACCGTATGTATATTACAAAAAAACATTAAACCTGTCTTCCTAATAAGTCATATTACTCTTAAAATAAAACACGTAACATTAGCCGACCGATCAATGGCTACTACGTATAATTAAATCGTGTACGTTATTATCCTACCGTTAAAAAAGGAATATTTTGTCATATTGTGGTCTTTGGTAATACGTAGAATAGTTTCCATATAACTTAATCCGTACTAACTTATCCAATTGTGAAAGTATCTATTTACTATGGTGGATTTAATTGAACTTCATATTTAGCCTTGGAAAGAGATCCACTTGGTATACGTACAGTGTAACATGATGGATCATTCATGTCTCTGAATTTCTCGCGATTATCTTTGAGCTAATTTGTTGATTGCGAGTAAAATTTATAATATAGAATGATCTTACCACACAGTTCTTACAAAGTTACCATAAAATAGTAGTGAATACTTCGTTACTATGTAACATAGAATTAAAAGAGTAACCTCCGTTATAGGATTGATCTAATAAAGTGATGCACATTGACGATGGAAGAATGGACAATGATTGGCGGTTATTTATGAAGTATATAGTATTTCGGTGTCTGTCTACTTGATGTAATTCCAGTAGTTTTGATAAGCCATAAAATCAGTCAACAAGATAGGGAAATAACCAATGGCATTAGTATCTACGTGTAGTGATTACACTTGTGTAGGTCTTGATATTTCCAAGCTGTTCTTTGAAGATCTTCGATCATCTTGTCGCTGTCTAAAAACAAAATTATTGGCATCTCGAGGCATTTTCTTTGCATAATTTGTACGATCCATTAATTCCGGTGTAGTGTTAGCTTGGCCAGATTGATATGATTTTGTAAGATGATTTGGTGGACGCCATGGTGATTGAATAGCGGTAGGATTGAGTGAATTCCGTAAGTTTTGACCATGGATTTTATCATTAGCCTGGCTTTTCTCACGATAACTTGAGAAGGCTAAACTACCTTGACCATTACTAACGTGTGTTGGTGAATTAACAGCGTTAGGCTGCGATAGTGCCGATGAAGAAGAACTACCAGAATCAATTCGACCATTTCTATCTTTACCATTAACTAAATCACGATATGGAGCATGCTTGGGAGTCTTATAGAGCCGCGAAAATTCGCGCTGCTGTTCTATTTGTCTCTCACGAAATTGTCGCTCCTCATCACGACGTTTTTGTTGTTCTTGCGCTCGCTGAAACATTGGTTTACTGTCGCCTTCGAAACGGTTATCAGATCGACTAGACTCACGATGTGTATTATGATTTGGTCGTCTGCCTGTGTTAACATCTTTGAAATCCGTTGTGTGATCATATCGGTCGTTTGGTTTCGGTCTTTGATCTAAGCCATTAAAATGAACGTTGTTCGAAATGCGTGAATGCGTTCCATTTGGTAAATATTTATCATTGACGTGGTTGTGATTGTGATGGCCATTAGCTTGAACATGATTAGGTTCTGTACGTGGAGGTTGATAGCTTCTAGGTCCATTATCTGATTCTTTAGTTTCTCCTACTTGTGAATTATGATCTATTCTTCTAGCAATAGGCGGCAATGAAGTTTGTCGAGATGATTTTTTATTAGAGGAGTTATCTTTGCTGCTCTTTGATCTTTAAAGTAGCAGAAAAATACATGTTAATTTAGAAAGTAAAATGCCAAATACTTATAATACAATCTCTAGGATTTCTATTTGATCCATTATAATTTGTACGGTTGATTTTATAAATTTCTAACTTTAACGAAACAGCAATAGCTTATAAATTACAAATTATGACTTATTGCTTACTTAAAAATTCCCTTAAAGAAACCGGATTTCTTCTTTTTAAGCGGCGCGTCCTTTTTAACAGGTTCATGATTTTCTCCTAATTTTCCATTACCGAGGCATATTTTAAAGATTATGACATATTTGAATTAATTTTGATTATAAGTGTTGCACAATCCTGTCATAATAATCATGTAATATGACTGCAATATATATATCTACACAATATAAACGTGTTATTTTATAACTGACCTCTACCATTTTTTGGCTGTCTGTCGCTCAACGCGTTGCGAAAGCTATTATTGCATGGGCGATTTCTATGTATATAAATTGTAGATCATTGAAAAGTAATAAAATTTTAGTTCCTTCTTTTAAACTGAAATAAATTCTATTGTTCAAAGCTTGCAATGTTGAATAACAATCAATATCCAAAGGATTATAAGTGTAAAAATAAATACGATTGACTAATATCAAATTATAAAGTTAAAAATTGTAATTGTTCTACCTACCGATTGATGTGATTCTCCGATTCTGGATGATTTTGTGAATTTGGTAAATATGTAGTACCGGAGTCTACTATTCAAATTTATTTTAATAAATAACCATAAATTAGCCAGTAAGCAATTTGTTACAGACTTAGGTTTGTATACGTATGTAGCGTGTCATATTTAACTCAATATTTAGGAATAACTATTCCTACATGAAATTGGGTCATGATTTCTTCTGAGTTCTTCTTGTCGATCTTGGTCACCAGTATTTGAAGCATTACCCATCAAATCCATGCTTCGAGACCTAGCAGCACTTTTTAGATTTTGAAAGAATGGTATATCTTGAGCATTTCTAGTACGGCTATGGCGTTCAGAAAATGAATGCCGTTCAGGAGCGTCTCTTGCGAACGCCGATCCATCTGGTTCAGGTGAAATGGATCTATCCGGTATGTCATGATCTGTGTAACTAGATACCTCAGGTTTATTGCTAATTTCTACCATTTGAGGTGAATCCCGATAACCTTCAGGTGGCAGTGGGCTGTCCATGACATCGTAAGTGTTAGGATTAGAAAGATGGTGATAGCCATCAGTTTGTTCCGGATCAGTTGGAATTACAGATAATGTCGCATTTGCATAATCAGCTGCCGGGTTAAAAGATTTTGGTTGTTGTGGAACGCTGCGTGGATCATCATTGATTACAGGATCAGTTATATAATTTTTCAAAGGAGATGGAAGATGGCTATCATTAGTAAAGACCACATCATCTAGAAAGTCTTCGGGGTGACTATTCTTGAAATATGTATCTTGTGATGGATTAGAAAGTAAATGGCTACTATCCATTGTGTCGCTGATCATGGAGACTTGTGTTCCTGTATGCCTCAAAACAGCAAAAGTAACAAATCCTGCCCTCTCTATGGCATCCTTCATGATTGCTTTTAAAGTTGACATAGCCTCGTCATTTGCAAGATGATTTAGCGAGATATTATTAACCGCAATGACACGATCATCCTTTAGTAACCTGCCATCCTAAATAAAAATAACGACTCTAAGTTTTAAGATATATTCAAATTTATAAATTGCAATAGATGCAATAGATATTCAATTACAATGATTATATCAGTTCTCTCTTAGATCATTTCTTAATGGCTATGTAACTAGTGATGTTCTTAATTAAATATTTTTATTTTAGCTAAAGTTTATAATAATTTCGGTATGAAATGTAACTCTTTGATATTAGCAATACCTGGTCTGCTGCGCTCCCGGGCATAATTGCTTTAATAAAAATACCAGCATCCTTTCTGCCAGTGGGCGATGAACTATCTTCATTCAAAATACGCCCTTTCACATTGATGCCTAATCCACCTGCAGGAGACGTTCTTAGCTTAACCTGGATTATTTCAGTATGCATTTGAAAATCTTCAGGAATAATCGGTGCAGGTTTTGGTTCAGTAAAAGCATGATCATTAGGAGTAGGCAATGGCTCTAAGGACGACATAGGAGTGACTGAACTAACTGGATTCGGTGAACTATCATTAATTTCTTGTGGTTCTGGAACTACTACTGGTTGGTTTGGCGAAACATCTTCAGATGATACTTGATTATTTGTTGATACCTAATTGATAATAAGTGATCTAATTAGAAATTTATAAGTAAGAAAATAACCATTTTAATTGTAAGAGGGATCACTTACTGCAGTATCTTCATTTTCTTGATCATCTTGTCTTGACACAACCAATCTTACAACTCCTATACAACTTTTGAGTAGGGCTACGACTTCATGTCGACTCTTATTAACTACATCCATATCATTAACCTAAAGGACACCAGATTGATGATAGATAACTTTGATTATTTCATTTAATTGCAATACTGAAAATAGTGGCCTCTTTCGACTTTGTTACAGTGTTAGATATCAATAGTAATATAATAATAATTTAAGGAACGTTACTTAATTAGCACCAGAAATAATAAAATCCTGAAATTGCTGAGACGATGAAATTAACGTCAGCAATACCTCTAATAAGCGATCTCCAATTTTTAATCGACCATCTCTTGCTGCTACACCCTTTGATACTACTTTCTTGATGTAGATTGGTTTATCATTTCCTGTAGAATTATCACGACTCGTTATAGTAAAACCAAGCCCTTCTTCACCTACAGTTAAACGAAATAAAGTACAACGAAATTAAAATATTGTAGCTACTAATACGAATACTGTTGATCTCAGTAACTACTTCAAAGTAAAATTGAATCTTCAATTCAAGAAAAGATGCTACCAATATAAATGCGAAATTCTCTCTCTTTCAGCAATTATAATCGCAACAATAACATTTTATAACGATCTATTACTTCGATTAAATTATAATACATTTGCAAGTAATTCTGATTGATCTAAATCGTATCTATTCACAAATAAGGATTTTTCTTACCTTTAACTAAATCGATAGTAACTCTTTTACCAATCCTTTTAGTATTGGCAGATAATGGCATGATAGTTTTACCTAACAAATTAATTGTTGCACATATTACACGGGGTACGGTTATCTACTTAAGTATCAATTTCTAAACTGATTCTATTAATTTTAGATAAAAATAATTCATTATGGTGCTATCTGTACTTCGTAACTAACCAATTTTATCTAATATCTTTCCTTTGTTTTCGTCATCGCTAGTCCCGCTAGATCTATCATGACTTCCATCATCTATACATTAAAAATATGAAATTACTACCAAGTTCTTGAACTTATTTCAGTTTTATTTTCCATCTTGTACAGAATTAAGATAATAATATAAAAGCAATATCTTAAATGATGCAAATGAGCTTACAGTGAGTACTAGGCTCCTTAATATTTTTATCATTGCTTTCATTTTCCTATATGATGCAAGTAAAATAGTTATAAAAATTGGGTTGTTTACGGTATTTTATGCTGGAAACATAGATAATATAGTTTTAAATATAGTAAAAGAATGTATCCAATGCATACTCCTCTGTCTTCCATTTCTGTTAATTTACGATCTTGCTCCTCAGCCCAGTTAGATAACATTGGGTGATTTAATCCTAGTGACCTTCTTGAAGTTAGCCCTTTTGTAAATCGATCATCGTCTGTAGCCGAATTGTCTACGGGAGTGCTAGTTGAATTAGTAAATTTGGCGCCTTGGTTGTTTGGTTCATTTCCGTTATCGATCTGGTGATCTATATCATTAAAAAGTAACTCCTTTTAAACTGAATCACACTAACACTAATAGTACTTTTTTTACTACGTTCAAAACAACATACTGCACATCTTTACGATAATAATTATTACGAGAAAAATGAACACGGTAACATACCGACAATCGAGTTAAGATTGCGAGGCATATGATTTATTTCTGCTGTAAACATTTCAGGGCTAGCTGTGCCATTAGACGAAGCACTTGGAATATCAGTGACATTAAGCCCAGCATAGCGACCTGGTCGGTCTTCTTCATAGTTAGCAATGACCTAATTCAAATCAGTACCATCAATTCAGTTATATCGAATGATAAAGCTTATCAAGTATTACGACAGTGGTTGATATGAAATATAATTAGCAAACTAGCTGCAATTACCATATCACGATCGTCCAAGACTTCGTTAACTAGATCATCATCATCTAAGATAGCGTGATCTTTTGCATCTTCTACTGATCTTACATAAACACCTTCACCAGGTAGCTAGAAAATTAGAATGCGTAAATAGTCATCATTAATATGATAAAATATTATTATATTATCTATTAATTCAGAGAAAGGGAGAGATATCCTTTCCAAAGCAAGGGTAAATGACGATTTGAAAGTAAATGTTGCATTAGTATATGCATGAATAAACAGCACTCATCCATCATATTATCTATTAATTCAAAGAAAGGGAGAGATATCCTTTCAAAAGCAAGGATAAATGGCGATTTGAAAGTAAATGTTGCATCAGTATACGCATGAATAAACAGCACTCATCCAATACAGTGAGTAAATTATATGCTTAACCTAAAAGATATAAATACTAATATTTAACTTTTTAAAGACATACTAAATAATAATCCTTACTAATATAATAGAATGTAGTCTGGTAAGAATATTATCTAACCTGACTCTATTAATATAAGAAGATTCAACGGCTATTTTCTGGTATTAGTAACTTTATAAATTAGCTTTAATTAAAATTTTAAATTTATTCCCCCCAAAATATTATGCTGTATTAATTTATCTCTAATAGATTGAAAGAATATGTTGAGAATACGATGTTAATCAAGTATTCAAATAGGTTTTTGTTTGATTTCTATATTCTAGAGATGTGATAAGATCTTTAGCTTTATCGATAGATGATATATTTGAAGATAAGCTATAATGGAGACACATTTTAACTTTCCTAGTAGCTATTACAGGCCAAACGGTGTTGTACCACACATCTGCAAGGCACTGTGACAATACTTGGTAGACTATATAAACTAGCAATTACATTCTCTTTTATAACGATCGTTAATCTATACATACTTTTAAAATCTATCAATACAAACATAAGATTTCGTAATATCTTTGTTAATAAATAGCACAATCATTTCTATTTAATAAACATCATTTTTTCCCATAAATTTTATAGATATTTAATAATCTATTTTTCACATCATGTAGACGATATTGCCATGTTATATCACTGTGAGCTTTTTTGTATCATAGTTAAAGTAAAACTAAATCAATTAATTATTCAGGTATGAGGCATTAGAATCTAATAAATTTAGAGAGTGCATTTAATTTGATAAATGATTGATTGGTATTACATAAGGGGAAAATATGTAATGATAGCATGACAGTAGGACATATCTATCTCTATTTAATCTATTTATTAACTATTGATTCCAATTATGAACTCAGGTGGGAAAATTTGAAAATATTCTATCAAGCAAAAGATGGCAACAAGATTAAAAAGAAAGTCAAAGAACAATATGATCAGGAGCAATGGGATAGTCTATTCTTCTAATTGATCTATAAAGGAACAGTATATACATGATAACAATAATTGATTATGTAGGTACTATTTTCAACTAGCAGTTGTTAACAATCAATATTATCTTTACCAACTTATTCTAAACGATTAAGATAGTCAATTATAAAATAATTTAATAACTGAAGAATTCACTATGTATCGTGTATGACCGTTATTATTCAAGAATAACAATCCAGTAGTCAAGAGCCTTATTTTTACTTACAATTAAGTTAGAAAGAAAGCTTTCACTCAGTTAAACAGATGTTGATACAGTTATATGGTGTAAATCATTTACGTTTATTTTTTTTAGACGGTTAATTCACTGCTGGTTGATAGTATAAATTCTTTTTTGATCACTACGATCGAATTGTAATGTAGCTAGTGTGCTAAGAACAGAGGGAACAGTTTTAATTTAGAATTAATTTTCATATGGTAGTACTCTTATATTACATAAGCTTATTAAGATAATTTAAAGGATATTGATTGTGCATGATTACCCTAGTGGAGCGTTTGACAAGTACTCCAAAGTTATTTCAATCGACTATATTAGTAATAATTGATTTCAATGATATCTTAATTTTACTTTGTTGACAAAACGTTTATTGAGGTATTAACATACTCTTGTTATTGAAAGAATTTAAATTACTTAAACACTATCAGATGATAAGATAGGAAAGGAAATAATTCAAAGGAATAGATCATTAGTGATGGCAATGATGTTATGATCTTTGATTTTAATTTAGACTACTCTATGGTTGTATTTGAGCCATTACCGTTATACCAATTTACGAAAAGAATTTGTTGCAATCTTTTCATTAAGACAAATCCACTATAACACTGATCTATCTATAGAATCGGTGTACCCTGGGGTGAGAATTTACGCCTAAAGTCTGCCCTTATCGATACTATCGCCTAAGTATACGTATATGTGTACTGTAGTTTTTTTTTAAATTACGCTTTACATAGTTTGTGTAATAATTATTATAGGCGAACCACATTAATTTGTAGGTATTTTTCTATTACTTTTCACAGTATCAATTATTTTTTTTGGAATCTGCAGTTACTTAAGACCATTACAATAAAGAAGTAATTGAACTTCTGTACTGTATACTAGAATATAGATTTTTCATGAATTTTATCTCAAATTTACAACTATAATGTAGATGGAGTAGATATTGAAGAATTCGTTTTTCTAATTCATCGTATTATATTAAACACTTAAGAAAATGATAAAAAATCTTTCGTTTAGTGGTAATCTTAACTTGTCTTGACGCTGATAGAAGATTGACATGTTACTATACTAAAAGTTGCTAAGCGGCGTTTTAACCCGACTAAACAAATTCATTACCGTATTAGTATTTAAACTGCATATACTATACAGTGATAGGCCTGATAGTTTAATCATCGTGCCATTAATTTAGACCATGACAGTTCTCAAATAGCTTAGCGTTAAATTTTGCAACTAATAATTAAGTAGGATAACAAAACAGCGTATATGTATATTGATATTGTCAATGTTGTATGTGAGCGTAATATTAAAGAAAAAACAGTATGCCCATCAACTTTAAAGTCAAAGTTTGGTAACGCTATTGATCACATTGGCGTTATTTACATGTGTTAATTACTTTTTCTAGCCATATCGAAGTTATTTTTTGCAATATTAAACACCTTGCTAAAAAAAATGGCTCTCGGATAAATTTAAGGGTCTGAATAAATTAAAGAGCTAAAGAAACTTTTCTTAATTTACCTTTTTGGTCACTTTCCTATATCGATCCACAGCTTTTTTAATTAAATCAGAAATTCGAAGGTCACCACTACTGCATGGCACCAAGATACGAATTTCACCGAAAATAACTGTTATTTTCATGGTGAATTTAATTTTCTTGTTCAGCAAACACTATTTCTCGACGAGTAATTACGTTAAAACTTGATTTGAAGACTGCCAGTCCAAACGTAGACTAAGTTCTCATACGAGTAATGGATGCTCTGTTGAAGATATTACTCATGAGACAAGTTTACTTTTTGATTGCTCTACCTCTTGATTTTTCTCCTTTTTGTCAACTTATAGTGGAAATAATTATTAAATGAGTTTTTTCTCTTACAAACATTATTTAACCTAACTAACGATAGCTAATGCCATCGCTAGCCTTTACAATTTTATGTCTATTGCCGTAGTCTACTATACTTTCGGCTTGATTTGATGAAGTGACAGTTAATCCATAGAGTGATAATGTTAAGGAGTAATACTTGTCAATTGTTTGGTGAATGTTGTTGCTTTCTTCTCAGTATGATATTCTTCTTTACGGCTGATTTTAGATAAAAATAAACGTGCTTAATTCTAACTTGGTAGTATAATGTAAAGAAGGAAATGCGTTAGTGCAAAATGATAGCCAGTATGATCCTTGGTTGATAGGTGGCCAGCCAATAAGTAAAGAAATGAAGTGAAGTAAGTTTGATAGAATGTAATATCTATAGAGAGAGAAATCGATATAAACAGAATGAGAATTTGTTAAAATTGGCTTTGTTCACGTAATCTATACGAGTTGTAATAAGATGACATGGATAGGAAATAAATTGCTATTTGAGATTATAAGACATATCAAAGATAGCTCGGATTTCTACACCAATTAAATAAAATGGAATAATAGATATACGAATGGGTTATCATCGACAACAGATTACTGTAGACTATGGTAAATTATGTCGACTATCTCTAGATGATCAAGTTGGCAAAAATTGTATTGAAGCCAATTTACTTGTTTAAATAGAAGTAGTTGCTATTCAATCGTCAGAGAAAGAACTTTCTAAAAAGCATCTCTACTATCTATACTACCGTTATTAACGTTAAAAGTACAAGATACTATTAGCATATGAACCGATAATTTAAGTAAAAAAAAAAGAAAAAGGAAAGAGTAGTAAACGAATAGATCTAATGTCAAGCTATTTTACTTGCCTTCTCCAGTAGTACAATCTGACTTGACTGGAGGGTGGTAGAACCAATTTATTAAAGCGATGGGGTCGACTAACTTTTTTAGAATCTTACTATTAAGTGATGGTACTGCCCTATTTTTCAATAATAGACTAACATTCCGCGTTCCTAGTCACACTCCGTGATCATATTCACTCTTGCATTTGCTTAACTATAATAAGGACTATCGATGTTTAGAAGGATACATACAAACATAAGCGATTTTGTATAATAGTTTACAGTTGACTAAACTGCATTCAAGACAGTATAGAGAGAAAAGACAAAATGGGAGGAGGGGAAAATAATAAAAGAGATAAAAATGTGTCGGAATCAATGCTTAGCGATGATGAGTAAAAAAAAGAAAATGATGTAACTGTCGGTGGTAGACTAGTAGCCAGTTATGGTCATCTGTACGATAGTTTTAGCCTACTCAGTATACTGTACTGTAGAAGAAGGAAGATTATTGATTTTATTATTCATCTAGCCTAACAATACTATGGGATAGCGTCATAATAGCATAGAACCAATCATCAATTAACCACGCCGATAGAAATACGTTCATGAATAGATTTATGGTTCTAAGCTTCTTTTATCCATAATAATAAAATCGACATGCATGCATTAGTTTGAATTTGATTTGCTTAAAATCATGTTACTATTCTATTCTCCTTGTAGACTAACTATAAATAGTGACTTCGTTTTCAATAGAATATGTGCTTGATACAGCTGCAAGTGGAGTATAAATAGTATTGATCAGGCCTGTTAGATAAATAAATTCTTATCCCATTTAAAGCCATCCTATCAAATGATCTGTTGATTGCATATCCGTTATAGTATAAATTAATGAAGTTGAAAAACAGGCTATGCGCGTGGAGAAAAGGTTACTTTCTGATAACTGATTAAGACTGTGATTTTAGTTGTAATAGAATTAGGCAGAAATCATTAACAGGATTAATTTTCCTTGTTGTCAGCATTTGAATGCAATGCAACATTGTTATTATATATAATAAGTAAAAGAAAAACTTGGCGATGCAAGTCTTTCACGACGATACATCAATTATACTTTAAAATTGCTCGATATTTTCTTCTTTATAATCTATTTGCAAGATAAAGAGATATATAAATATCACTTTTTGCAGGCGCTAGGCATTAAAATTTATCGCAAGTTTTGTATTTTTTCGTGAACTACTTAAATTACAACTAATTCAATTATGGATGTGAATTTTGGTATTGAAAGACATTTTTCAACAGAAGAGAATAATTGTGGCATGTCTGTTGGTATACCGTACTGTATTACTAGTGAAGGTGTTAGGCTATGGTCAACATCTTGTAAAACCATATGTTCCATCTGAGTTCAGAAATGATTTTTTAAGTAAGCTTAAATTGGTCCTTTAGCTCCTGAATCAGATCAGGTTTTGGGCATATCTCATACTACTTATTATTTAACTGGATAAGACACATGCTTCTAACAATCCATGCCATCATCACATATTGATTCCAAAGAGAGCTCTGCAACCTGTATTCGTTATTAACGTACATTCATAGATGATGCAATTATTTTATTTTATTTTCATATTGTTATTATTATTATTGTGTAGTCTAGTATTATAGACAAATGCCAATGTAGTCACCGTCAGAATTAATGATTGTAATTAATTGATCGCTCTGCGGTAGAGGAATGATTGGTTATAAGATGGAACTGTCGATCAAATGCCATAAGATTAATCCTAATTTCTCTGTGGGGTGCTATTTATATGTTGTGCTATTCAAATTTCTGCCGTAACGCATTCATAATAATTGTTGCATTTGAATCAACAGCAATTTAATCTGCAGCCATCGTCTGTTACTGTAATTATCATGTTTATTTCAGCCATAAACCTGTGGGATTCCGGCATGGTGGCGTTTTGATTAATCCTAGTATAGTTAACAAGATACAGTTGAACGTATTGTAAGCCAGTAAACTAGATTTTGTAGAAGATTGAACTTATTTGATAATGAATGTTAAAATATCGAGCATTAAAGGACGATTCAAAGTTTATCTTTTCAATAAAGTAATTAAAATGATAAATTCTGTTAAAAGAACAGTATTTAGGTATGTTACTTTATTCAAGAGATACGGGCACAGTATAAATATGGAAGCTTCATATGCTTTGGTTAGCTAAAAATGAAGAAAGGTTACAACTATAGTAAGTAGCGGTATGCTCACTGATATCCCTTCATAAATTTGATCGTAAATGAATTATGGTTTTATCTCACTTGACTTGGCTTACACTGATGAAGAGATTGAACAGGTTTTTCAATAACATGATTCTCGCTTCCTGAACAAGCTTGTTTTTGATATTAATGAATTAATCAAACTTTCATAATATAGTTTAAGTTTATCCAATTATTCTAAAATAACCAAACCAATTAGTAAACTGAAGAGAAAATTAGAACTCACTTGCAATAGACTTGTTTAATTACAAAATAATTCCATTGCATCAATTTTCGTATTAAGCAATTATGTGTACAAACATGATCTCGACGGTAACCAATTTATTAGTACAGTAGTTATCTATTATGCCATTTAAGGCAAGAATATCCCGGTTATCTGCTCGATCTAGTTCTATTCCCTAGCAATCCATCAAGTCTAGTGATTAAAATTACAGTAATACTTGCCGTAGAGAGAATTCACATATCCTGTAAATTATGGCCTAACACTGAATGCATGGTACTACCGTCGACTTGATTAGAAGGAATGCATGCTTCTGTATATTGTATGGTTGAATGAATTGAAATGGCAGATAGAGCTCCAATTCGTACTTATGCAGTTTTGATAGGTGTTCATTCATGCAAATGAAAAGTATTTATTGCAACATTAGTGTATTACGGCTGAAAGAACGGAATTATCCGCTGTTAGTGGGCATTCAGTTGTAGAATTTGACTCTCTGTTGCCAATTTATAGTAACGTACACAGTTGTCAAGCAATCCTTGCACGGCAGCTAACTCAAGCGATAAAATTAGTATCTCTCAATATGATTAAGTTGATGATAATACAGTATTTAACTAACTTGATATGTAAATGATAATATCAAATGAGTGGAATGAATAATCCTTCAATGATATACTCTGTATCTCTCTATGCATACAATGCAGAATATACTGTATCAATAGTTGTTTATGAATCGTTGTTATTGAAATATTATAATTCATCAAAACTTATTTATTTACTCTAATACTATTATCAAGGATAGTTAAAATAGTCGGCTGATTTATCTTTGATACCTGTAATGCTTGTATTACTATAGAATTTCTACAAGTATGCTCAAGTATCCAAGTATCATTGATGTTTTATTGCGGATGTGATTTCCATGATTGATGTCAACCAATTAACGCCAATTGTATGGATCTGCGTTGCTACTGAGTGGTTCTGTTCCATTAATTGATTGATTCTACTGGCAATGGAAGAAAGTATGCTTCTTCGCGTAAAGCAAATTGTACCATGTTGATTTAGCAATGATAACGCCTCAAATCATGATCATCAATGAAATATTACTGTTGGTGGTTTATTATAAGTCTAATGGAATGATCATGTAGAGTCAAAATCAGAATCGGCTTTTTTTTTCTGACTTGGTTGAGCTGCATATTACTTTTGAAAAATATTTATGTCTCACTGCATCTCAATTGCACCTAGATCGATACTGGGTATAGCCGTATAGGTAGGGTAGCGTGGTGTGACGAAGAAGACTTGCGTTTCATTGTAAACCTATGGATGAATATGGTGATAATCTATACAGTTGGTTCCATGACAATAATCTACAATTACAAGCATAAAGTTGAGTTGTTATTATTGACCGAGAAAGATTCAATTTTCAGGATAAAGTCACAATTTTGAAATAATAAACGCCCTTAAAACATCAACCTGGCGGTGTAAACTAAAATAATTGTAGCTGAGTTCGCTCTTCCAGTATTCCACTGTACTGTACTGTACTGTACTGTACTCATGCTGAATACTGTACTGTACTGCACTGTAGGAACACGGACAGACTGAGGGACTGCTCTACACTCACAGTACAGCAAAGTCCTTCAAATTGTCCAGACAGTTCTTAAAAAAAACCTCATTTTACGAATCAGTAGGTCAAACCATAGCATTTTATCATTCAGCTTGGACGATTTTGATGATTTTCATTATTGATTCATATTCAGAAATCATCCACTTAGTAGGTGTACTGTATGTACAGTCTACCGTACTGTCCTGCTTTTATTCAAACGTTTTCAACCAAAATGACACCACGTGACCGACCGCCAGACCATGGGCATTGGGCAACGGGTTACCAAACACATGTCCGGTACGGTACGGTATACAGTACTATACTGCACCTTGCAAAAGGCATGCTGCATATTTTAGTCACACCGCACGTCATCCATGTACGTATCGAGACACGTAGCTACAGTACTAAAAGAAGTTTACAGATGATTTCACTTTGGCAACGGACTGTAGTAACGTACTGTACACTGTAAACGGTGGAGTTGCAGCACGGCACTTGTTAGGGTGACTGTACGTACCGTACTGGACCGTAACAGGACAAGCACTGGCGTGCGTGTTGGCTCATTGGCGTTGTACTGGACGCTCTTTCTTTCAACTCTTCCTTCATTCACCAAAGGACGCGTGAGGAAGAAGGGAAAAAAAATCAACAAATTATCTTTTTCCTCATCTCAATTGGATCTTATTCTATCGTCAGTTTATCCGACGTTGTGTTGGATAGGTAATAAACGCCTAGAAGAAAATGGGTATCAAAATTTTAGATTATATTGCTCCTTTTGTAGCTTTCGTTCCTGAAATCGCGAAGCCTGAAAGGAAAGTTCAATTTCGAGAAAAATTACTATGGACTGCGATTACCCTTTTCGTCTTTTTGGTATGTTGTCAGATTCCACTTTTTGGTATCTTATCAAGCGATTCAGCGGATCCATTTTATTGGTTGAGAGTCATTATGGCTTCCAACCGTGGTACTTTGATGGAATTAGGCATTAATCCTATTGTAACTTCAAGTTTGATCATGCAGGTGTTAGCAGGAGCCAAAATTATCGAAGTTGGCGATTCTCCCAAGGAAAGGGCTCTTTTTAACGGTGCTCAAAAGTTATTCGGTATCATTATGACTGCCGGCCAAGCCATCGCTTACATGCTGACTGGTATGTATGGCAATCCAAGTGATCTTGGTACGGGTATTTGCGCACTCATCGTCATACAATTGGTCATTGCTGGTGTCATCGTCATGTTGTTAGACGAACTATTACAAAAAGGCTACGGTTTGGGCTCCGGTATATCGCTTTTTATTGCTACCAATATTTGCGAAACTATCGTGTGGAAATCATTTAGCCCCGCTACAATCAATACTGGACGGGGTACTGAATTTGAGGGTGCTGTTATCGCTCTATTTCACTTATTAGCCACCCGAAGTGATAAAGTGCGTGCCTTACGTGAAGCCTTATATCGCAATAACTTGCCCAACATGATGAACTTGTTTGCCACCATTTTTGTATTCTGTATTGTTATTTACTTCCAAGGCTTTCGTGTTGATCTACCAATTAAATCAGCTCGCTATCGTGGCCAGACTACATCTTACCCAATCAAATTGTTCTATACGTCCAATATGCCTATCATTTTACAGAGTGCCTTGGTTTCCAACTTTTACGTCATTTCTCAAATGTTATCCTTGAGATTCCGTGATAACATTTTCATCAATTTACTTGGCCGATGGGAAAATTACGAAGGAGGCGGCCCAGCTCGCGCCTATCCAGTTGGTGGTTTGTGCTATTACTTATCGCCGCCAGATACGACAGCTCATATAATCAGCGATCCTATGCATGCAGTATGTTACATCGTTTTTATGCTAACTTCTTGCGCTGTCTTTTCTAAATTATGGATAGATATTTCTGGTTCTTCCGCCAAAGATGTTGCTAAACAACTAAAGGAACAGCAAATGGTCATGAGAGGACACCGTGAAAAATCAATGATCCACGAATTAAACAGATACATTCCTACTGCTGCTGCATTTGGTGGCTTATGTATTGGTGCTTTATCAGTTTTGGCTGATTTTATGGGAGCCATTGGATCTGGTACTGGAATATTGCTTGCTGTCTCAATCATATATCAGTATTTTGAAACATTTGTTAAAGAACAAAGTGAACAAGGTGGCATGAGTACCATGTTATTCTAAAATTGATATTGTTAACCTGATTATGTTTCTTGTCTCGACTAATACAATATGTGACGTTATGTGCTACATTATTTGAAATTTCAAATGAACTGAATAAATTTTACTCTATATCCTATTTTCACCTGATAGATAGTTCTGATTGCTGTTTATTTCCGGTGAATTTTAAATTGATTGCCATCATTTGCTAGTTCGTGTTGTGTACCATTGATTATCTACTATACAGTAGGTATTTTGATAGTTTAATCGCTTTTAGCAGCCTCAGATTTTATGTATGGCTAGTTCACCGTGTAGTGGTTTTACAAGAGTGTACACTCCTCTATTGTGATATACTGTACTATCTTAGTAGAATTAAGGCGAAATGTTAGAATCTGCGAGTCTTGTCCAAGATCAGGTGTTTCACTTGTCCAATGGATTACTTGGGTTTACTAGTTTAACTTCAATTTGTTTTAAACAATCTGTGCTCGTACTTTCTGTAATTTGAAGTCTTAGGGTTGCTCTAGGGTGTTATCCAGTATTTCCTCTCCTAAGATAGGGATTCGGCTGACCTTGAAGAACTGTAGCATTAACAAACAGCTCATAGGAAATTCTTGTGATAGAGGCTTATTTTAAAAGGATTTTCAATCAGTGCACCATATACTATACAGTATAAACTGTAGATACGTGCTAGCATGTATCAAAGCGTCTCATCATGAATCTCACTAACTTAAATACAAAAGAGTTCAAGCAACAATCGTGATAGATGACTAAGATATTACTTCTCAGTCTACTTGTCAAAAAGCGTTTTGCACTACACTTACAGGGCTATGATATGGTGTATATCAATTGACTCATTGAACATCATTGTTGATAACACTTCATATACAGTATCGTTTACCTAAGTCTCCATTAACACTTCATAATTAATAAGCTAGAAATGGTGTAGCGCAAGGTAATGATATGGCTGTAATTCCTGTAATACGCGTCCCATCCCCCCCCTTTCCTGAAATATTAGGGTTATATTGATAATTTATAAATTTTTAAATTCGGTACGCATCAATTCTTCACCAGTGATCCTTGGGATGATAGTACACTAAGGTGTGCCATTATTTAAAATTTACTTGTTATTACACTCTATTATAAACCTTCCAGAACTGGAACATACCTTTTAGTCTACACTCTACAGTATGATATCTAGCAAATAGCCAACAATGTCAAATTGAAGTGATTCTATTTTACGTAATCCTAATGTGGGTATTTAGAATCTGGTAGCAGTTCCGTCACAGAACCCGCGATGCACTCGTATATTGACACAGATTAAAGTGAAGGCCGAGATTTCTTCGTTATTACATTAGTAATTGTTGTTTCAATACGATAATAATTAATAAGTATTACAATTAATCAAGACTGAAGTTATTACTCCAAAACTGAGCATGTAATTCGTCATTGAGTCGTTCGTTGGAATTTTTTCAGCAATCTCCAACTGTAGATGGTGTCCATTTTAGAAAAAGCTTTCATAACCTGTATTTTGGAATTTTAACGCTACTGATTTGTACTTTAGTAATGACTGTGAACAACTTCTTCAACTTCGATGTCGGGACTACTCCGAATAAGACTAATTTTAAGTGTCTGTGTACACTATGGAACCGCTAATAATATACTTTGATATTATCACTCTAAAGCACTGTCGTAGCCCGGAAAAATTATTCTTATTCGAATATTGCTATATAAGTCCAATGCGTCTAGCTTTTCGAGTATGTAAAACGAGACACAACCATAGGATATTATAAATTAGTGATGCACTGATTATTATTTTTTTATAAAAATTCCAAATCCTATTAAACTGATTACAGCACTCCAGCGTAGTATGTGATGTGATATTGAACGTTTGCACAGAATCTTCTCTATCCAGATCTCTTCTACTTGTACTGTATCTCTCTTCCCCTTCGTTTGCAAATGGTGTGAATTTCAATCACTGAAATTGGGTATTTTTCAAAATTTTGCATGATCAATAAATATCAAGAATGAACTACACTCCAAATTTAAAAGTTGTGCAGTTACCCTATTCTACTGTATAGGCCTGGATTGAAATACAATTCAACAATCTACACTCTATTTTGTACATTTTTACGCCAAAACTTCCCCAAATCGTATTTACTATACTCCATTCTGCTAGAAGGGATCATTGCAAACGTTTGTACAAATGGATATCAACTTTGTTGTTTCTGTAATCAAGTTACTGTCGTTGAGTAGAGTACATAGTAAATAGTGTGCTACAGTATCTTGTACTGTAGCCTGTCGAGTTGAAAAACAGTTGTCAATGTCTGATTGGTTAAAAACAGATGATGAAGATGAGACATGCTCAGTACAGATCAAGTCAGTGCGGAAGTAGGGATCAACCGTCAATGCAGTACAGTACAGTACCGTTAAGTGACGCTAGAGTTGGATCGTGACGATCCGGTAGTCGCAACGCAGGCTCAGTGCATTGTATTGAAAATGTACGAGTCGTCCATCCATGTCCTCTGTCCGCATATGCTGTCGTCCAGGACGACAGTATATACAGACAGAGGACATGGATGGATTGGCAAATCGACAATGCAGTACAGTACGGTACAGCGTGAAGTGACGCTGGAGTTCGATCGTGACGATCTGGTAGTCTCAACGCAGGCTCAGTATATTGTATTGAAAATGGACGATAGTACATTAATGTAAGTACATACAGACAGAGGACATGGATGGATTGGCAAACCGTCCATGCTGTACAGTACAGTACTGTACTGTACCGTGAAGTGACGCTGGAGTTCGATCGTGACGATCTGGTAGTCTCAACGCAGGCTCAGTACATTGTATTGAAAATAGACGACAGTATATACAGACAGAGGACATGGATGGACTGGCTGGTATCCTTTACCATTATAGAGACACACAACGTAAACACCTACGAGTCGTTGATCATCATCTAGTCATAGCGTATTGGCACGGAAATGGCGATTTAAAGCCAGCAATAAACCGCAGTCAGGTTGTCAAAAAGGCAGGTAGAAAGGCTATTAGGGAAGTCAATTCATTTGCAGTTTAAAGTCTTACCTATCCATCATACTGTGAAAGGTTGTTATGGCTACTAATTGACTTATTGAATGGGATAAGATTACAAAATTGTTGCAGGTTGCAGAACCGATTGATGAGTTAAATTCATTCTTGTGCAGGACATGGCAGCCGTTTCTCACGACTTTAACTCCTTGTTGAGCAAGTTTATTCAAACTGGTAGCGTTCGCTTTAAAGACTTCTCACACGTATGGAGACAAAGTAATTTTAGCTTTATCCACTGGTAAGCTAGTAGCATTACATTCAATGATCGTAGATGCATCAGTAACATAAATATTCGACTACATCATGCAGCCAGTGATGCCTACTGAATCAACCGTCCTTGACTAAGTAATCGACTATTTTTACGGTACTATCACCTACTTGGACTGTCTTGACTTGACATAGCCTTGTAATTTCGATACAATTCCTATAAATGGAGATCAAATTTTGCAAAGATACCATAATAAACCCTCTAGGATTGCAGATATGGATATTTGTGCAGTGATCCCAAGACAAGAGTAGAGTACAGTAATTCTTCTTATTTTACAAAATTGTCTTTATTTCTGAATACGAGTACAGAGCTGGACTGTTGTAACCTACAGTAATGTTGCTATTTGTTCACTTCATCAATAATATGGTAATAGAGTGTATAGTGGATAAAATAAAAGTTCTATGAGTACTTGATATTCCATGGAACTTCGTCAGCAACCTGGCTATAGTTGGCTGATGCACGTGTACATACACTTAGTTAGTATTCGTCTTATCGTTAATCCATGAATACGAAATGCGATTTGCACTTTGCAAGGTCATCTTCAGGCCTTACGCAATAAAAATAAAAGATAAAAATGTTAATTCTACACTTAGTTACGTTCACCACAGATCGTTACTACTATAGTTATCGCTATTATTGCACTAGTTCTAGGTAATGTCTGGATTGGGCTTGGGTCATTTTGAATAACCTGAATTAATCTTGTAATGAATACCCAATTATAACTCTTATGATTTCTTTTCAAAATGGTAAACTTTCCTGGTTCCTTCCTCAAGCATCCACCGCGATGGCTACTTTCGAAATAAGGTAAGACAGGATTGTTTTAGGTTCAAAAATTATTATACAGTACAGTATTGAATTATATTATTCGATCTAAAATCTTAGAAAGGAAGATCATCATTATTTGATCTTTAAATTGAAAACCTAAAATGACGCATTGCTAGAGCATAGGGCCACTCTAGTCTTCGTTTATGATACCTTTCGTACTACACTTATACTGTACAGTAGTTTGAGGTAGCTATAGTCAGACGCTCGGAAATGACTGTTAAAATACAGTAATACTATCATTCTGCAGCAAAGACCATAAAAAGCTTTCTTAAATGCCTCATGTAATTCTCAATTAGTTTACGTGCGAACTACTTTCAATCGCTTGTGAATATCTAAGTTCCTCATATGAATTTCAAATGAGAATTGGTGGCTTGTATCTCCTATATTCATTATACGCAACGCAACTTTGTGTCCCCAAAGTCAAGGTAAGTCGATAAAATAACTATAAAAGTGTACTGCTTAATATATGGTGCTATCCTACTTCAATTATGATAACATGTTATGTCCATAGATTCGCCTAACTGAAGCAATGTATCGCGAGTTGAATGTATTTCAGGAAACAATTCGGAAACATAATGTACGTTTGATATTACTCTAGATGTTCTGCTTCACACATCATTTTACTATCAAGATAGGAGGAAATTGAACTAAAATAGAAGCATTTCAATTTAATTGCAGCACCACGACGCAGACTTTATTTTAAGAATTTTACAAAATGGAAAAGCATTTCTATTTGTTGCAATGCCTACTAGAGTTGGTTTATTTTCCTAATTAGCTTAAAATTTTTTTCATTTGAAATTACGCCATAGTTATACAGTATTTTTCTCGATGAATGGCTTTCGATGATATTATGTTATCATTTTTCAGTTATGCCTTAATTCGAATCAGATTATTTCTCCGAGTGCGGAGAATGAATCAGAAGTCATATTAACCAGGAATGCCGTCTCAAACGCTATAGACATTGAATCGTTGCAGGTTAATCCTTATAGCTATTTACTTCAGCTTACAGTATAACTTATGAATACGCGTATTACTGTACAATCCTACTAGATATGCTTATTTTAGATAGTATTATACTGTAGATTAATGTTCGAACGTTAAACCTTACGCTTTTTTTGATATATTGTTAGAATCTTAGTGAAATTCATGAACAGTATGACGACCTTAAAAAGCAGATTGCTGCAAATGCAACAGGACAACTTCAACAAGTTGTCAACGTAGAGGATTGGCGAGAATCTCTTGGTAGAATTTCAGGAGAATTAATCCAGGAACTCATAGAGTAAATATCGATAACTTAGAGTTATCTAGCTACTACCAAGACTACAACTTATTAGTACACTTTGCGTTGTTCAGTAATGTAATTTTTCGATAACTAAATTGCATTTATGAAATTATCTAATCTTAGATTTCTTTTAATATATTGCTCATATCTTTAACTGATAAATAAGCTCTGTTCGTAATTATGAGAAACAGAAAAAAATTCGTAGCGAAAAGGTATAGTGATCTTTAATGGTGAATGTTATCATGATATGACTATTCCATTGAAATTAAAAATTAAATTACTTAACTACATTTACTGTTAGTCACTTCTTGGAAGTACGCATGCTGTGGATAATACATATATAAACGAGGTACGAATTGTACAGCATATTAATTATAGTAAGATGATACCATATCCAAATAGTAATATGTATGTCCTTTGAAATCCACTTGATAAAATCGATTATTATTTGTAAAAATTGCTAAATTCAGGAATCTACAAATCACTTCAATCGTCGAACCGAAATTGTATCAGCCGCTTATTCTACCATTAAAAAGGTGAGAAAGTAAGATAACAGGCGTGCTAATATGCTATGCACTTAATCTAACTTTATAGTCTATAACATGCAAATTGTTACGTCCTATTCCATGCTGCTGTAAAGTAGTTTGGATATTTCTACGTAAGTAAATCCGTTTAAGCCTGTAATACGTGTATAGTAGGTAATCAACTAAACTATCAGAATAATCGGGTGTCTGTACCTGGCCGACTGCTTAGCTTACATTATAGACGATTTTGCTTGATCACTTCGTGTATCAACCAAAGTTAATGCATTCTGCATAATTTAATGATAGCCAAATAGGAATTCAAGGAGATCAATGAAGGAAGGCAAGGATCATGAGGAAGATAATGCTGATAGGAGTGAGATAACCCGACAAGGAAAGAGAAAGTACAGGTCAACAAAATCGGCAAGAAAGTAAAACCTATGATTAATTACTGTTGACTACAATACAAGTAAGATGAGCAGACATGATTTAAGATTATTGACAATCACGAAAATGATATAGTATTTTGTGGAATATGATAGCTCTTTTGACGTAATACTGTCGCTTATCGACCAGTCTGGATATTTATATACTTAAAAAATGTTTAGTATTACCTTTCAAGGAGTATTCTTGCATACTAAGTAGCTTAATTGAGTTAGCACAGTACTATGCTAAGTACTAATTTCTCAGGTAATTTTAACATATTGGATGTATTGCACTGTATTTTATGTTGTATACACGAAATATCCTAGCAATGGATCCTATCGGCTCTGTTGTTTTTATCTTAACTTATAAATCTTTTGGAGCGAATGCGTCCTTATCAAGTGATAGTTAATACGAAGCGTGATTATGCCAAGATTACATATACGTTAAATCGTAGTTTTTATTTGAATTTTTTATCTGGTCATAATAATTGATACCTTCAGATTGACAAAGAATAAGCATCAATATTTATTCACCGCCTACTGAAAAGTACATCCTAAGGTTACTATGGATCATGACATTTCAAATTAATAAAGGATAACTATAATTATAGAACTAGCGTAATAATGCATCACTAGACAAGATGCAGTGTACAATGCATTGTGTATAGCACTAGCATTCCCAAACTACTGCATTATAAACTGTTTGCTTTCTTAATGTAAGCTTGTTTGGCCTCTTCTGTACTCATTCCTAAATTAGAAAATAGAGTCAAAATTTACAATCGGTTATGTTTCCTAACACAATACAGTATTTATATTTTAGAGTGTACTCTAACATTAGTATAAGTAATGTACAGTAGTATAGAAAAATTAAGATACAGTTCTATTTATGTCTATCGCTTACTAACCCTTCTTAGAATTCCATGAATCCCACTTGGCTCGATTCTTTTGATCAAAAAATCCAGGACGATCTACATAATTAAAAGATCATTAATTGATGTTAAAGTTGTCGTTCATTTTCATACTCATATTTGCTTAGATATATACGAAAAGCATATTTCAACGAATAGATAAATTCATGAGAAGCTCTTTTCTCTCCCTACTATTATGACCAGCGTAATGAGTAGGATAGCGTTGAAATGCAGTATACTTGTATATATGCAAATTTTAATAATAAGTTTAGCATTAAAAATTATCTCACTTTGGTGATCATTACAAATTATAACTTACCAGTGTTACAATCGCCAACAGTTGCCTGTTTGTAAAGACCGTATATTTCTAATAAATCCTCATTGGAAGGTTTACTTGCAAGATTGTTGATCTTATCTACCGCACTTTTGAATTCCTCCTTCAAATGTAGATATGAGGATTTAACGAATTTTAAAGCGATATTATTATTCAGTCGATCTTGTAAGGTAACAATAATATGTAATTGTGTAATTTTTAATTTATGGGTAGATTTGTCTTTAATATAATGCTGCACTTGAAGTACATAGTGTGAATATAATATGACAGATAGATAGATAGATAGTTTACATACAATTACAATTACAATTACAGTTGTGTATATAAAATTGAAGCACTGTTAATTGGCGTCAAACACAATGGTACTGTAGGACATAATGCTAATGGTTGGGTTTACAGAACTGACTTGCGATCCATATGTCTATCTTAGGTAACTTTCGATTGAGACTGCTAAAACACTAAAAATGCCTATAATTAATACTCAAGTTAGAGAGTTAATAGTATTGAAAACCAATTTGTAAAATGCGAGTGGAAATTTCGCTGCCAATCTCATAATTTTAAACTTTGGATCGCAAATATTGTATTAGTCTATCAGTATAGTTGCAGTCATGAAAAACACTCGTATGTTTCGTAGCAGGCAGATGTTGCTGTTGACTATTATTAGTTTTGAAAATACCACGACTACATACGAAAGATATTGTAGTATTCGGAAGAATAATCTGCGAACGTATATTAAGTTAACAATACCAGTAGACGAAAACTGAATAATTCTATTTTATAGTTTACATTCTACGTATACGTGTACTATAATGCGTATAATTTATTTTTACAGTACAGTATTGGTTTTGCATTGCTGTAGGGTAGGTATGTTGACTTGATTTTAGATTTTCTGTAGAAGCATGAGCACAGCTTTTCGATCAGGTTAGGCAGTAGGATGGTAAAGATGCATGCCTGTTTACACTATATGTGCATTTTAGCCCTTTGGATCGAACGATTGATCCCTTGTTATATTTGTAATCAAAATCGAAGAATAACAACACTTCTAAAGACCACTCTGCAGTCCATAGTCCGTAGTATGCAATACGCTCAACACTGACCGTCACTTATGTCCATTGACAGCTTCTCATTTATAATTAATACTTTAAGTTAATTGACCTACAGTCAGTTTTTGTTCATCTGTCCAATCTGGTGAACAACAATGAAGTCAATGATTCATTATTTGATGATCAGACAATATCAACATCAGCTAGTCTGGTTGAACACAAAATCATGATGGCAATTAGGAATCTCCCATTTCCATAGGATTGTCATTGAATAAGAAATTTTTCACGACTGTATTTAGTTAATGAGTTGTATTCAATTTAAAAAGGCAGGATATAGAACGAACAAAAAGGAAAAATGATGAACAGCTTAAAATAACTTCATGGAGAGCTTTTCAACAATCCTTCTATATTGTACTCTTCATCAATCCGTTATCGCCATGGCACTGCGACACTGTTTACGACTATGTCTATACTCCCTACGGTAAAAGCGTCCTATTTTAAGGTTCAACTTTCCGACATAAGTGTACTGGGAAAACTCAAATCAACTAACATCCAAATCTACCATTTCAATGACTGCTTTACTCTCATTTAGTACTGGTAACAGCTGAGATTAAATGATTTCTTGATCCATTTTAACGCTACTTACTTCCATTCTAACGTTGTTGTTGTTTTTTTCCGCTTTCCAGGTACCTTCTTGCAGCTCGTTGGAAACCAGTCAAGTGCAGAAATGGATCTGGCCGATCGATTTATGTACTGGTTGCACGCGGCGAGGGTCTGTGTGTAAGCGCATGCACCTTTTAGTCATGCCTATAGTACTGACTGTGTAGTGTATCATGTTAGCAATGCAGTGTATAGTACAGTGGAGATTTTTTTACTTATGCAAACAATCCGGACGTCCGTCCTATGAGCCATAAATAAATAAAAACAAACAAACAAATACCAATAACTCTCTTCTCTCGACTCTTCTCGATGCCTTCTGTAGTATTGACAAGAACTTTTCTGCTTCGCTATGCTATGGACTACTAAATGCAGTGTTCTGTTTAGTAGTCCATAGCTGTACACAACTATTTCAATCGTATGTCAACGTTGATCATGGGATAGGATGATTCCTTGCCAAATACTGCGTCGATGTGCTGCGAGAATCATCCATTTTGTTTGTCTTCTTTTGTTGCAAGTCAATGCCCTTGAAATTGCAATCATCTAAATGCTGTGGGATAGAGTGGAATGGGCCTCGATCCTTTCTCGATGCTCTTTTAAGAGCACAGTGTAGACTGAGGAATACTTCAAATTGCGTTCAATTTTCACCTTTTTAAAGGGGATTAGCTTACAATACACAATCCTTTTAATTAAATTAGAATTAGTGTGAGTTTCTCTTTGTTGTCATCATGTCCATCGGAGGTAGAACAACAGTAAAAAGTATCTAGTTCACCTCCCCCCATTACAGTAGCTGTCAATCGATATAGTGTTCTCGGCCGGTATAATTAATTATCATATCGTATTTCTCATGAGTGATCTGAAGAGATTATACTATGCTACATTTACTCCATTCTTTGGTTAGTTCAAATAATGCCTTGGATTAATCCTACTTCGTATACTAAAACCTTCTCACCGCACATGACGATGATCTTCTAATATTACACTGCATACGCGTATTCTTGTATACGAATAGAATCGCTAGAGTATTGTTATTACAGTACTGTATATCGCATTTATACCTCGAAGAAATTATACTATAGTATACCACAACGACTGCTGTACGTTGTATATTAGGCTTATCGTAAAACCTTCTCGTTCTTGTATTACAGTAGTCACTAATCGATAGAATGTTATTACAGTATTAATAATGGATATTTAGAAGGCTATAGAACGTATCACTAAAGTGTAATCATGCATCATTAGAAATACTGCCATGCTCCCTGCCACATTTTTTTCCGATTAATTTATCCGCCTTCTTCATCCAATTTTCCTTGGCTTGTTCTTTAGATATTCCTAAGCGAAAGAAAGCGTAAATTTGTTCGCTAGTTTTACGAATTTATTATAAGTTGTGTATAGACCCTATACGGGTGTGTAAAACTAAAGAAATTGAAGTTACGAATCAGATGTTTGTCCCCTTTTTCACTCGTGTACCTTATTACCTAATATACACGTTAAATGCACGTATTAAATATGTATAGTATCGCCTGCTGTTCACTACCGTAGTAATATGCTGTTACCCTTACCCAACAAGAATTTTCGTGCTAGTTTAGTTTTAGACTGATAAGTTTTATTGTTAAGAACTGATTTAATGCAATACTACAATTATATACGTACCACCATTTGCCGGCTGAATGTACCCTTATCAAATTATACCGAGGGACCAACAATAGATACGTGGATCATTTTACTATAATATAGTGCATTAGCTTTCTAAATTCTAATCTACAGTAAATTACTAAATAATTCAGTACTGCTTCACTATATTATACGTACTTAATATGCAGCACTACGTAGATCGTAATGTTTTCATTATAGTATCTTTCAATTCTGATAGATAATGAACATTATGTACTACAGCATAACTGCACGCTTTAGCGGATAGCGACTCTAAGCATCGTATCAAGAAGTAAAATTATAGTATATTCAAGTACCTATTGATGGAATTACTTTATCATTGAACACATAAAACACAGGTAAAAGTTATAGGCAGTAATTAGTTTACTTCCAGATAACGCAAGATATTTCTTGCGTTACAATGTAGACATTTCCAGAAAAAGTTATTAATTATCGCATCATTATACTGTACAGTGTACATAGCAAAATACGTATCTTTGCCCTTACAGGTATCCAATGGATCATATAGACAACTATGAGCTTGGCAATAAATAAGTCACTCAAATCATTTAGGTGGTAAAAAACCAATCGTTCATTCACTCATTCATTTAATTATGATTTTGCAATAATCACGACAAGAGATATATGGAACAGAGTTATTTCATGCTATTTAGCCACAAAGCTCTCATTTACATTACTAAGATCGAGTAAGCCATTAAGTGTCACACTGCGCATTTTACGCGATGTAGTTGTACTCATCTTGTCTTCCCTCATTTCTCTTCATGTAATCTTTCTCGATCAGAAGTTCAATGCATTTCTAACAATGATATAGTACCACGTTAAGAATTTAAGCTTTTATTCCGTAGATACTTGTATAGCATAGATTAGAATAGTAATTCGAAAACTTACCTTAATAAGCACAATGGAGGGCGAAAATCTATTAACTGACATCTTAATGACCTAACAGTCAGGTTAAAATGAGAATAAGGAAACTTTTGCAATCTATGACTATACGATATCACACGCATTAAATAAATTTTTAACCTCTTCTAAAAGGGAGTTATGATTTAAGACTTTTCGCGATTTCATTATTCGAACTATTGTTGCCTGCAAGTTACATATAAACATTTAATTACTTAGACACCGAAACACTCAATTGCAAAGTTATCCATGCTTTTTACCTGTAGGAATAATTTCCTCTCTTCTTCAATTCTACTGTGAACCTTGGTTATTTCCTGAAGAACATAAAAAATAGGTAAATTATCTCTACTATTTTAAATTAGATGGATAAGGGGAGCAATTAAAAATCCTTTACCTGAGGACTCTCACGTATAGACGATGATGCTATCTTAAATTTTGTGCGTTTATTACCAAATTCTAAATTCAGCTTATAACTATTACCTTCACGGGAATTTTCCTATAATTACGATACATTCTTTTAAAAAATTTTTGCTGTAACAGAACATTCATTAAAAATTCTAACTTTAATTAGAATTTTTGCTGCTTCTAGACTGGAGAGAGTTCTAATTAATTCCTTTTCAGTCAATTGCGTCCACGTTGCGATATCTCTGTTGCAATTGTACCAACTTTATATTAGAAAAGTATAGCTTTAACGGTTTAATATAGTTTACATTCAGTGATTGACCTACCGTCCTGTATACGATAAAGCATTGTTGTATAAAAGTAAAACTGCCATCTGATAAGTTGTTGTAGTGACATAGTAACCCTTCTTTAGATAGGTCATACGAAGTTCAGCTAAAAAGGGATTTAACAAATTGCAGCATTGGTTAGTTTTACAGAAAACTGCATACGAATTATAAACACTTCGCTCTATAAGTATTAAATTTTACCAGTAGAGAGGTAAGGTAACCAAACTAGTTTTCTTCCACGGTGTAACGAGGTGCAGTAGTATTCTTCGAACTGAAAAAAGATTTAAGATTAACTCTAAGTGAATATTTTATTGTATCAAACTTAGAATAATACCGTTGTGAGCGATCTTTCCAGATCTGGTGGTATAGAATATGGCGAAGAAGTTTGATTTAAAGGCCAGGCTCCAGACTGGTAACGGTAACAGAAACAAAAAGTCAGCAGTTTTAAGTGATATATTATTGCATGACTACATACCTGTAGGACGCTGGCGCTAAAATTCACGGTTAATTTGATGTTTTTCTTATTCAAATAAGATGAAAATTCGCTGTTTACACCTTCGTTCAAACGTATATCTGTGAACATTTGATGTAGTCGGCTTGTATACTCGTAACCACAAATAATCTGATATTCAAAGAAGATATTACAATCAAATGTGGCTATGTATATCCGAGATCTAGACAAATTTGAGTATTTTACTTAATTTTTAATACCTTTAATTTTTTTATCATTTCTTCCTCAGCATCCAACGATATCGATCCATTCATAATCAATCGCTTAGCTAAGAATTTGCTATAGAACTAAATATAATCAATGAATGAGATTTGCGATCTGTAGTAGCTAAAATAGCCTTCTGCACTACTCTTCGAATGGAAATCGCTACTTAAATTGTAGAAGCAAAACTTGAACTAATACCTTCTGAAATAGGTCCTTATCGTCCACATATTTAAATAGGTTAATCTGAAACGATAAATTTGAGTAAGAAAAGCTATAAATCAAACAGGAAGAGTAAAACGTATTTCGGCTTCTTTATTAACCACGTGAGATTGCTTATCATCCAACTCAGCATCACTCCAGTTTTTCGAACCTTTCTTTAAAAGAATGTCCGCGTATCTAGCGAGCTAATAAAAAAATGTTACATTAGTCAGACAGAAACGACCCGAATAAAACTGATCAATAGAATTAATTGAAAAAGCTACGGTATCATTTACAATTTCAGCAGCCCTGATAGGAGTACTGGAAGAGTTCGAATGATTTATTACAGCTCTGATGGCCTATTTTTTAAATAATGATGTCATTTGATACTGCCTTAAATTAATAAATATATCTATATATCAAATATTCTGGCCAGCTTTAGTTTACTTTTCCAAAGATTGTCTTAAATTCCGGATCTTCCTCAAAAGCCTGTTGGATCAGTGTCGAAAATCTATCGGATACCTTAAGCATAGCATTCACATAATCTTCACAAGTCTACAATACGACATTTAAAGAAAATTTGTTAATAATTTAATATGCTTTATTTAAAATTGTATGGAAAGATTCGATCTGCTACAATCTTCAATTCATCGTACGTTTTCCTTCCGTAGGTCAGCAGTGACTTCAACGCCTAAAACATTTTTACTTTATTACTAGTGTTGCGTACTATTTCGTATTATATAATATTTAGTGCGTGGTATCAAGTTTACTTTTCTGAATAAATTTATAACAAGCAACTTACCAATTCTTTTGATATGACTTTCTATCTCCTGAAGCATAACTTTTAGACCATTATCAACCAATCTCAGTAATTTATATAAACAGTTTAAATCTATAAGTGATATATGTAAATCAATTAGATACATTGTCTGGAATCTATTATTGGCACTGCAACTGTAAAATATGATATACCGAAGGCTCTGAAATTTAATTACAATCCATTATTACGCTAAAGATCTATTATATAAAAAGTCCAATGCTTACCGTCGATTAACTCATTTTTTACAAGTCGTGCACATTCGCAGTTGAGATAGTCTATCTGTTCAGCTGTTAGTCGTGATATGCACGCTTTCAGTACTTTACTATGCGAACTAACATGAAAAAATTTCTGACACCGGTGTTGCTCAGCATCAATTCTATTCTTAACCTGCGAAAATGTAATGTGACACATAGATTGTTTAGCAACTTTAAATAGGTAAATAACAGCTATCTATATTCGTATTATAAAATGTAAGCTTTACATACGGCCTTTATGAATCCTGAAAAATCATAAGATTCCCTTAGTCGAGCAAGCTCACGAGCATAGAAATTTTTTGTCTCTTCCAGGAGCCGAGCTTCAAATACCGATTGATAAAACTACAGTGAAGTATATTTTGTCGGTTATAAGATAATGTTCTCAGTAGATTTGTAAAGGATATCCGTAAGGATTATATATTAATTTCATCTATTTTTATGTATTAAATAAATACAAAATTACTATACAATTGTCTTTCCTAATGGATAATAGCCTACCTTGAGAGATGTTACTTCATCCCCTTTTACATTAACTGTAAATTGATGATATCAAACAATAAATTAGGCATAATTGTCAGAATGTATCTGATAGAGTGTTATCTACTGTATACCATTATAACTACTAGCGATAAAATTTAATTTAGAGTTCAACGAATTTACCAAACGAATGGATAACACCCTGTACTAAATCTGCAACAGGAATATTTTCTTCTTTACGATCACTGTGAAGTGTTTAGATAAGAATCATTATATATAGATTTATATAAAACGTCATAGAAGACAGCATGATATTACAACGGCTAGTAACAATTAGTCATAACAACATTCAAATTTGAAATATTAAAAAATATCAGTTCATAGGGTAGCTACAAACTTTTCTATGGCAGCAAGTAAAACATTGACCAATTCAACTTGGTATTCCTCAATGATTATTTCCTGCCATTGCTGCATGGCAATCTGTGTTAAAAAATATTCAATAATTGATGGAATAATGAATTTGTTAACAATGATGATAACCATTCGTAAATTAATGCACATTACTATTAGAACTGCATGTAACAATTTACAACATAGTGACTAATATTGTAATAAAAAATTTGAAAATTAGCGTGTCTAATTACTTGTCCAATTTCTGCTGGTAGCTCCTCATTCTCTTGGCTTGAATAGGGCATCTGTTCATAAGAGCTGTCGCTTCCATGCATATAATTGCGACTACGATTGAGATACCTGGTAGATGATAGAAACAAGATTTAGTAAAAAACTACTTGAACCTGCGTACATATTCGACAGCTAGACTCGATAATGAAAAATAGTTAATAAGGATACAATAAGTGGAGAATAAAGGGCCGGATTGCATGTAATATTTATTAAGAAGTAAGGTTGTACGCGTATTGCAATCATTTTACTAGCGCGTGATTACGGTTACTGTAGTGCCTTGTTTTGTTAAATCACATAATTCTGTACTAAAATCAGTTATAATTTCTTGCTTTCGTTATATCTATATGAATACTTTTCAATTTTAAGCTACATAAATATCAATTATTTCATATGTAATCGTTGACAACGCTACATTTATAACACTTATAACTAAATATGCTATTAAACATACGTAAACATGGAATTGAGATAACTGGCTCCAGAGCTAAATTTTATCCAATATTCATAATATTTTTTCAGTAAAGCTTGCGAGTATACACCAGTCAGCTACAATTGGCGAATAAGAGATTAGTATAGTGATGATGAAATATATTGGAACGCTGCAGTCAAAATATCAATTGCGATCATGTGATTGATGAATAATTACTGTATTACATTATTGTAGAAAGGACCCTATTTTATGAGACGATTTACGGTACAGTGTATAAATTTAAGGGTAAAGTCAAATTCACATCACTGGAATTACGACGTGCATTATGACATTTTAGTAATATTATTACTGCTATGCCCTTTAGCCTTTAATTTTAGCAGAGTAGGATGCTGCCTTTTAAATCTAAGTTAGTACATTCTAAAAGTTCCACCATGTAGCTAATATGTAATTAAAATTAATTATTTGTCTCATCATACTAATCAGCAGCATTAAACTATTTCGCTATTAAAATAGGCAAGTAATTCTTTGATGGCCTAAATATAAAAAGAGTACATTTCTAGTTTTGCGTCATCACATCCTTGCGTGACTTGTACATGCGAAAATATTTCTAAGGCATAAGACTAAGCATAGCGCAGCCATAACTTGATATTGTATTGACATGTTACTAAACTATATCTTTAGACATAGTGTGATTCAGCATGTACCGTGTATGCAGTAGTAACATCAGTCCTTTCATTCAACTTACCTCCTTTTTAATATGGGTAATATGGGAAATAAGGAATTCCTTGCAATCGTTGTAAATACGCTCGATATATTCCGAAGAAGAGATGCAAATAGAGTAAATATCACTTTTTTCATGAGCGAGTAAGAAATTTTGACATTAAAGAAAATATCTCCAAGTCATAGTCATGTATTAGTACATAGAGAATATAATAGTCAGGTTATCGCCATTAACTCTTGGAGAGTAGTACAAGTTTGAATTGATCCCTATTCTTTCCTTGTTTTGAAATTGAGCTAGCACAGCTACTGCAATAGACTATCCATGATGATAGTAATAGTTAGTTACCAGATATAATTGTAATTGAAGCTATTTTAATCTCCTGTAACACTGGATATTAACTACTTTTACCTATGTACAGTGTTGTAATATTGATCATCATGGTGAGTAGGTATAATTTTAGTTTTAGTTTACAAGTTATTTACTGATCGCTACAGACTACACAGAATCATGTTGACACAATACTGTTACAGTAGTTCATGATAGCAAGAATGAAGTAAGATAGTCCATCAGAATGATAGGAAAGTCATTGTAACTTACATGATTATTTCATCGATTGATCAATTTTATAGTACTGTCATGATTAAGAGATCAAGGCATTCTACCCTATTGATCGATCATAGGGTAAAGTAACATGACTGCTAGTATTGCATCCATTTGGTCATGGCGCTACAGTACTGTATAGGCTTGCCTAGGACAATCATGTCAACACACTAATCCTGTAAGGTCGTTTACTATTGGATTGCAACAATTTTAAGGTTGAAAATGAATATCTGGCTAACAAATAATAGACCTATGATGTTAAGGATACGATATACTATCGCTCCATATAATTCGATCCACCGGTTTCAATGTAAGAACATCAAAGATGACTTTTCGCAATGACGCCCAAGTTGCGTCGTAGTCGATGCTTTTCCTCATCATTTTGCTTGGATTACTCAACAATCCGCGTTATTGCCTTAAGATAGAAGTAATAATTGAAATCTTGACTACGATATTGTTCTCCACTTTTTGAATTGTTGAAGGCACGAAAATGTTGTTTGTAAGATTACATGAACAGTAAGTTAGGTAAGTGATGATGAGGCTTTGAGCGAGTAACTATGATGGCAGCCAAGACTCCATTACCCATAGCAAGACGAAATGGGCAATATCCACTTTACCAGTACAGTGTACAAATGGGCAGGGGATTGCATACAAGATCAACCCGCTGTTCCGTACAGTATACTGCAGTATTCCCAGCGGTGATGTAGGGTGCATTGTACTGTACCATGGACAACTACAGTACTGTGACAGACGGTGGAGACTAGACCATGGACCACTTGGACGTCCTTCTGGTGGTCCGTGCCTGCTGGAAATTGCATTCCAGTCCAGTACGCTGTACTGGACTGGAACAACTGAACTGTTTCAACGGCTTGGACCACTTGGGCCTCCTTCTGGTGGTCCGTGCCTGGAATATTGTACTGTAGTACAGTACACTAATAAGTACAGTTTCAACAGCTAGGACCACTGGACAGACCTTGGGCGTCCTTCTAGTGGTCCGTGCCTGCAGGAATAACTGTACTGTTTCAACGGCTTGGAACACTGGACAGACCTTGGACCTCTTGGGCCTCCTTCTGGTGGTCCGTGCCTGCAGTAAATTGCATTCCAGTCCAGTAGACAGTACAGTTTTAACAGCTTGGACCACTTGGGCGTCCTTCTGGTGATCCGTGCCTGCTGGAATTGCGTATGGGCACTTAACCGGTCTGTTCAGTGGTCCAAGCTGTTGAAACTGTACAGTACTACACAGCTGGAATACTGTACAGTACTGTACAGTTTCAACAGCTTGGACCACTTGGGCCTCCTTCTGGCGGTCCGTGCCTACAGTACTGTAGAGTGTAGACCGTGTAATTTGCATTCCAGTCTAGTACTGTACAACTGGAATACTGTACTGTACTGTCTGTAGTACAGTTTCAACAGCTTGGACCACTGGACAGATCCGGACCACTTGGGCCTCCTTCTGGTGGTCCGGTACTGTACTGTACAACGTACTGGACTCTACAGTATACTGTACTGTAGTACAGTTCCAACAGCTCTGAACATGAAGGCAGTTTTCGGACTCTAATTCTTCTTCTTACTTACCTCTACGGCTTTGACGGAGTTTTATAGTACGTGCTTAGCACATACAGTCTGTACTGTATGTGACATTGAAGACTCTTTCAACACACAGTACTGTATTGGGTACAGTTTCATGGCTACTGGAAATCGAGAAATCGCCGCTCGATCGCTCATTTCGACCCAGGAATTCCAGCACTACTAGAGAGAGATCTCTCGTTCATGGTTACAGTATTGTACTACTACTGTACTGTACAGTCAAAAAAGAAACTATAGTACTGTACACTGTAGAGTACAGTACGCGCGTACAGTGTACAGTGCACACTGCACAGTGTAACTACTGTACTGGGCTTCAAGCATTTTAACCCTCATTCAACCAACACCTGCAAACTGCAAATCGGTTGGAAAATCAACATAGCTCAAGCAAGTAGAGGATCATTATCACTTTTTCTTCTTATAATATCATTTGATGAGTAGAAATAGGCTTATTTTGAATCATGGCAACGAGTAATGAGAAATCGGCATATAGTATTCCGGCTACGAAAAGACCCGATGGCACTTGGAGGAAAGAGCGAAAGGTCAAAGAAGGTTATGTGCCACAGGATGAAATGGCCACCTATGAAAGTATTGGTAAAAAGATAGTTAAGAATCAGAGCTCATCCATGCCTCCAGGCCTAGTTGTAGACACAACGGAATCTTCCAAAGCCAAGAGTAAAGCTCAAAAGAAAAATGAACAACGAAAATTAAAGAAACAGTTGAAAAATCAGCCTTCCCCTGCAAGCCATGATAATGTCCAAAATGCCGCCGACAAGTTAGAAAAATGCACTATCGGAAATCAACCTACTAGCACCGACGAATGGAATAAACCTACGCCTGATCATAGTCAACTATCGGATAGTAGGAAGAGAAATATTCAAAAAAAATTACGCCAAATTAGGGAATTACAGGAAAAGCTTGACAGTGGTGAAATCAAAGAGCTCAACGCGGAACAAGCTGCTAAAGTAAGCAAGAAAGCGCAATTACAGAAGGAATTAGCGGGCTTATAGAATCAACTAGTAATGAACTTTGGGAAATGGAGATGACCTGATCCTGTTGTTCTTTCTGTACCATGCAATTCAATCATTCAATGATGATAAGTACTGATGATGCATAATTAATTGGCATGCATACATGTCAGTGATGCTTTAATCTATCTTCAATCATCATGTAAAAATATATTGCTTTATCCTATTTTATCGATAAGTTATACTTTTACGAGACGCGTCTCTCACCGGAGAAATTTCATACGTGCAATATTGGAATTGTCTATGTATATTAGACAAATAGCAGTGAGTTTTACCACAACTAGTTTTAAACATCTTCCATTAGTAACCAGTTATCATGTAGTATATATTCCTTGATCCCCTACAATTTTCCTACTTTAACAGTACAATCGTACAAACAAATGTATAATAATATATCATCTATTTTACCCTTACAGTACATGTTTTGTATTCCTTTGGGTAAATACTTACTGAACTGTAATTGCAAATTTTAACATCATATTATTGTAGCCTAGATCTAATTGTTCCATTACGCACATATACTTAAAGATGAGTAAAAAATTGACGTAAAAGATTCTTGTCAAAGGATGGAACAGAACTAATACAAATGTACGTGTTGAATCATTTTTACTTATTGTAACCAATTCCGAATCATTATTGATCTGCTAGATATACTGTACAATCTAGTTAAAAGACTACTTTTAGACACGTGTAATCAAATCTACCTACTGCCGATCAAGTTAACTCTCAATAAACTATTGGCAAAAGTCAAAATAATCGAAATTATATTTGCTTGCGTCCGTTGTACTATCTTCTGAAATCGACTACAATACTGGATAATTAATTTAGATAACAAAAGAGTCATACTACGATTTATTCGTAGTTAGTTAATTCTTGCTACTTCGCAGCAAAACCCAAATACAAAAGTATTCGACTTTATTAGCGTAGAGATGTAATGTATAGAGTTGTTATAGCAATCATAATTTTAGTATTTGTCGCATTTATATCGTTTTCTCTTAATGTTTTACAGAAGCTGTAACTAAGAAAGTTGATACGATGAGCTTATATTCTTACGTCTTTACAATTTATGACGATTTTGTACCAACAATTTCTTAGTATTCTTAAGGTCGATAATGTAATACTTCAAGTTATGAATATGAACTGTTAAGTAGAATTCATCAAAATCCTAAAGCTGAATTGTACAGTATAAGAATTAAGATATGTTTTTGGAATCGATCTGCAATACTGTAATCATAAAATGGTAGCAAATGCATTCTGCTTACAATTTAAGACCTTCGACTTAGTCTCATGAAATATTTATTACATTGTTCATCCAAAATGTTAGCTTTTTAGCAAAATTTTGGGTCAAGATTTTTGTAACGAATAATCCAGTCCCGTACTTAATCAGCGACAATATAATACCTGGTTTAATACCAATGTTTTAGAAGGCATTTTAAATACCGAAAATAGCTGTTAATTTTTGTATATCGAACAACAAATCAATTGGATCATCGGTTAAATGTCGTTATTTAGTATTCACTTTCTAAGCCTGTCATCGAATGGATGGTAACCAAACCAATAGCATTTCTCTCAGAGGATAAATCATATCAAGAGCGAAGCTTTAAATTATTGACTTTGGACTGCCTTGACCAATGTAAGTAAAACGACATATTAATAATTAAGAAGTCTGCAATATGTTTATTGAATATGAGTAATAAACATACGCGCATTAGCAAATTGCCGATTTATGCATGTACTATTATCAAGATGCAAATACTGCAATAATACAAATGAAGCACCTATTTTGTCACAACCTAGCCAATGCTGTGTTGCATAGTGAATGGCATACTGTACTCTTACTAGAGCAAGAAATCACGTTTGGGCAAATAATAATAATAAGCCCATTGATGCATCTTAATGCTTGCCGCAATATCGTAGCAAATAGCAAGAACATGAGCAAAACTATAATTTACGTTCTTGCAATATGTTCATTAGTAAAATCTAAGTAGATTAGAGTCAGCTTAATTCGTCCATGGGCTGCAAGAAACAGCACTGGTCTAGCAGTCTATGGCTCGTCATCCAGTGCCCTATCAAATGTTTTGACATGACTGGATAAAGTACTTTGTCGATCTTCATTACTATCAAGTAGCATATTTATTTATAACCTAATGCTATTGTAAACCACCTAGTCCTATCGTAGATATTCTACTGAGATGTCATATATTAACAAGATAGCAAGAAAGGATGATAGTTGCGTGATTCAATGGTAAGTAAAGACCTGTCGTTGCCTGAAATGATCCATAGGAATAAACATCCAATACAGACAAATAGGCTTGCCAGGGCAGCAGACCCAGAATATCCAATAATGTCTACCAGATCAATCAGTAATAAATAAATGGATGGAAATTGACTACAGCAAGTACACAAGTGGGTAAAGTATGTGCACTATTATAAAAATCACGAAATCATCTAGCAAGTATACTATATTATGTATTATATCGAAAATTGATCATTGCAACATTGCCTAGGCTAAGCAATGAATTTTTAAATAGAATTGAAACTGCACATACCACAAATTATTGCAACAATTGAAGGTAAGACAACGTTGACATCATCTCTGCCATCATATAAATCTGTAGAGAACGTGCACCAAAAAACTTTGCATTGGTCAAAAGTTACTAAGATTATATATGAATTCATTATCAATGATAGCATACAGTCATAGACTCACCTTGCTCACTCAGGTAGCAAAGGATGACCAAGATGTAAAACAGCATTGCCAACAAGATACTCGTTGAAGTAATCATACATATAAACCTAAGTGCAGATTTAAGATAGGTTCGAACGGTTAATTTGCGTTCAGTGTTTTTGCGAATGTTTCTATTGTAAGGGCAATATCTAGAGTGATAAGTGGCTCCACTTTTATTTCTTTGATGTAGTGGAATTCGAAGTAACATGCAAGTACATTCGTCGGTCAAATAAGGCCAATCTCGATTATCATCTATCATCGAATTGAATGATAATGGTAAGTCTGCAGATTGAGCCGATTTATCCAGCACAGTTCCTTTTCGTTCACTATTCGCGTTCATTCGATTCACTTGATCATTCTCTTCTTGTCCAACTGGATATGTATTCTCATGATCTGTAATGGCATTGCACATACTCTGCTCTTGAATTGCTTGCTGATTAGGCAACACAGGCATAACAATCTTGTTTTCTTCATGTAAAGGTTGCCTTTGAACTAGTATTAATTCATCAACACTTCTATAAGTGTGGCGATTGAATTTCACCTCGATTACGGATAAGCATCGCAATAAATTAAAATTTTCCAAAAGCCTAAATTGATTGAATAACGTAAATCGGCCCCAGTACGAAACTGCAGGTGAATTGGGGCCATGATCAGAAACCGGCATCAAGACTTTATTTGAATTGGCATTAACCTCATCGTGATGTGTGCTTGAAACAGTATTACGAGGATTTGTCCTGGCCATAAAAGGATCGAATTTTTTCAAAATATTATATCTGATGAATACGCATAAAGATACGAAGGTCACCACAAAGATACAATCAGCCAATCTTGGCAAGCCAGTAAAGGTACGATAGTGTTGTTGCTACGGTATATGAGCGAGCAGTTGTCAAGGTAGGTGGCTGGCATAAAAAAATACAATATTAATTAATTGTTCTAGTTATGATATATTGCACCAGGACAGGGTTTAATTTATGCAACGTGCAATTGATTTTATCATTTATGTATCTGCACTATACCATATTTCATTTTAGCTACCACCCTAATCGTGATGGTTGGCTTTACAGTATTTCAGTATGTCACTGTCAGCCAGCTGTCAGTACAGTATACCTGTATGTAAGTATAAACTAAATTAAGCCGATTTTAATATTACTTCTAATACTATTGTATATTTACTAATCCACTACTGTTTCTGTAGTAAATAAGGAAATGATGGATAACCATAAACGGTAGTAGGTATAAAAAAATTCCAACTCTATAAATTTCCTGGCGCAGACTCGTCTTGTAAATTGCTGTATTAGCCATAGGGGTTGGAGGATTTCCTTTCGCACCTCGATGGTAGCACAAACGACAGTACTGTAGATGGGCACTTCTTTTATTTACAGTAAGTTAAATTAAAATACCAAAGTTCCTAAACAGTATCACCGTTAAATGCTGTCATTTTATGCTGGAGGAGTTTCATGATCGGTTGTTCTAACCGTAGAGGCTGGAGGGCTGCCTTTTACCATGATAAAATATCTCTCTGATCAGCATCTACAGGTATCAGTAAAATGTTTTCAACCCTTTTCATAGTAAGGCTCTCATTAATAGTCGCCTAAATTCGTAAAGTGATGCACTTTTATTGTGCAAATATTAATCCATCATCCTCTCTAATTCCGGCCATCACTCCTGCAAAGTGAAAAGGTGTCGTTACACAAAGAAAAAATCTCAATACTGCGCACTGTAATATCAATGCTCAACCATTTCTAGGTCGCAAGTGAGTGAAGAATGTAGGGAAAATAACTTCATTCACTTAATCCATTGCAATATCCAATTAAATCAGTTAGCTATAAAAAAGGATTAAAGCTAAAGAATAACAAAAATAATACTGCGGGCTGCGAGGAATTGCAAGTAGTTTTAGTTGACAAGATCACTCGAAACTGAGTATGGTCACAATACAGTACTATATAGTGTTCTTAAAATCGGTGCTTTCCAAAATAGTTACTGTATGTCCCGTTCCTCTTTCGTAGTTTCTCTTCTTGAGTAGTCCCTCTAGCAGTATTCACATTAGTATTAGTTTCTGTCAACTATATGTACATATGTATATCAACTTCCTATTCAGCTGATTCAGTAGTATTTGCTGGGAAAAGAGTTTTAAAAATAAACAGTTCCTTATAAGATAAAACTGATCAGAATTTTCTACCTCTTTTATTTTAGCATGCTATTTATATTGCCTCATCCTATAACAAAAGCAGATTTATGGACCACTAGAAGGATGCGGTTTTCTTCTAGTGCACTGTCCATGGAAGATTGCAATGTTTATAACACTGCAGTAAGTGACTTGTCCATTTGTAAGGCCGTAGAACGATATTTTCCCATAGCTCTAAATACGATCACTACTGTACTTCAAAAGTAATAGTAATTAGCAGTTTCCGATGCCACGCACGGCCGGCGATATCTCTGCAATGCTCTCTAGAAATTTGTTTATAATATAGTAAAATAAGCAGAAAATCGCGGCGAAAAGCTGAAACAGTAACATTACTTTGCCAACGATTTGAGCTGACGTTACAGCTCTTCAAACTTTCGGCTTCCCTTATACAGTAGCTTATTTACTATATGATGTCTTTTCTTGAATCGTCAAAGCTCTTCTATCATATTATATGACTACGATAAACCCTTTTATCGGGACTAACTGCAGTACTAAAAGAGAAACTTGGGATCAATATTGATTAACTTAATTTACTAGTGGTAGCTCCAGTTTGGCTCAAGCCTTAAAGCCAGATCATATTATAATTGATGAGCGCTTTCTTGTGCGCAACAACTGCGAATATCCTTCAACTCGCTCGGCCCCCTTAATAGTTCATATATTATATTATATTATACGCATATGGGATCACTTTTCTTATGTTATCACAGCGCTCATCTTATGTCGTAGGGACTTCTAAGAGGAAATTCTCCAAAGTCTGTGCTTCCATCAGCGACTCCTGAGAGTTTGCCACTGTCATTAGTTGGTTATATAACATATACAATATATTACTACTAGAGGTAGTCCCAGCTTGGCTTCTTGGAGCTAGATTATGTGATTCATAAGCGCTCTTGTATTACGACAACTGTCCTTCTTTAACTCTAGGCCACCTTTCATACTTTGCTTTCCTCGATCGCTTTTCGTAAGCTGCGTCAAAATCGTATCATGTTCGCATCGTGTTTTGACTACGGTAAACACTTACCGTAATCAAGGATTACGTACGCAGTAAAGGAGAGACATCATAGTAGTTGCTTACTGTATTAGTTAATTAAATTATTAGTCCTAATTTGGAGTCGAAAAAGTTTAAGCTGGATTATGGTCTATCAATCCAAGCATGATTCATGTTGGCTTTCTTGAGCTGCAACTGCAATGGCTGCCCTTGGGCCCATACTCTAACTGTACTAGTAAACAATACGGTATGTTATTGTAAAGTGTGAGCAAAAACAATGTCATAGTTGAACATTGGAAATATCATACTGGAGTCTAGGAAGTGGATGACTGTCGGTGACATCATTATGTACTGTACAGTGTACACTGGGCTTAAAGTGATGTGCGTCATAGATAGACAGACGTACAGAAGTCTGTTGTCATTTCAACTGTTTTCATCATGGTGGATTCGATTCCGATCATCATCTTGCAATCTTGGGCCACTGGTAATGAAGGCCAAGCCGCAGGATTCCAATAGTATAGAATCGAATCTTTCTGATTGCACACAACATGCAAGATGGAAAAGCAAGTTATACAGGTCAACGGTTGTTACTATAATACTTCAAATAAGAAATGGTTCAAGATTCTATTAACGATTAACATCGATTCTTTACTCTGGCAGCCACAACAACAAACTGACAGGCTGGATGAAAGTGGCATCGATTTCAATCAGATATCTTCTATCCATCATAGTTTCTCGTATTTTATATTCCCAGTCATATGTGTTCAATGTAATCATGGTAGAAAATTATGGTTTGGATCTTTCGATAACTTTCATCAGGTGTTGAATGTTATTCTGCATTTTTTTGAAGAAAAAATCCAATCGACATTAACTGACGATAATGACGTTGGTCATGACAGTCGAGCAATCTTATCTACTGTACAAGAAATACGTGATAATATGAATATTTCTGCACAACTACTAGAAAAACAAGGAGAACAAATTGATCAAATGAGTGTCAAATCGGACCAAGTTCATAGTAAAATTACCATTTCTGAAAGGATCTTGGAATATTTTACCTGGCTTCCTATACGATCGAGGCAGGACAGGATTGTAACTGAAGACAACACCAAACGGTTATCTAACTGCGTCCAAATTGCTGTTCTTTACAAGAGTGACAATAATCAGATGTATTGTAAAGGTGTTTCAAGTATTCTACAAGACAGAATCATTATAGATCTAGATAAAACTGCGAGCAAAACGGTTGAAATACTCTTTTCACAACTAGATAACATACAACGTATTAATTTATGGAGATTAATCTTTTCATTGCACGTATCGAATGATGAATTAGTTGAAGCTGAGTTGATGTCTGCGCATATGCCAAATATCGTAGCCAATATTCGTAAAAAATCACCATCGATTCCGATTCGTGAAAACCTTGTCAACTCGAGTTTTCTACAAGGTATTCACAACCAACAAGTCTTGTCGGTGAGTATATAATTCAATATTGTAAAGATTATATTTTAATTATACTGTAATTCATGCAAGGTTATGATGGAACGAGCTGCTAGGAACAGCTTTCAACGTTGTACTGTACGCGTAGATTTCGTTAATATAGATTGCATCGATGGATACTATATCTAATGATGTAGTTACAATAGAAAGTGTATGAGTAATTTACCTTGGGTAGAATGATTCACTAACGTGTTAATAGAAATACTTTTTATAATTTTCTAATAGCCATATCCATTTCTGATGATTTGACTTTTATTGTGTACGAGCACCCTACTTTCTACATGATCTAAAATACTGTGGGATGTCCACCTACAGTACTCGTAGGCGTACTTCTATTACACATACTGCAATTTTACTGATGTATAGAAGAGATTAATTTGGATATATCCGTATACTAAATGGACTATATCTGAGTTAAGGCTAATCATTTGTAATTCAGTGATCCACATCAAGATTTATTCATTTTAATGATAATCAATACTTTATACCGTAGTGCTTATACAATATTGCATACAAATTTTAAATTTACTATTAATAAAAGTTCAGTAGCTTTAATGATACTTTAATTATTCCCTTACTGTACCTTTAAAGAGGTGTTGATAATTTGCAAAAAACTACATTAATTATCTTTTTTGATGTGCTCATCATTGCTTACGATACTGTTGCTACCAGCATTCTATTTCCACAGATTTTTCGCTTACGAATAATTCTGTGTTGTAGTAATCAGTCTTTATTGCTAGCGCGTGCCTTTTCGGTTGTTTCTGTCATTCCTTTCCTCATGTTATATGATGAGCAAACGTAAACCTTTATTGTATATTGCTTTAGAGCTCGGACCAGAGAGGAGAAGCTCGTGTACTTGGTAACTTACTAGGTGAAATTAAAGATATAGCTACTTGTTTAGGCACAGAATCTGATATTCAAAACAGTAAATTGGACCGACTGACTACATCTGTTGAAAACGCTACTTCTAGGATAAAACGAAACAATAAGATAATTAATCATCAATTGGAATAGACCTTATTTTTATTCCATCATACAATAGTTGTTGTAATGAATATTCGCTTTAGAGTTAAACCGTACTACAGTATTAGCACACTAATGGATTACAACACGATTTAATTTCAACAATTGCAATATCAATTTGACGCAGACAATAATAATGAGTTCAGATTAATTGTGATATAATATAATATACATCCAACATAAACTTTTTGAAATAATAAATTATTCCAATGTATCTTCAATTTGTAATGATTGGTTTACACGATATAAAATTTTACGCGGGAGCGATAGCTAACTTCTGCATATACGACACTGAAGCAAAGTTAATAGAATATTTTGTATTGTAAAATTTAATACGTTGAGCAAAGTCAGCTTTCTTTGATTCCGATAATACCTACAGTACAATATGTGCCGTAATTTATTACATCCAGGGCATCCAACGTCATAAATGATACGATATAAATCTATATCAATTATTCATAATCATCCATTATTTTTATACACCCTATCAATAAAAGCATAATCATGAATCATAGCTATAACTAAACTTGTCTTCTTCGATTTAACAATTATATTTGTTATGACACAAAAATTTGTAAACAGTGGCTGCATCGAGATCAAATACACGAGTACGCATATGCTTGATGTATCAGTACATTATAGTCTTCAATTATTTATAATGGTAACACAGAAACATAACTTATCGAGGTCAGAATGACGGCTTGTTTACAATATTTGCTTAAAATCACTAAAAACCTTGGTACAATACTATAATAGGCGATACAAAAATAGATTTTGTAACAATCTTAATGGTGGTATAAGAGAGCTTTCAATCTGAAGTACCATAACATATTATACAGTAAGAAGGTTTGATATCTTCAATCTATCTTATTTAACAACAAAAAGGCTTAAGTAGCGAATACTACGTAGAGTCATTTATTTCGGAAGTATCAGCTACATTCTCATTTTCAGGGTCATCATCGATGTTACAATTCTGCTCTATATCACTAGCTAGCGAAGGAGTACTGCTATTCACAGATGCTTCATCGTTAAAGATTTCAAATTCATTGTCAAGACGATTTGATAAATCCTCTATGTAATTGCCGACATTAGCTGATTGATCATTTTCGGTATTGTCTTCATTAAATTGGGCTAAATTTAATTTACTGCGGCTCTCATGAATATTTTCACTTAACAGTTCTAGGGTAAGCAAAGTGGCAGCATACTCTTCTTTACACGACTTTATGGCTCGAGTGTATTTTTCAATTTGTCGTTTATGTTCATTGAGTAAAGCATTACACTTTTCTTTCAAGTCGTAAAAAGGCCTAAATAAAGCGCAATTTACAGATTTTTAAAATACAGCTTTCAAGAATTTTCGACTTGGCACAAAGGCTACACCTGCTATAGTTTTTGAAAAAACAGATATCGTAGACAAGTTAGCTAACTGCGACATACTTTGCTTTTTTTGTCGCTTTCTTTAGATTTTTTTTCAAAATCTGACATCGATTTTCTGCCTCACTACAAGATAAGATTACTTTTTTATGTTCAGCTTCTAAAAGATCTTTTCTATGTTCGGCGTCATTGACCTTTAAAAAATTAGTTACAATGCAAGAATACATCTTTTGAATAAATCGGGAAATGATAATTTTGTGGGATAGAAACAAAAGCATCCGGTATCATCTTTACCTTGTTTGTAGCCCTATTTAAAGACTCTTGTTTTGATTCCGTCATCTCCAGTCCACCAGTAGCCTCAAAACTTTCTTCTACAGCAGAAACCTTATGTTTGGCTTCTTCGTGGTCTAATTTAGCTTGTTGATATAGTAGTGTCTTTGCTTGTAAGTTTCGACGACACTTTAGTGGATTAATATAAAAGTTTATGTTATTCATTGCCGATAAAACTCACGTAGAATATTTATTAAAAGTATTTACTAGTATTAAGTTATCTATTCTATGGGAATTATCAAAGCGTAAAAATCTGGAATACTACAGTCCATGCAAGTAGAATACTGTCTGATACTGTTTTCATGACATGTGGTGTACCGTACACTAAAGCAATTTCTTTGGTATATCCTGTAGCTCCTATATAGATCGTTGGTTATAATGACATGATAGAAAGATCAAACCTTGTAAAGATAATCCAATGCTTTATAGTATGGACTAGCCATCGCGATATATTTACCACGTTTTTTCTTGATCTCCTCAAGTTGAGGAACAAGTTCATTAAGTGTACGCTGGAAAGCTGCTCGTTGTGCCTGTTGCGTCATTCATTATAAGAGGCAATTTCGTTATACTGTATATTGCATTGTACTCTTACATTAGAATTTGTATAGTATTATGCATTCTTGTGATCTTGCTGTGTTAGTATTTATATAATCGTAAATTGTAACAATATAAGAGACTCTTGATGATCTAGTACAGTAGAGTAAACAAAACGTTGTAGAATTAGTAATAAGGCATCCTACTATATCCAACTTTACAAATTATTCTGCGCGTAAACAGAAGTACAACACAAGAATAATGGTTCAGTATGATAGCCATTTTAAAATGTGGTCATAGGTGCGTTCACTATCGATTCTTCACAACGATCATCGTCTAACTATATAATTATTGGAGCTTATAACTAGAGAAGATGGATTTAATCCACAGCTTGAATAAATAAATTGAACATACAAAACTGACTCGTCTAGCACTGTAATATTGACATTGATAAACGTCTCCAATTTACTTCCAATTTCTACAAAACAATACTAAGTTAAAGTAGTGCAGTAGGCGTTCATTCCTAATATTATAACAATCGTATCGAGCCTGATGCTATACATTAATTTTTGATGGCAAAACGTTTGAACTGTATGAAATATCCATCATTGTCTATTATACCGATATACCTAATTGATGTCTTTTCTACTTACTTCAATTTTCTTTTCAAGATCGTTAATTTCAACAGCCTTGACATTGAGTATTTCTAAGAATTTCTAAAAGATCGTAATCAAAATGATGAATTGTATTAGAACTTCCATGTTGCAAAGACTGTCAGGTCTAGCAACGATAGATCACTTTTACGTTTCTCATAACAGTAGAAAATCTCGCTATTACAGTCGTCTTTAGTACTGACTTTCAGATCGATTTTTATTCTTTATAAATCAATCGAGCTTGTCTACAAGATGTCTTATCTATTGTTGTAATCGACAGATATCAACATCATTTACTGTTGGCATTCTAGCGTAGAAATGAAGGCTAATCCTAAATCAACTTCACTTGAATTGGATATCAAGATTGCCTTAGCACAGGCTAATACACTATGAAAATGTAGAGAAAAGGTAAAACTCCATTTCTTTTGACTTAAGCCATGCTAAGCCACTAATATACTCGATAACGCAGTTCATTTAGGCTTATGTATTATTGCTCAGGCCAAGTCGAATAGTAGAAGCCTAGCTATCAAGTACTTTGCTCGTGCTATGACTGATTAAAATATCAATTACAACACGATACAGTCTATGCTACGATCATGTATGCAATGGGTACCTGTACTCTTGGATCCACTTCTTCTTCCTGATATGGCTCATTTTGCTTTGGCGAGTTGTTCGATTCAGTAACATCAGGTAGATTTTCTTCCTTGGAATTTTCCATTATCGTCAATCGATTTGGCTCAAAGTATGCGATAATTATAAATCTAAATAAGTCTGATACATGACGACTTTAATATAGAATGGATGTCGTTGGATTCAACTTTTTGAACGGAAAGAGTTCAACTGTTGTGATGGGAAGACATGATTCTGCCAACTAGCAAGGTTAAATCGTCTCCAGTCCAAGGGTTTACTATGGAAAGTCAGTTGCGATGTATTTCAAGTCGTGCTACTACAGTAATTCTACTGAGCTCCGAGTACTGTACGGTACTCCGTGACGTCAGTCAAGCGATCGTCTCACTGTACAAAAAAAATGTCACCCTATGATGATTCTACTGTAGCCAGTACCCATACTATAGATTGTATGGTAGTGTAGACCTAGTAATCCGCTAGCTTAAATCGCTAGCAAAATGATATTGGTCGTTTATGGGTGACATTGATTTCACTTGGAGTTAAGCACGCGTTAAAATAACAACACCTCTTCCTTGAGAAATCAGAAATCATCATCATAAGCCTAAAGAATGTTCTTTATGTCATTTAGGTCGAAAATCTATAGTAGAATGGAGCCACAGCTGTGTACCAATGAAGTTTTGCTTTGTATTTTTGACCCTCTATTGACTATGTGACTATACACCGCATACTAGGGTAGATGCGTCATAGTGAGCCATCGTACGGGTCAAAATATCAGTTTACAAAGTTGTTGAAATTGGATGATTTCAATCAGCAAAATTGTATTCTACACTATGTTACTGAAGAAAAGAGAAAGGGACAGAAAAGGATCGTTCACGTTAAATCTTTAAAGGTTTAAGTATTCAATAAGCTTGCCAGCTGGCTAGCCAATATCAGCAGTAATGCATAGTACTGTACAGTATACTGTACGCTTGTAGCTAGACGGTGGAGTTAAATTGACCAGCGAAAGTTGGCCGATACCGCACAAGGGTAGCCCGGAACAAATATAATGTCACTCTGGCTTATCGAGCCCGCTTGTACTCAAGCGTATACAAGCGTGTGTAGTTTTATCTCGATCGAGTGTTCTATGCGCATTAACCTGCCTATCAACACCGTAAGGGGTGACATTATTTAAGCGCTGCTTCAACCGCCTGAGTGGATCTCTATGAGATACTATCGCAAAGTAATTAAAACTGTCTCTCGCAAATGAATACCTTCAATGCGTTTCTTTCTTTCCTACCCTATCTTAAACGACTACACTAGACTTTATTGGGATAGAAGAAATATCCATAATTATAATATTGATCTTGCAGTGCTCCTACGTCAAAGCCACCCCCCCCCCCCATCCAGCTTGGAGGAAGCGCTTGCTACCGTTGTTATACCGGACATCACCATAGCAACAAGGTACATAAAACTTTGCTATATGATTGGTTGGCTTGTTATTCACGATGCTTGCAATCTACTGAGCTGTTTACATTTGCATTCAGTATCAACTAATGATTTATTGATATTTTGCCTTAATACTATATTCTATACCTTGTTCAGGAATGATAGGTAAAGAATAATACGCGTAAAATCAATTATGATATAAGTAATAAAGCATTGGTGAACTCATTGACTATATCTTGTCGATTGATACACTATACTCTTTCTACGCTGGACTAAATTCATCCTACTATAGAGAAGAATGTTGTATTGACAACCAAACAAAATACATTGTTATTTTACTCATGGTCTTAAATTATACATCGAGCAGAACAAGCCTCATACAACCAGCTTAAATAACGTTTAAGATTGAAGAATCATCTGGACAACATTAATATTCAATAGCAAGTGTTTTTTCTTCATCAATTTAATCTACTAGCAAATTAACAGTTTAGAGAGAATAGATAAATTGAGTAATCCACAACGTAGCCTGCATAAATAGGAATGAAATACATTTGAACTCGATGCAGATAAATGAACACAATTTTACATACGGAATAAGGAAAATTAATCGATAGTTTTGGAAAGAATTCAACATCTCAAGTTGATTGCAATTGATGGTCATCTTACCCCTATGGTAAAACGAAAAGTTGTAATCAATTCTATTAGCTGCCAATAATCAGTACTTGCAGAAGAAATTTTAACTCAACGTACAGTAGACTGCAATGAAAGTATAAATAAATTTAGTAGACAGCTAGGTAAGTTGAAGCTTTAAGGCCTTAATTTTGTCAACTTCGTTTTTTTTCATAATTTTAGAGTCTATTTGACAGTAGATGATGAATAGATAGTCCAAGTAAATAGTAAACCGATTCGTTCCTCTTCATAGATGATCAATTAAGAAATTTGCTTTTTATTTGATATTGTAGCAATACTTTCTACAAAGATATTAGATTTACTTGGTAACACCCATTATAATTATGGAAGCAGTCTCTTCTACGAGCTTATATAGCAACAAGTACAAACAGTTTGCTAGCAAGAATAACGTCTGGCAAAGAAAAGATGATCAAGTCTTCCAATCGTCAATGACGACAAGCAGAAAAAAGATTGAACCCATCTTACAATCGGGAGATTTATTCTACACCAAAAGGTTGATAAAAGTCAAATTTAATTAAATTAATATCGAATAAAAGACTGATAGTCTATAGCATCTCAGTTATTCCTGCTTTTTAAATTGTCGATAAAAATTTCAATCTTCTTTTCATATAAATTGAATATTCAAGAATCCAAATAGTAAATTGAACATTAATTTATACAGTACGATATCAAAGTTTCACTGTTACCATTACTGCTATTGATTATCTACAACATAATTGAGCTGTTTACTTCGTTTCTGTTAGCTTATTCGATAGTCTATAAAAAATAGTAGCCATTACCGTAAACTGCAATAACACTACTGTAAGTAACTTTCAATTACAATTTAAATAGGTATCTTGTCGAAACAATATATGATGATTGCCTATTCATTTTTGCATACATTTAATTGATTGTAGTTAGAAAAATATGACTTGTAATTGAATCATGACACTTGATACTATAATGCATAAGCTACAGCTAATCGACTGTAAACGATATTGTCTACTAGTCATATAGCACAAACACCGAACCGATATCATGGTACTCATGAGCTAAGCGATGATGAAAGTGATGAAGACAGTGATGATAAAGACGAGGATTCTTACGAAGATACTGACGAAGATAGCGAAAATCAATCATTATCCAGCGATGAAGGTTATTATACATCATTTCACAATTTCAATCTTCATATTTTAACACCTGGTATATTAATTCAATTAATTTCCTTATCATCTGCTGGCATTTATCCTTTACGTAACTACCATCATTATTATACACTTAAATTACTCTGACAATGATAATTATCTTTTCTAACCAATGATTCATACATCGCCACTACAATCAGCTGGTATATATACAAGTAGATATTCAAGAAATTTCATTTTTTCCACTACGACTGGATAAAATAATATCATTACTATAAATACCGTGTTGTTCATTGTTAAACGACTTAGAACTCCAAGCTTGAATTAAACAAATCAAAAATTGTAGAGAGACTGTATAGAATAATTAATATATCCCTTTTCATATCGATATAGTTCCTGATACAATGCAGAACCATTTGTATATCAATATACGAGTAAATAGTCCTATCGATTATAATTATACCGCGAGCATTAGACATTAAATTGATCGCTGTTTAAATCCACCTTATAGAGTAAAAAAAACTGATCGTGATTTACTGGATCACCATATGCGATTATTTTTTGTTCCTTGCAGAATACATAGTACATGTTTTTCACAGATACATTGATAGCTATTGATTTATCCGATATTTAAACTAGTAACCTTCAAACTAAACCATCATAGTCCGCTTGCTTGATTTCTCAAAGTAACGGTATCTTAAGTTATTATCTTTTTTATGGAATTGGTACTGATCTGATTTCGATGAGTTATAGAGAGTGTATTCTTCTTCCTTATTTGCTTTCTGTATGTAGTTGAACCAATGCTGTGATTTATGAAACTATGATCGAATTTGAATAATATGTTTATGATTTCGCGTTTTGATTGTTATTAAATTTCTCTTATTATTGTAAAAATAATGTATATTAATTTATAACAGAAGATGATGAGGAAGACAGCAGTAATGATGATGATAGCAGTAGCGATGATGATGAAGATGTTGGTGATGATGAAATTACAGTTGAAGATCGAAAGCTTAGCCACAACTTAAGTCAATTATCAATTAGTCAATATAATAACTCTCGAAGTGCGAAGTTTGTGGGTCGCCAGACAAAAACCCCGAAACCCTTAGAAAGCAATGTAAACGAAGGTATCCTAATACAAATTCATTTACTATGTTAGATAAAATCTATCAGTCATCCCTTTATTACATACCATGCGGTTTTTGAAGTTTTATTATTTTACTTAATTTCAACTGAAGTTAATGATGCTTTTTACTAACGGAGTATCTTGAATATTACCTTACTTTAAAGACAACGAAACTGTCCAAATTGTGCCAGCAACTATACCAAGTTTATTTCAAGGCCTACAGCCTACTGTTAATTTCTGTTTACAAGGAGAACGAACTGAACAATTACCTTGGGCAACAAGACGTTACTTAAAATGGAAATCTAGCAATATCACACCAAACGTTATAAAGCAATGTATACATCGATCCGGATTTAGATTAACCAAAGGTAAGAGCTTTATCTATACATTATAAGAAATATAAAGAGGCTAGTATTAATTTACGGTGTTCTATTAAATTATCTCAATAAATTTTCATGTTTTCTGTAACTAACTTTACCATAGGTGTAAACGAATGGCTCGGCTACTGGGGAAAACATATGAAATCTGAAATGTTTAAGACTGTTAAAGAGTATCAAAAAGTTAATCACTACCCAGGATCTTTTCAAATTGGTAGAAAAGATAGGTTGTGGAGAAATATGTTTCGGATGCAAGCAACAAATGGTAGAGCGGTATGTTAAAGCTAATAATTAAGGAATAGTGCAATGCTTATAACGATTGGTAGCTAATATTAATTTATAATCACAATTAATAAAATATTTTTTCCCATGTAATCGTCCTTAAATCATTAGGAGTTTGGCTTTGTTCCTCAAACTTATGTTTTACCGCAAGATATGAAGCACTTAAAGCAGATATGGGACGATAGTGGAAAACAAAAGTGGATATTAAAGCCGGTAAGTATCCAAATGATCACATTTGATTTTATATACTGTATACTAGAATAAGAATGTCTGCGGCGTAAGCATAATAACTGTAAATCGTTATGTCGTTAAAGCCTGCCTCCGCTCGTGGCAACGGAATTAAAGTAATTAATCGTTGGGCTCAAATTCCTAAGAAGAAACCTGTTCTTGTTCAAAAGTATGTAAAAGTCATTTTAATCTCGAATTGTATTGTACCAATTTTGATTCAATTACTAACATCAAATGAATATAACAAACTGTATTTACAGATATTTATCACGTCCTTATTTAATTAATGGCTGCAAATTTGACTTAAGAGTTTACGCGTATGTTTCATCTGTGGATCCATTGCGAATTTACATCTTTGACGATGGGCTAGTCAGATTTTGTACAGTAAAGTAAGACTACCGCCTATTTGATTGATATAATTATGTCCAAATGACTACTGACTGCGACTAATAAATACTTTTGAGCATCAAAAATTTTAACTTTGATATATCATAATTATTTCAATCAGATATTCTTCCTCGATGAAATTTTTATCCAATCGTTTCATGCATCTCACCAATTACAGTATTAATAAATTTAACCAAGATTTTACTCAAAATGACGATGCTGATATTTGCCAAGGCCACAAATGGTACAGTAAAATGACTTCTATAAATAAATTTTCAATTTTTCATGTCTAATAACTTTATAATCAATAAAATCGCATTTAGGAGTCTTAAAGCCTTATGGGATTTCATGAAGAAAGGAGGCATTAATACGGATAATATTTGGAAAGCTATCCAAGATATCGTTACCAAGACAATCATTTGGTAATGACTTGTTAATAGAATTTGAGGCCTTTTAATGCGTTTAACATATTTTAAACGAACTTAATACTGAGTAATAAACTCTATTAATTACCGTATCCATATACTCTTAGCTGTGAGCCAAGTATGTATACACTAGTCAAAGCTAATGTAAAAAAAGAATGGTCCTGTCACGAATTGTTTGGATTCGATATCATATTAGACGATAAATTGAAGCCATGGCTGCTTGAAGTCAATATTTCCCCAAGGTACTGATAACTTTATTTAGTTCTCTTAATAACATATTCATGATTCATTTCACTTACCATATTCTATTTATAAACCCGCTACCATTTGTACACCTATCAAAGTCTGCATTCAAATTCAACACTTGATCGTGATATAAAAGGAGCAATGGTCCGTGATTTACTAAATGTAGCTTGTTTCCCAGTACCTGATAAGAAAACATTTCGAACCAATTCAAACAATGCCGTAACCAATAATACTGAACGACGATTTCATTACGGGCAATTAACAGCCGATGAAAAAGCAAAGCACTTATTTTATGTTCAGAAACACTTAGACGGGGTACCGTAACAATTTTAAATAATGCTTCAATTAAAATTACTAATTACTATAGTCTGACAATGAAATATTATTTTTTAAAGCATTCTCGAAGTACGATCTTAGATATCTTAACTGCTGATGATATAAGAGTTCTAATGGAAGTTGAAGATGAGGTATTTTTCCTTTTTTACTTAAGATTATTAATCGATTAAACAATCAATTAACTGATATCGAAACGCTTTATTCTCGCACTCTCGATTAGTATAATAAACGTGGAAGATTTCAAAGAATATTTCCTTCACTGGATGCCAAATACGATAAATATTTTGAGCAATCGGTAATGATATCAGATTAGCTATATTGAAATTGTTTTATGCCAGTAATTAACGTTATAAAGTCTATTTTGTGTTAAATGTCCTGATTTTTCTGTCATTATTTTTTATTTTAATATTTGTTTAGCGTTACTATAACATTTTGGCCGGCGAGTGGTATCGGAGATATCGCAGTAATTATCATGCTAGAGCAGTTTCATTATTACAAATATATTGCAAACGTGGTCTACATCTTCATAGCGAAAGTTCGGATGGAACTCACAAGGTATAAGAACCATACTTTTTACATTGATTATGATGGTATTGATAAGGATTGATGTATCTAGAGATTTTGTTATCTCTTATCCAGCAGAATTACTAAAATATTAGTTACGGTTGATTAGATATAGTTATAGTTGTCTTATAATTATTGCCTGTAAGTATTCTTGCTTAATGCAAAAAATGTTACTAATAACAAACCGTTTTTAATTAAATATTTATTAGTAATCATAACACTTATTAATTCTATGAATCTTATACGATTATAGTAATTAATATGCATCGCACCATTTGTCTTTTTTTACATATTAGTGGGTAAATCCAAGTTCGTTTACTACCAAAAAATCACGTAGAAAATCCGAAAGTTTTTTCCAAGAGAGGTAATAGATGTTAATTCTTAATCTCATTTTTAATTAATTACTTTATGATCACAATTAACTCACTATATGTGTTGTCTACAATCGTATTTTAGCGCCTCTGCTCTTTCATTACCGAAAATTACTAGAAGAGATAGTAGATCTGAGATGCGAACGGTAAATCGCTTGAGTGATTACTCTAATACTTAAATAGATTTAATTTAGTTGATACTGTCCTTTACAGTATGAGTAGAAACTAATAAAATTATTTTTTTTTTAATGTACTAGCAAAAATCAAGGAGCTCTAGCATTATATCAGCATCAAGGCCCCTATAGGCTTTACAATTAGCTTGTAATGTAAACTGTTACTTTCTAGACAATATAATTATATGAAAGCGAATTATATTTTTCATGTCTTTATATAATGCAGTTATAAATATCACTTATGGTGTATTTATTCAGCATAGACCATTTTTGGTTACAGTTAATGTGATTAGATGATAACTACATCCGATCGATAGGATGGGATTAAAATTATTACTGTGGATAAATTGATATTGTTCTTCTTAAAGTTCGAACTTATACAGTGTATACATTATCCTCTTGCAAATGTACTAATTCTTTACTTATGGAGAAAATCTGGCAAAGAATTATTGATAGACTAAATTATATAAAAGCACGAATTTGGAATACTTGTTATTTCTTATACTGATTAGATAAAATCGCTTGTTAAGGTTTCAAACTTGCAGAATTAATTGATTGCTATCGTTTTTATATGTATTGTTGTATAGATTCATTTCTCTTTGATATATATTTGTTCAAAGTTACTCTACGAAATCGACTTACAAATAGAATACGTTTAAGCAAATTTTTCTAAAATATTCTACGAACTTATTTTATATTTATTTTTGAGTAGTTTTTAAGCAAACGACATTCATTCCAATATAACTGTGATGAAGTTATATTGAATTATTTGAAATATGTGTTTGAAAGGCCTGAATTTATTAGTACTCGTTTTTAATTGTAAAATTGAATTTGTTATCGTAGTTAATGGATCAGTTGCAATAAAATTTTACGGGTATTTAATATATGAAAGAAAATGTTGAGCGATAAATTGATACCATGCATAAACTATTGAAATCAGCCGCAAACATTGATATTGGATGCTCTTATGAGTTTATAAATTACATTAGTACAACACAAATCCTACAAGTGAGATGTATGGGTGGTATCACTATAGAGATTGCTATTATTATTAAAAGATTGCAAAACGATGCTGTACCGATAAATACTTAGAACTGCATTTATGGGTAGTAATATTTAATATTATACTGCATGAGGAGTACTCTCGCAATGATAAGTCTAGAATACTAGTAGTAATAAGTGCCCATAATTGACGTTATTTACACGAAATACTACTATAGTAGTAGATGTGACGAAGTCATACGAGCTATTTACGGTAATGATATCAGTTGATTTTGAATTTCTACCATGGTAGATACTGCATATGTGTATGGGTGGCAGTAAAGTATAATTGCTTTATACGATTTTATACATTAATGTGATAAATTTTTTATTCCACAAATGGAATAAACACTGATAAAACGAACTAATTAAATTCATGTCATTTTTTCTAAACTATAAGACATATATAATATTGCAATAAAAGTGGTACTATGGAAAGAGATGATGAAATTCTCTATGTGAACATATTAGGTGTATTTTTATGTCGGATACAGCAATGTATATTTGAAGGATTAAAAGTGGCAATACTGTACTTTATGTTCTATCGTTAATTAATGCATTAACATGCGTAAAACAGCTATTGCATTCATTACTTTTTAATCAATATCTAGATCAAGAAAGAGATGTAAACAATTGGACATTTAGCAGTTTTCCTATAGTCTAACGCTTTCAAACTAGGTCTACAGGAATGGTTCTTTGTGTGCCACGTTCAGACAAACATGCTAACCTGGATAAACTGAAAGAAAATCATTTGCACGATTATAAGAGTATTGTAGAAGCACATGCACTAGTGTAATTGAATCGAACAGCTGCCGAATACAAGATTAGGTAGAGAATAATATTTGAAAATTAACAAGAAGGAAATTTTGCACTCCTTACATCGTCATAATGAAATTGCACCATGCCATTTTTAGCAGTGTCACGTTGTTGGAATCGCTCTATTTTGATTAGAGTAGAATTATTTTATAGTTATTGACTATGCTTCTTGTTTTAATATTAACAATAATACACATACTGTGTACAATTACATTTTACAATATGAGGTTCATTCAACAAACTGATATTATAAGTATAAGTAATCGAATAAGCGTGCTACTTATTCTTTAACCTGTCAGCGTTTTCAGCCGAGTAATGCAACTTATGAAATTGTCAAAGGCAATTCTTCCATTATCCGAATAACGCTTTACCATTATATTCAAGGCTTGAGGACTCAAGCGGTATCCGAAACTCGCTATAGCCGCATAAAGTTCGTGAGGTTCACAAGTTCCAGATCGATCGCTGTCGTATTGAAGGAATGTAGTCTATTCGGAAAAATATTATATTAAATTAAGGTTACTTAAGACCATTAAACTTTGATCGATGATAAACTTATTATCAGCTACGGAGGAAAATATTATAAAATAAGACTAACTTTCCATTGACTTAGACATCCCCATAATTGTTTAAATTCTTGGAATCCCATCTTTCCACTGTAGTCGTACTGATTATGAATTAAGATTGAAAATATCGACAATATTTCATAGGGTAGTATTCAAGTCGTTTGTGTATTATTTTAAAGCTAATACTACTTATATAGACTTTAGTAAAGTGCCACATTAAATTTAGTATTATAAACAAACAGCATTGTCATAAAATATCGAACTCGGATACGTCGAGCATTGCAATCATTATCCTAAAACCAAAAAACGGCGTATTAGTTGATTAATAATATCATACATTAAGATATTGTATAGTGATAATCATAACGCATATGTACTGTACTATATGCAACTACTTGCATTATTAGCTTAACAGAGCACATAATCATACATGATAATACAGTATCGCAAGTAGTTTAGACAAAGTTGAACGTCAATGTATGGTTTAATATTTTCATTTTTTAAAAATTGGTTAATAATTTTAATCCATAAGACTAACCTGCAAGTGTCGAGGCTGAACTCTATGGGTACAACAGATTTAAAATTTATTAAAAACTTTTACTATTAAAATTAAGGATGTTTCTCATATTTGCTATTCACTGTTAAATATTACATTTTTAACGTTATATTTCTGAAGGTTATTTGTTATTGTTACTATTCCACTGAAATGTGTACATCACTTACGTTGGTAATTACCAGCAATTCCAGATTGTGTTAAACATCTTTGTAACTCATGAGCATCTATTTGTTGATCCTGCAAAAACAAATGCATGTACAGACTATGTCAGCTACCGTAGCTACGTAATTGTAACATGGAGTGATTCAGAGAGTTCTGCGTAAAATAAGATCCAATCTAATTCCTTATCCCACTAGTTTAGTATCAACATTACCATAATACTCTTGATAACATTTTACTTATATACTCAATGCCATGTAATTAATTGACGTTGGCGAAATAATAAAATACTAATCCTAAAATCCTGGTATAGACTATGAATGTAATTTAAAATAATGAATATAGCGTTATACAGAACAGTTATCATTTTGTAATAGCGCGATGATTCGGTATTATTGTTCATTATTTTATGAGCTGAGTTACTTTGAAAGCTCAAAAGTACCTTAATTAAGTTATATGTCCTATTTTGATATTTAAGAAAGAGAGTTAGTTGATTGTCGATGGTTCGAAAATTGTTCATTTACAGCTAATAATTTTTGATAAATAGATTATCTTAAACTGATGTACTATATTCCGTAATAATATAATCAAGAGGAGATGACAAGAGATTCTCTCTAGAATGTTTAGTAACGTAGATAATGGGCATTTCAATGCATAACTACCTGCCAGATGATGGTTCTATTGGTCAATCCTACTACCATTTTACAATCATTAAGCAATACGTAATTTATTTCAAGTATCATGAATTACTGCGTTAGCCATTTTAATATTACGGTTTTGAGATTTTAAATCTATTTTTAATTAAATGATAATATTGTAATTTGTGTAGCCTACAAACTTTACAGAAAGATGTGGGCCAGCCATAGCTCCAGTAATATATTCAAAAAACGACAAAATAAATCTATCCATTGCATGTATAGCACAGTAGAGCTGCTATGTTTATCACTGAATTCATATATCGTAAGTAGGCGGTAATAATTTCAAATCAACTAGAATACAAATAAACTATACTAACTGGGTAAGACTTACACTTCCAGCTACGGCTGAGAAATAGCCATGTAAAGGATCAACGCCTCCCTGCAGTTTTGAAATAAAAGAGTATTTGATTACGATTCGTCAGAGAGAAGATTCACCACTGCAAAACTTCACGTGCTAGTCAAAGTTGCACCGCAAAGGATACAGAGAGGAATTGAATACAATCAACATAAAAGATCACACGATAACATATTTTGATAGCGGTTAATCAATCAGTGTTAAAATTTGTATTTGTAAAAATATGATCAACTGTGTGGTAGGCTATTATTGGTAGCAACTCGATTCTGATAAAATTAGTGAAATTGTAATGCCAACATTTAGTAACGATTTTCATGGATAACACTACCTATTTTTCATTTTTCAAATCATAATATATAGTATTAAAAGTATAAAACAGCAGAGATGACATGGTATTAGAATGATGTTCGCCTTCATCACCTTAATATGAACGATTTCTGAAGAACATCTTAAAGTATGTTACAGATTAAGGAACGAACACATAATGTATTAGTACGATGATAATAGGATATAATTAGGCCTAGTAGACTGTTGCATACATTGTATTAAATTATTTAGCTTGATCTGTATTGTAGTAAAAGTGACGATGGAATCAGTAAGAGTTACGATTTTCAATATCATTGGCAATGCTGTTCGTATCGATGTCATGTAGAACTCCTAACGAAGGTCCAGTTTCATTTACTGTATGTATACGAGTATTGTTACTACTGTCGAATGGTGTGTTAGTCCATATACTGTAGTAACCAACAGTACAGAGTGCAGTAAGATTAAAACTAGCAGATAACGCCAATCAGTTTTTTTCACGTATGAAGTTTTAACATCTCACTTATAGCATTGCATATAGATACATCATTACTACTTACAAATAGACATTCATGCACAATTTGTTATACAGCACTGATGAATAACGTTAATAATATAACTAGTATCTAGAGTCATGCCTAACATAGGGAACGAGTGAAAGAAGAGATTAAAAGTACAAAAGCAGTTTAAAATTGGACAAATTTCGAATGCAGCAGGCCTGCAACTTATTAGCACAAATTACTTCATTGGAATATAATGATATTTATATTAGTGTCGAATAAACTTACTGGGGCAGCAGCTGGATAACAGGTTGAGACTGAAACAGGCTGACCAGCAGGTTGAGCGCCAGGATAAGCTGCATAACCTCCAGCAGGATTATAGCCTTGAGGTGGTTGCTATTTTGAAACGAATGATGAAAAGTCAACGTCAACATCAAGGAACTGACTGTTTTTGCTACACATTAAATTAAGCCATGAAAAATAAAAAATAATCTCTTCTACTGTAGAATGCTCGTGACCTGAGCAGGTTATCATTTTGAACTAATGAAAAGGCAGTGCCAGCATGGAAGAACTGACTATTTTTGCTACATATTAAGTTAGGCCATAAAAAATAGAATACTGATATTTTCTACTGTAGAATACATGATCATTTCAAATAATAGGAAATGAATACTGCATGGAAAAGGATTTTGATCCATGCAAAGACTGCCCTATCCAATACCGCACAGCGGGATAGCGAATACATCTTTGGCAGTTGTTATCGTACATCTTACAAGCAACAACAATTTGTAATTTACAATAATAATTATTATCATTTCATGGGTAGAACGGTAAGCATTGAGCCGACCTAGTCAAGTCCAATGCCGACTTCAAAGTAGTGCACACATACAGTAGTAGAACGATATCGAGCACATGGAAAATGATTTTGATCCAATATGATGAGACGAGCATTCTCCAAGATTATCTATCTTTACTTTTACTTTTTACTTTATCTAGTGTATTGTACTGTATACGTATTGCGATTTTCGATCGATGATATCAATTTTGATGGCTTATTTGGCGTTCATCTATGCTGGCTTTGTCATCGATTGATCTGACAGTATACTTGGGCCGAATTGAAATAAACTACTCACGAGATCTATCCAACTAACTACATTGTTGGTTAAGGGAAATAATCATGAAAAAATAATAATCAAAGGTGAATAATAATGATGATGATACCAGCAGAAAAAAAAAAAAAAAATGATGATCATTAATTAATAAATAAGCAAACCAACATCATAGACCTTGCCTATAGATAAGGTCTAATGAAGTTGAGAAATGAATGACAGCGGTGATTTTCAGTCATGAAAGGGATCATCAAATATGAAACTTACACCATAACCAGGATAAGCCATACTGAGAAAAAATGGATGTGGATTGGAGTTAGGAAAAGATTTCTTGCAAGAAATTTTGGTGTAATGATTGACCGAGTTCAATTACTGTACTATACCATGGACTACTAGAAGAAGATTTGGATTGATCACTCCTTCGGAGAGACGGACTTTTCCTACCCAATGAGACCGTTAACATCAATCAATGATTCCTTAGTTTGGATCTTCCGTGTCCAGTTTATAAATCACGGTATTAATTTCAATAGCGTCTACGATCTTCTATAACTGTTTTGAAGCAGAAATGGGTAACCGATAGTCAGATTTAATGCAATATTACTTCATTGAGGAAACATTGGTCCATTCAAAATGGACCAACTGCATCATGCATACTTACTAATTCAAGTACGCCATAACGAAGTGTTTGGTACAATATTTGGACGAGATGAGGCCGACGAATGTCTGTCCGTCCAAGAGAGAGAGATCAATCCAGGTCTTCTACTAGTAGTCCATGGCTAACGTACTCAGTGTACAGTACAGTATACTGTTGTGGACTGTTTACGTACATACTGTGCAGCGTCTGATAGACTTCGATGGCACCCCTGAAAAGATATAATTGTGTAAGTTCAATCGGGCCCAAACTAGATCAATGCTATATGTAATTGTAGCCTGATATACGGGTATATATATATCAATATGATACAGGAATTTCAACGGAATCCAACTTTGATTTGGAACGAAAGGGCGCCATGGAAAACAATCAGACTTACTGTACAGTGTACAGTACATTGTACTCGTGCGTACTGTACTGTACACTGTACAGTAAACGTTGCTCCATTTGCACTTGCGCAGTTACCTTGACGCGACTGTGCCATTCTGATGGAGAACCGTCTGTCTGACCATAGTCTGACACTGGTAGAGTAAAAGAAGAAGCTTTGTTTTACTCCACGTCTATGTACCATACAGCACTGTCAGTCAGTCACCGTAGACTGAAGTGGACGCACGGTAAATTCACTGCACACTGTGAGATCGCGCGCTACTGGCGACTGTCCAAGATTCTTCTGCACTTTTTCTCTTTGACTGCAGCAATTATCGACACTAGCGGCACCAAATTTTACATTCATTATACACTAATAATCTGTAAAGGCATTGCAAAACGATTATAGTACATCGGCACCATGGATGCAAATCTATATGATGAGTTTGGTAATTATATCGGCCCGGAGTTGGAAAGTGAAGAAAGTGAAGAAGAAGATGAACAAGATGAGATGCTTGAAGACGCTGACGCCGAAATGGTAAGAGATAGCCTCCAATCGACTACTACTAATAATGAATTAATTCAATGGTCAAGGCAAAATTTCCGACATAACCATATCGCTCTGTCATAGCCACATTAATAGTATCATGCATACTTTATTTTGGAAATAAAGTCTTGCTGTTATTCCACTTTTATGACGACTTGATTTTCAAATTGATATCACATGTAAAGCCAGTACTGAAACGAATAGCTACAGACAAGACATCAACCTTTGCCTTTTGATAGTTGTGTAAATTTCAATCCAGTCTGTGCTCATTATTCAGTTGGACAGCAACTAGTGTAAAATCTGAAGGCAACTACTAGCCCAGACTATGCTACAAGAGTTCACATCTTCATGCTACCGCTTAGTGCTTCATGTCATTACTCATCCATACAGTCTAGTCAACGATTGGGTGTTGCACGTGTAACATGCAGACAAACACTACTAACAATACGTGCTGCACTACACTAGTCAAGAAATACCAACCACTTACCTCGCGCTCTTCAAAGAAAATCTCCTTTCCATCATGACTACTAGGATCCAAAATAGTCCAATTGAAGATCAAATCGATCAATACTAGGCGTTAAATTGATATTTACTGTTAATTTGAATACGATACGAGATACGCGTACATGTATTACCAAGCTGATGCAAAGTTGAATACAGTACATTGCGATCTAGGGATCACCATGGTTATGCAATTCTTTTGCCATGCCATTCCAATCTAAACATAGATTGGAGTTGAACTGAATACAGTAATGGCAGTTAGATGTGCTGTGCAACCAATTACCCATAGGAACATTACGCTATTTCGCCATAGACGGTATGGGACTAATTTCATGGAGGGATTGTCGCTAATATACTTCAGTATTTAACAATCATTTTATGATTAGGCAACGGTAGTACTAGCTCCTGTTCTGGAAACGGGTAGAATGGCTGGTGTAGGATACTACACTCATTTCGACTACTACCAATGTGTGCAAAAATTAAACTCAATCCGTAGTCTATGGACAGTTTGAAATGATAGTTTTTTTTACTACTCAAATGAATGTAAAAATAGTCAAGCCTATTTTAAATTAATGAAGGAATAACAGCATTTCCTTATCAATTGCAGGATGATGTAGGCGATGAAGATATGGAAGACGGACCGCAAATAGAGACCGCTGTAGTATTGCATGAGGTAATTTTATAACGCTAATACTCTTAGTTTCTACTCTTTCAGGAAGATTTTTGTGTCCAATGCTTACTCATTTGGCAGATTGCTCCTTTTAGGATGATCGTTACATTAAATTATGCTTTAATAAAATACGGAATATTTGTCTTATGAGTATGATAGAAAGCTACCATAAAATAGAATTTATACCTGTTATCAATACCTAACTCTATCTTAGATATAGACTGAATCATTTTTGGAATACGTTATATTATGAGCATCATAGAAAGCAACAGTATCATACGATTACATGTATTATCATTTCATTTAACTAGTTCTTTAATCGAGACTAAAATCATGTTTTGAATATAAACATATTAGTGTTGATAGTACGATAGAAATGATAATCTTGTAGAATTACACGTATTATCATTTTACTTAATTATAGCTTAAATAGAGCACTCAATATTCACTTTTATTATTAGGATAAGAAATATTATCCCACTGCAATGGAGGTTTATGGTCCTGGAGTTGAGGTACTGCTGAGTTTTTTGTACAACATTTGCGTATCATTAAATTTGTAATGTATTGTCCAAATACATTAAGACTATCAGACCTTAGCTGAAATAGATTATTCAAAGTCTAGTCAATGATGTAACTGTTATGCTAGCTTTAAGAAGATAGTGTATATTGTATTGAAGATTGATAAAGAAAAATCGGAGTTATATATAGATTTATAGGCTAGTTTAAAATCATTAATATATTTAGTTTGTCCTACTTTAAGACTCCTTAATCAAAATTAGCATCAAATTACTTTAATGAAATCGTTTATAATGCCGTTAATTAAATTTTGTCTTCATTGCTATAGACTGTCGTTCAAGAGGAAGATACACAACCTTTAACCGGTTAGATAACTGCCAATACATAACCTTCTCTAGTCGTGTTCATTAGAATTCTTCATGCGCATAAGATATTGATTTGAAATTGTATGAACAACGTTATGTATATATATAATATCTATCATTATAATTGTATCTTGTATTAGAGCCTATCGTACAGCCAGTAAAGACTAAAAAATTCACCTTTACTGAGGATGAATTACCTGAAACTGAGTACAACATCGAGTAAGTATCCCAAGATTGGAGCTATAATGTAGCATGCTCATATTGAAGTAGGGCAATTTTTTTTACAGTTCATATTTTACCGATACCTTAACGTTTTTCTGTTTGATACTTTCCGCACTAGATACCTAGCAGATATTTTAGATAATCCTGATTTGGTTCGAAATGTTACAATTGCTGGCCATCTTGCTCATGGCAAGGTTGGGTAGACAATAATTTCAATTTTTATGATTTACTTTCTCTTGCCGTATAAATAAACTAAATTATACTCAAGTGCTAAATTGGTGTATGTTGCAGACATCGTTAGTAGATTGTTTCGTTGAACAAACCCATCCAAAGATAAGAATAGAAGATTGTAAAGATGTTAGTAAAGATGCTAAGTGATGTCTTAATGAATAGCTTAAAGATAATCCTTCAAATCACCATAATCATGCTTCATTATATTAATTAATGAACTATTTCTACTTTAGTTGCGGTATCCTGATATTTTATTCACTGAACAGGAGGTAAGGCGTTAATAATATTTACAATTAATTAATCATTTGTTGATAGCTTTTTTTAGTAATCATAATTAATTTATTCGTAATGAGTGAGTTTCTTTATTTTGTCCATTCTTATATTAAAAATTTCGTTTTAGAGAGGCATTAGTATTAAGAATTCTCCGTTATCCTTGATAATGCCTAATACACGAGATAAATCTTTCATCATGAACATTTTCGATACTCCAGGTTTTACGAAATAAAATTATACTTCAACTATATAGTAGCTGTATTAGGATTAACAAAGTAAAATCCGCTTTTATTTTACTTTGATATTAGGCCATGTAAATTTCTCAGATGAAGTTAGTGCGGCATACAGATTATCAGATGGAGTGGTTCTAGTCATTGACGCTTCAGAAGGAGTTATGGCGAATACTGAAAGACTTTTAAAGCATGCGATTCAGGAACAGTTAGCTGTTACTATCTGCATAAATAAAATCGACCGACTAATTTTAGAACTAAAACTACCTCCAGCTGATGCTTACTTCAAACTTAAGCATATAATTGACGACCTCAATAGCATAATTAGGTTAGTAGTATGCGTTAATTAGAAAAGTCTCGTTAACAAAATAACTAATGGTCCACTTACGATTTTATTAAAAAGTACGTTTTCAGAAGAAGAGGAATGTGCTATTTCTCCGTTGTTGGGAAATGTTTGCTTTGCAAGTTCGTTGTTCAGATTTTCGTTCACGCTTCGATCCTTTGCTAAAAGTTACGTCGATGGTTATGGTAGGTAAAAAATCTCAATTTATTATACATAATTAAGAGCTCATTTAAATAGTTGCTTTCATGCGAAGGTGTCAATATTTCACCTGATGACTTTGCTAAGAAACTTTGGGGAGATATGTACTTTAATTCTAAGACGTAAGTATACGCGTATGTAATACCGTTATGCTTGTTCGAAAAATGATTATTACGTAAATTTTTACATTATCGTTCTATTCCTTATTAGGAGAAAGTTTACAAGAAAACCTTTAGTTAGCACGTCCCAAAGGAGTTTTGTCGAATTCATATTGGAACCACTATACAAGTTGTTTTCCCAGGTTGGAGTATTTTTTTATTTAATTCATAAGTTAATGGCAATGTGGAAATAAACATAACATTATGTTTCCGTCAGATTGTCGGCGATGTGGATACGACATTACCAAATCTACTTAATGAACTTGGTAAAGTAGTTATTAAGAATTTGAAATGTGTTGTCTGTCGTGCTAGCAATCGATTAGCATACCTGTAATCGCTCTGGATTTACAATATCGAATTTAAACGGTAACAGGTATTTCACTAAAAAGAGAAGAGATGCAGTTAGACATTAGACCCTTATTACGCCTAGTTTGTAGGAAGTTCTTCGGAAATCATTCAGGTAAATTGTTTAATTTAATAATCTCGCATAGTTGAGAAATAAAGAACCTAATATCTTAACTGCGTCTGAACGTAACATCCATTGTTTAGGATTCGTTGATATGTGCGTAGAACATGTACCTTCACCGGCACAAGGTGCAGAAAGAAAGGTCAGTTGATAGCATCTATTTTATTTACATAGTAATATTTATTGTTGTAGTCTTGTACAATAGTTACTATTATTTTGTGTTGTAAATGTCCGTATAATCAGCTTTTGATTGGCGACTTTTATTTATCATTTGTAATGGTAACAGATAAAGCATGTATATAGCGGTCCTATAAAAACTGAAGTTGGTGAATCAATGCTAAGCTGTGATTCTGAGGTATTGTTTTATTAATCTGCATCTAAGCTAACGGTTCGGTATGAATACAAAATTTAATAATTTGTTCCTGGATATCATTAGGGACCCCTTATGGTTTATGTGACAAAACAATATCCTACCCAGGATGCTACAAGTTTTCATGTTTTTGGACGTGTGATGAGTGGCACAAGTATGATACTGTAAATTATTTACTATAATATTTTGTTTTATTAAAGTATTACTTCGTTGATATTAGTTTATTCAAGACAACAAGTTAAAATAATGGGTGAAAATTATACATTAGAAGATGAAGAAGATTCACGTATTGGAGAGGTTTGATATATCTAGCTCCTCATGCTGTAAAGTGTGATTATCTCTAGAATTACTATAAGCACTTATTGTGTACACAAAGGATTACAAATACTTTTTTACATTTAGGTTGGAAGATTATGGATCTCCGAGGCAAGGTAGATGAGAACATTTAGCCTAAACGGTTCTAAATTACCATTATTGACATCATTTTAATAATTTATAAAGATATCGAATTGAAGTGAATCGAATTCCTGCTGGCAATTGGGTCTTAATTGAGGGCATTGATGAATCTATTATTAAGACGGCTACAATTACTAATGTTTCTGGAAATGATGAGGTTTGCAACTACTATGATATGGATTGTATAGATTATCATTAGACTTCTTCCTTTAGTAAGTAGTCCATGAGTCACTTTAACATTGACAAGAAAATATGACTCCTTTCTTTCTTAATCAAAATAATAGGCATATATCTTTAGGCCTTTGAAATTTAATACGATTTCATCGGTTAAAATTGCTGTTGAGCCACATAACCCATCAGAATTACCGAAAATGGTCAACGGTTTGCGTAAAGTGAATAAAACCTATCCTTTACTTGTAACCAAGGTGTGTTGTAGTATACCGTTACAATAGGAAATTGGATTTCATCAAATAATTCTGTCTTGCGATAACAAACATATGACTTACTGCAAAAGCAGCCATTTATGTATATCTAAATTGTACAACAGCTTTTCTATAAGCTTATTTTAACTATTTTCAAGGTTGAAGAATCGGGTGAGCATGTCGTTTTGGGTACTGGAGAATTATATTTGGACTGCGTTATGCATGATTTAAGAAAGATGTATTCTGAAATTGGTATGATTACAACTGTGCCTAGTAAAGATGAATTTAATAGAAATATTAAAAGTCAAATATTTATAATTTATCAATACTCATTTTATGAAGACATCAAGGTTGCCGATCCTGTTGTTACGTTTTGTGAAACCGTCGTTGAGACTTCATCGTTGAAATGTTTCGCCGAAACCCCTAATAAAAAGTAATTATACCTAATTCTGCATGCTTCTGTTGCACAGAACCTCTCATTGAGCCTTAACCGGTAACAATTGCTAAGTTAGGTCTACTTTTTCGATTTTTTTAGGAATAAATTAACTATGATTGCTGAACCGCTGGAGAAAGGTATTGCGGAAGATATTGAAGCTGGAGTTGTGCAAATTGGATGGAACAGGTTAGAAATAATCTGGATAGATATGTAATGATATGATCTAAATCTATTACTATTTTATTTCAGGAAACAGCTAGGTGAATTTTTTCAAACTAAATATGATTGGGATTTGTTGGCTGCAAGATCAATTTGGGCTTTTGGTCCTGAAGTAAATGGCCCAAATGTTTTAGTAGACGACACACTTCCATCTGAGGTAGGTAGATTATTTTTAAATATACGAGTACTCGTATCTTACCTGTACAAAGTTAATAGAAGATTTTATGCTACTGCAATTATTTAAGCTTAAAATGGTGTAGTTAGCTTTGGAAGTATTAACATTTTGAATATCTTTTACAGGTGGACAAAAGCTTACTAAATTCAGTCAAAGACTCCATAGTCCAAGGATTTCAGTGGGGAACCAGAGAAGGCCCTCTTTGTGATGAGCGTAAGTTTGATATTTGTTATAAAAGTTCGTTGTGAAATATGCATAATACAGTATATGATTTGTGCAATAGCTATCAGAAACTGCAAGTTCAAGATTTTGGACGCTATCATTTCTGACGAGCCAATCCATCGTGGCGGAGGACAAATTATTCCGACATCACGCCGTGTTGCCTACTCTTCTTTCCTACTTGCTACACCAAGACTAATGGAACCATATTTCTTTGTAGAGGTTCAGGCTCCAGCAGATTGTGTATCGGCGGTTTACACGGTTTTGGCCAAAAGAAGGTACTGTATCAAGGGCAATCGTCCTTTACCAAGTTGATATCCCGTATACGTTATAAAATATTATACCCGATTGACAGATTAATGTTGTATTCATGATGCACAGAGGTCATGTCACCCAAGATGCACCCGTACCTGGATCCCCTCTTTACATTATCAAGGCTTTTATACCTGCGGTCGATTCATTTGGCTTTGAAACCGATCTGCGAACACACACACAAGGACAAGCTTTTTGTTTATCCTTTTTCCATCATTGGCAGGTAAGTTAGGTGTTGTTAGAATTTGTCATTAATTCTTCTAATATAATGGTTTTAATGCACTAGATCGTACCTGGTGATCCGTTAGACAGATCTATTCTTATTAGACCTCTGGAGCCACAACCGGCAGCACACTTAGCTAGGGATTTTATGATTAAGACTCGCCGACGCAAGGTACTTCCTGACGTTTTTTCGTATACGCGTATCATGCGTAAAGTTGCAACTGTTATGAAAGCTTAATCGTACTTATTCTACTCATAGGGGCTTAGCGAAGACGTCTCCATCAACAAATTCTTCGATGATCCTATGTTATTAGAATTAGCTAAACAAGACGTATTTTAATAAAACTGTTTATTCGTATCGTGACGTAGAATGGTTAGATTTGTGAAGAGTCTTATGATATGAATATTCCCATCATACTTTTTCCTAAGTATTATTACACCAAATATCCAGCTCTCAATATTCGTCAGAATGTACAGATACCTCGTAGAAGACAATGTCTTTATTTTACATAACAGTTTTTTGACTTTTATTTAAGAATGGTTTGAAATAAAGATGATTTTAAAATTTTATTTCTCGTCTTCATATCTTATAATAACATTATTTGATATGAATTGAATATATATATACTGTACTAGAAATTTACTGATAGTCTTTCAGCTTGCTGCTGAAATATTTCTCCAAAGTTACAGCACAACGATAATATTCTGTCTCAGGTCGATTATACGTCTTACAATTGGCTATCATACGATTCAGATCGGCAACGAAAAGTTTTTTACTAATATAATATCCATTTGCAATTCTTTCTCCTATTGTTTTAAGGTCTTTAAAATAAAAATTATAGTATTAACTATCATCTACAGTAGTAAAAGCAAAAGTATAGCAATCATACGTGTAGAATACATTGTTTACTCACCTATTGGATATTTAATGAAATCGTAATAATCAGGAGCATCCCTTTTATCAACAGGTTCTAGGAATGGCCATGCACTGGGATGATTCTTTAAAAACAGTACAAATAAGTGACAATAAGTCTAATGTAAATTTCTGTAAAGAATGTTAATATTTTAAACAGAGGAGTAAAGGATATGGTAATTAGCCAAGCTTACAATGAGCAAAAATAATATTACTGCTTCTTGCGGCATACAAAAAAATGATATCTTAAGTACTTTTAGTAGGTTTCTACCTTTATTTGATTCAAAGAGTTCTTTAAAATAATTTCTAACTTTGTATCATCCGCTTGCTCGCTGTATTAGAAATACATAAAAAGTACCAGTTTAATGATAGTACTTAGTATGTAATGGATAGTTTTGATCAATATGGAAAATAAAACATACTCTTGGCTTGATGGGATACGCAAACCAGACTCTCCTTAGAAGTAAATGTTACAATTAAGACATAAATCGAGAATGAGTAAAATAGAATCCGTTCTATCGTAAATAATTGCTTTAATGAAACCTGCTAATCTGAAGCATCGCATCAAATAGCTACTATATTGCTGAAATTTATATCATTAACAAGGTTTTCGACCAAACACATGGCAGAAACGAAAATTAGATTTTACTGAATAACGTTATACATACTTATTCCTGGTATATTCTCAACAGGAATGTGGCTGACACCTTCTTTGAAGCAAGTCAAGCCAGGATAAACCTTACGAAACTCTTGGCGTTTTGATTCAATTAGCTCCTTGATAACCTTAAGTTGGAACGCTATGTCAGTAAATGATATTCACATAAAAGTAGAATGACTACTTAAACTTGTACCAACAGGAGTTGAACTCACTTCTTTTTGCATCTTTAGTACCAGTGATAATTCAGTATATACAATTTTAGGATTTAACGGACACTATAAGTACATAAGAAGGGATTACACTTTGGTAATAGTCAATAAAGGCAACCTTTAAAAAATATACTAAGTAAAACTACATCAGCAGACAATAACCCGTACCCACATCAAGGTAGCACCCTCATAATCTTTAATAAAGCCAGTGTATACCGACTTTCCAAGTTTAATATCTTTTGAAAATCCCTACATAATTAATTAAATTAAGTGATGATATAATAGATAAAAGGATAACTTCACTTGAGTGGTTAAATAGTTCTCTTTACTCTACCTGTTTCTGAAAATAGCCAATTGCATATTCATCAGCATATGTAAGAAAGTTTAAAACGTTCATTTTGATGTGATAATCTTTCAGATGGTTCATTAAGTGGGTGCCATAACCCTTTCCAATTAGAATATAACAAGAATTAGATCTTAGGAATATGCTATCGACAATGCGACATAGTAGTAACTGTTTCAAAATGGATTATACCAGTGTATTTGAAATAATCACCTTAACTTGTTCGTTGGAAGACACAGCACAAAATACAATTTCCGAAAAGTTTTGAGTAGGAAACATCCTAAAACAAATTCCTCCTATTGCTCGATTATTCTTTATTAATGCCAGAGTCCTATGTTTACTACATTAAACCAAGTAGACAAATTGCGTTGTTAAATTACAGGCATTTCTGTATCATGCTATCAAATAAACGATATTTCTTAGAAAAGATTCTCATACTGATCGAATACTAAGCGAGTTATATATTCCCGAGGCATCCTGGGTAGCTGGTATGAAAATACGTTACGTAAACCAATTAACCATTTCAGCGTTTGCCGAGAAGGATCAGATGTTACTGAATTGGCTACAACATGAAAGCCTATTACTGATGATTTTTCCTCATTGCGTGCGAGCTCATCGCGTGTACTTTGAGTTGAAAATCCTCCCCCCTCAAGTAGTTAAAGATGCAATTAATATCTTATTATCATATTAATAGCTCATAGTGTTGCTAATTATACGGTGTATAGTGACAAAGACAACAGGTAATACCTGAGGGCCAACCATGGCTTGAGTATCGGAAATTTTCGCAACAATTTTTGCAACGACTGTCCTTGGGACATCATCTGGATTGTTAACAATTTAATAGCTTCAATCATGTGTTGAATATAGAACTGTTTCCTCATGCAATGATAAATTAACTTACTGGCAATTTTACTCTTCTTGCTATCGTTACCATCGATTATGCTCAACTGAGATGAAGACCGCTTCATTCCTGCTGTGGATAACTCTGTAGTTGGAACGTTATTATCATCGTCAGACCGTGAAACCCGGTTAGTTGACGAAGGCGTCGGTAACTTTTGACCACTGATTGGCTCCATTGCAGTAATTGAAAGATTTAAGTTAATGCTTGGATCCCACATTGCAGCTGTAGAATTTTTTAATACTTCATTTTCTAACGCTTCTAGAAATCTAAATTATTTAAACGATATTTAAGGATCAATTGGTAAAGTGCTATGTTAAAGTTAACTTGTATTTATAATTTATATTGTAAGTTTTCGACTGCTTACCCCGGAAATTTGTTAATAAGTTTAATATATCTTTCATCATTTCGTTTATCTTTGTCATTTTGAAATCGTAGAATAATTTGCTCCTTAATAGTGGTAATTACAGATCGTAGAAATGTTCGACCGAATGTAGATATTAAATTAAAACGTTCAAAACTGTCACAAAGGACTGGAATGTGGCAGAAACAGAGCCATCTGATAAAATGATATTCAAGTCAGGTTAGCCATAGATAAGAATGGATTAACCAATGCTAATATTATAAGTATAGAAATTGGTAATTTTTTTCTGTAATTTAATGAAATACAGTAACATACTAAGGATTTACCTATTATAATTTATTTTATATATTTGATCATCTGCTTGAGCATTTAAACGCGCTTTACGAGCAGATGGGCTTTCAATTCTCCATCGATTAAGGCATCTTAGAAACATTTTTGCTAATTCATGCATGATTTGCCATTCAGCTTGCTTTAAATTGCTAAATTTTAGCATTGTGAAATTATAAACGGCCTACGTGATAATAAATCGATATTTATTACCAATTTGAAGATTAGAATTTATTGCTACGGTAAGGATGCTATCTATGTTATTCCATGCATGTTGTCATTGTTGATAGTAATTAGTGATGTACGGTTATCCTATATATCATATCCAATCCTACTGAGTTATGGCACTTACTCTTTCAATAGTCGGCTGTTCAAATGGAGGTTTGCCAAGCTGCGTATCAAGAGATGGACGAATAGCACTGTTGATGCATTTGCGCAATAATTTGTAGACGTAGACATAAACCTAGTACAATAAAGTTAAAGTAGATTAAGTTAGTGAGAATATTATGAAATTATTGCTGTAAATACAGGTCAGTATTATTGTACGATAGTCAGATATCATACCTATCTGGTAAATTAAAAACTACTTAGTATGTTGATAACAACGTTATAACTAATTGGTATATATCTATAAACAATCATTTACACTTATCAGATTATTATTACATTAGTAGTGCAATGCCATATCTTCAAGTATTATGACAATAGTATAATCTCAATCATATTTTAAATTTACTCTTATTTTAGTTTGTAAACTTTCGATCCTATCTAGCTGTGATTTGCTACCTTGTCTATACCATCAATATTGTCTATCTACATGTTGACGCTTTGCTTTGTATGTATCTTATTTTATGATTCTAGTTATCAACCTGTTTAGTATCATTATCGATATGCTGATTGGATACCAGCACCCATATGCTGTCCATATCGACGGTCATTGAAAGTAACTTGCCCAATTCGTCATCATCCAGGTGTTTTAAATGAACAATATGAGAGGTCAAAGAATGGCCACAACTTTTACATGCTTCTAGAAGTATTGCATTCTCGCTGTCTGTGGCGCAGTCGTTAGTGCTAGTATCCTTGTCTTTGTTCTCGTCTATGTTGCCATCACTGGTATTTTTATTTTGCGATTGTGTGATACTACTTTTCCAGGCTGTGCAAGAGCAGGAATCCTTATCCTAATAATCAACACCGACCATTAATAGGATAGTATTAAATTGATAATTAATGACCAATATTGCAATAAAATTAGTGTTGGCTAGAGTGTATTTTTGTCTTCGACTATTATCTATTTTCTATATTAACATACAAGTACTGTGTGTAAACAATGAACTACTCCATTTATGATGTCAAGGACATTGGAAGGTTAATTGTAATTATAATTTACAGTAAAGCATCAATCTGGATGACTGAATGATATTAATATCGATGTCTGTTTTTACTTGAAGAATGTCTCTAACAATTTACAAGATGATATGCATTTATATGTGACTTGTTAAACGTTTAGCTGATGATAATTAAATGAATATAGTCTAAAAATTGAAAACACTCTACCAGTGTGTTCTAACACTTTGAATAATCTTGTCATAGGTGTAAAATACATTAGCTCGTTATCAAGCAGTCTTATACGGAATCAGTGGATATTTAACTAGACTATGATGGAGTGATATCAATTCATAATTATTATAATCAGCTGTAGGGATTTATGAATTGATCTAATTTCAAAATGGAGCTGAGCAGAGTGATTTTTCTAGCCAAGAAGTGTACAGTCGTACTGTTTTATTGTTGGCCACTTTGCTATCCTACTACTGGAACAGTAGATATGTTGTGAGTGTAATGTATATGATACTTACTCGACATGATGAATACATTGCTAATTTCTGTAACTTTTTACATTTAGGATACGATTTGAGATAGGCCTTGCGTTGTGCACTCTTTTCAAGTAGTGATGACCTGCTTCCCTGGCCTGCATGTCCGCTGTTGGTAGTCAGAAAAGGCTGAATTTTACTTTTGCCCGCAACGTCCGCCATGGAAACCAATATGAAATCGACAACTGGCGCACACGATAGGATACAGTACGCAAATGAAAGTGACAGCAACTGCAGCTACAGTATTAAGCCCAGCCACAGTGGTACTGTCAGTCAACTCCAGTTTCGATGACCGCATCCATACTGTCCAGTCAGAGCTAAACAGGAAACACTAGAGTATACAGTACTAAGTACAGTATTCAGTGGTGCTCACGTGATCGTGCTAGACGCATGCGCATCCAGACGCTGCTCGGCCCGGTCGCAGTATAGTACTGTTGAAACTGTTGAAACTTCTCGAGATGAAAGTTTTCGGTCATTTATCCATACAAACTGTGTCATTGAACCCCGAATGGCGATTGCGATTCTGGATTCAGATTTGATTTTATAATTTATAGTGCTTGCCTGCTATCATGCTACTTTTTCCGATCAATTTCCTATATTACATCGCTGTGTTCGTGGCAGACTAGCGGTAGGATACTAAAGTGCCTGGTACAGTACTGAATGGATGGATCAAGTAAAAGCTGAAGAGGAAGGATCAGTGATTCCATCCATGTCAATCTGCATAATTTACTTACTGCTTACACCATCATTACTGTAAGCCTCAGCAACATTTACGACTTCAATAGGCCTGCTACTTCTTCAAATTGAGCTCAAAAGTATTTTAAAAATAAACTATCTTAACTAACTTTTTACTATTATTATTAGAGTAGATTGAATTTAAAGATTAGCTCACACGTTATCCCATTGCAAGATGAGCATGATAATCCAGGATCTACCCACTGTATTTAGAAGAGTAGCGTATCTGTCTATACGGATTGAAATACCATAAAAGCTGCACATCCCACGTTTCTACGCTTATATCAAGTGCATAATACTGATTCTTTCTCCTGATTCGCCTCGATATTAACACTACAGTAAGCATAGGAATATAAGGGACTAATGAAATATTTTAATCTTAATTTAGTATCAACAACTTTTAAAATATCTGGAAGTCCCTGATAATCCGGCAACATACACTTTCAAATTTTCCTTCGCTTTGTGCATACATACAATCGAATATACCTACCATATAGTGTATATATATGACGTATATAGCGTTATACCTACAGTATATGAATTGGCTATCAAATCTTTGCAAAATACCAGTGAATCGAACTAAGCAATCCCACGTTATGGACAGCAATTTGCAAAGTGTTCCATCAGAAAGTATTGCATTTGTATAGTGCATCAGAAAGATTTTTATCCAAAGATACTTTGCGTACAGTTCACACGTTAACTATAAGCTTCAAAAATCATTTCAATGTTGCTCTTTACTAGCGAAAAATTTATTTTACTTAGTACCGTTTGAACCTTCATTAATTTCGATCATATAAAGTACTGTCTATTAACAAGTATTAAGATAGTGAGTACCTACTCGCTATATAGTTTTGAAAATCAAAAATTAACGCCACACAGATATATTAACAAGTATTAACTTAAGTGAGTCGTTGCTTGCTTTATACTTTGAAAATCAAAAATTAATACCACTAGGGAAACCGATGATCAGCAACAACTCATCAATAGAAATTTAAGCATATTCTTTACAGCTACAACGGAAATCTTGTGTCTTCAGATTATGTTGTATTCGTTCGGTACACTGGTGACTACCGTGAACATAACGAGTCGCTCCTACGTTAACACTAGCCACCGGCGTACTGCGTTACGATATGGCCTTGGATTAAAATCCTCCTAACTGTTCAGTGTAAACTTCGATCACATCATCATCTTCCATTTCCAACTAATCAATAGATTCGATTAAGAAGTCATTCAGACCATTGGCCGATAGAAAGGCAAAGGTAAAAGAAACTTTACTTAATCATGCAAAACCTGCACAGGATAAACAGACTGCATACCTGCTTGGGAGACATATCATCATTAATACGTTGGCCATCAAACAAGAATCGCAAAGAACCAATGGGAACACCCTGCATAGTCAAGAAAAGTAAATAAAATCATCGATGTGACCTCTAGTTAACAAAAATAGCACTAATCATAGTAATGATAATATGTGTGCACTGTGCTACTGTATAAATGCTATAATCAGTCAAGCAACAATATCCTCTTGCTAGTGCTAGCTTGCTAAACAATTTTCTGAAATTTTCATTTTTCAACTGTACCACAGTATACGCCCATCTAGTCCAATATTACTTAATCTTACAGCATTTAACAGCTCTCATTTCACTTACTGCTTTCGTAGTGTAACTGCTGTAGAACGTATCATTAATATAGGTAATAATATTAAGTTAGAGTAAGTTGACAGAATTGACGTCATACTCGTAGTGTATACAAAATTTTAAATATATTGTCATTAATAATAAGCTATTTCAGTCGCACCTATAACAGCCAGGAGTCCTATGAAAGATTTTACGATTTTAATTCTATAGTAGTACTGTGTAGTATACCATGTAGGCATGCACTGTACAATACTTGTTAGTACAGAGTCAATGTAATTTTAAAAGACAGAAAAGTAGTTGTTTGCTACCAAAAACTTCATTTCATACACATACTGTCCTATCCGAGCATCTTTAACATGTAAGATTACACGACACTAGATACAACTATACTGAATTTACAGTATACTGGTTACTACTGAAATAACGAGAATCTTGAGCCATATTTTTAATACTAATAAGCCGATCGAAAGTTGATTGTTGACGATTGTACAGGACAGTACATTTAAATAATTGTACAATGGAAAGTATTTCAACATCATTTCCAGGCTGCATACGAACGTACGTAGATTTCTATTGCAAGCATAATTTTTCGATATTCTATTAACAACTGTATGTGCATGAGCACAATCAACTGAAAGCTTGATTTACAACTCGTTCACAGAATGAGTGATCAGTACGGCCCGTTTAGGCATCAATTTTGCCTACTTTGGTATGGTAGAGTAGAGTGCAAGAGTCCTTATGGATAAGATGGAAATTGTTATTTTGTCATTCATTAATTGTTCACTGCGAAAGCAATACAATACTGTAGTACTGTATACAAGTCTATTACCGGTCCAGAGTATATTATACAGTATAGGCATGACGGTAGTGTGTTGAATAAAACGGACAGAGACTCCTGCGAAATAACTCTGGATTATTGAAGTATGTTACTAGGTATATGGCACACGGCTAAACTACTGTCATGGAAAGGTGGAGAAAAGATTCTTCATTAATATGTAGTAGAACATGAAATTTTCATCACTACTGTACTGTCGAACTTTATGGTCCAAATTTTACTTGATCGACTGCAATTATGGGATCAACGAACGATATGATAATATATTGCAATGTCATTCTAGAACAAGTAACTTACCTGGCGTTCACAATACGCAGCTTTTAGCTTTTTTAATTGTGTATTACGCTTGATTTTGAAATGTACTTCAGTATTATCCTATAAACAGAAATGAATACCTTAAGACGCATGCCAGACTTAGTATAAAAGCAGCACTATACCATGGCCGTTGTCAAAACATAGCAGGTGTAAAGGTACTACTTGGACAAGGTAGCCATGACCTAAACATTACTATATTGTACTAGCTTGTGGAAAATGCATTATACAACATTGATCCATGTCGATCAAAGCAGGGTAATTGCAATTTGATAATGATAGGGTTTATCTATTGAAATCAAGCCCAAACCGAGAGTAATCCACTATTTTATCCACATGTAGTCTACTGCCAAAAAGTCCTACCGTCGTAGTCCATATAGTACAGTATCATGTCATCGTCATACCTGTCCGACGACTTTGATGTTAATATGATCACTTTCGGGTTTGATTTCCTTTGCATCATCCTATTAACAAGACCAGCAATACAGAGTGAGGATAAAATATTGAAAACAATCCAGATGAAGGCAATACTTTACCTTTTGATTAACCTCAGACATGATGAATTGCTATTTTTTTGCAGGGGACTGTCGATATCTTGCAATCGTTGTGAGAGTTTGTAGACAGAATAGTGATTTTCAAGTAGGCTGAAGTAACTTGCATACAGTATGTACTGTACACTGTAGAGTACAGAGTACTCTAATCACCAGGTGATTTTTCTTTTGCCTCGTTTACTATACCCACTCGTACACTGTATAGTGTACAGTGTACAGTACTGTACGAGCTGTAACAGTACAGTATAAACGGTCCAGACAAGGACTGTAGTGACGCTGTTTCGTACTGTACAGTACAGTACTGTAGGTCATAACGGTTCAAAATGCAGTTTCGTTGTACAGTATTGTAGAGTGGTGTACCTCCTCCGAAGCACAATACTAAAGCCATTTTAGTTGCAATTGCCGTTTTAGCCTTTCCTTTTAGGACTACTTTTCACCTAGATGACATCTCTACAGTATATATCGGGAGAGCCATTCAGTAGATAGAAAAGTTGGCGCTTTTCAAGGGAGTTGAAGTCTACACAACGACTCCATCTTGCACAAGGATCAACAAAGGTGATTATTACAAAACGAAAGAGTCGATAGCCAAGCACTCACGTGGAACATGACCGTCTAGGTGGCTACTGTACAATATTGCACATTCTTGCAACGTGTACAGTACAATATTGCAAGGGACTTGTTTCAGTTTATTGTACTATACAGGACTGAGTGTACACAACTGTCTACTACTAGTAGTGTAGTGAAAGAATCGATCACCAAGCACTCACGTAGAACATGATATTCTATACTGTACGTATATTTGCACATTCTTGCAACGTTTTCCAAGAAACTTCTTTTGCTGTACTGTAGTGTACTGTACAGTACAGCACGGTAGAAGCATTGTCCGTCAATAGTACTGTGGAATCCGCGACTACTAAAAGAGAGGATTGCTAAATGATCGTGTTATATTCGTCCCTTGCCTACAACACGTACAAAATGTAAAATGAAGACAAATTTTGCAATTTGATTTACTGTAGTCTAAATTTGGAGAATTTTTTCTCCACTATCGACGAAGACAATCTTACTGCGGTCCAGGTCCAGTTCTGCTCCGAACCGAACCGTGCCTGTGTAAGAACACTACAGTGTACAGTGTACAGCAGTGGCTTGAAGACCGTAAAATACCGTACTGTACACTGTACAGTGCATAGCAAAATCAATGTCACTATAACATGCTGATAGTACTGCTTTTACACTACATAGTTGTCATCTAGCATGACATCATAGACTGCACAGACCGTAGGCGCATAGACTACCATAGAAAGTCTTCCAGTCAAAGAAATTAGCTAACTGCTTACAATACTCGGTGTACTGTAATCACCAAGTGCCCAACTGCCCATGCGACGAGGGGTAGACAAGAACGGACTGTACGGTGATAGGCATCATACCAGTACATAGCAAAATGAATGTCACTATAACATGCTGATAGTACTGCTTTTACACTATATAGTTGTCGTCTAGGATGACATCATCGACTGCACAGACCTTAGGCACATAGACTACCATAGAAAGTCTTCCAGTCAAAGAAATCAGCTTACCACTTACAATACTCGGCCTACAGTACTATACACAGTACAGTACAGTACTGTACTGTACTGTAAACCCCAACTGCCCATGCGACTAAGGGTAGACAAGACCGAGATTCGTTGCACGCAGCTGAACACTTTAGCTCCGGTGGAAAATGCTTTTAATGAATGCTCCATTTTAAAGCCAATTAATATACAAGCGTATCCATTTGTGTCAACGATACGCTACTGTCGTATTGGAACTTGCAAGCAGTGATAGATTCACCGTCCTATTACATTATACATAGAAGATGGAGTTACAAGCGATCAAACATAATCGCCTATTGACCAAGAATCCTCTACTCATCAGTAAAGATTCAAAGTAAGTTGACTGCGCGTTGGACAGCCTTGAAGAGGTCTTCAATGAATGATTGTCCACGTCTTCAGCTAAATGCAACTTATCCTTTCACTTCAGATTCATCCATGGCATATCTTTCTATTAATTAGTCCATGTATTATCGTAGTAAAGTGATCAATTGGAAATAGTAATGATATCGATTGTTGTTTCCATCATCAATGATAAATGATAAATGATAATAATGATAGGGCTTATCGTTACGGATGAGCACGACTTGAATAGTAGCGTCTGCAGTGCTAAATTAATTCAATTTCCTTTCTTATACTGCTAGGTATATCTTTTGCTATTGTCGCAATATTATTCAAATCTTTAGCAGTAATACCGGTCAAGCTATTAGAACATTAGTAGGACACCGCAATACTATAACCCATTGCCTATTAAATCCTCACAATTTCCTGCAGGTAAAGCATACTAATCAATTCTTACCTTTACAAGAGACTGTAAAGTTAACTTGATGGACCAGTATTAATTTGCTAACATATCCGATAATTCTACGCTAAAGTGACAGTCATGTGTCCACGTCTATTTTACGTATGCTATATTGGCGATCAGGAAGAAAATAATTGTCTAGCACTAATATATTGATCAACTGTAATGACATTATTCTTTATCTATCGTGGATAACTACTTTCTATCCAACCAATTGAAATAGCTGATTTCTTGTTCACTGGATGGACAAGTAATATATTGGGACTATGATGCTGGTACTCAACTCAAGGTAATAAAGTCTTGCTAAATGCAATGTAACTACGCCATCAATAACTGTGTAGTTATTCTCAACTGTAACTCGATGAAGATAAAAACTCTTTATTTATTCAATTTGCACTTGCCTAAGCATGCACTTCTATATAGGCTAGTTTGTGTCTTGTACTTACTATATTGACAAATTGAATGATGATTGTGACTCTACGCATATCGAACGATTCCAATATCTCGACAGTATTAAAGACTTTAACTCACTTTATAGGTATTTAACGCTGATTGTCCAATTTGGAGAGTAATACCATTGCCCGGCGATGAATCAGCTGCTATTGTAATTAAATCCTCTAAAAAATCGACATCGACTAAGAAAGGTTTGATAGCCCGTCAAGATAGCAATAAATAATATTACTCGTATACATTGTTATTGAAGCTGCAATAACGATTATAAATTGTTCTACCAAAAGTAAAATCTTCAATTATTAATAGATGGCCTAGCCCACGTCATACGTGCAAAGTTGTCTTTAGAAGATAAAAAAATTGCCTACGTAGGAAATACACTATTTTCCGTAAAACCAAACACTAAATACTGTCAACTTTCACCTGACGTAAGTTTTGATCTAATCTGTAATAGGATTCTGCACCTTTAGCTATACAGTATTAAGTAGTGGTAATCTTTGATAGATATGACATGATCACACACTATCGTAGAATCCGATATCAACCTTTTGGCTGCGTTCTATTATTATTAATTTTCACACGCTCTTACTGTAGGGGGGTTATATTGCGTCTATAGCCAAAAAATCATTACGCATTTACGATATCAAGACTGGTAAATTGTCAAAGTATGTTACTAAGAATTCAATTTGTTCCTTACGTTAATAAATTTCTATATTGTTTTAGTTTTACTTGTTTGCGCACTAACTTGTGAATTTGATGTAATCTGTTTAGATTTACTAGACGAGTTCGTCTTACATGCTTAACTATTCATCCATTAGAAGATTGCATAGCCACAGGAGATGGTCAAGGCAAAATTATATTATGGTATAGCTTATGACAACTGCTATATTAGAATGATTGTATATAACGGAGACGATGGCCAAATTTTAATAGGAGCTATAAAAGTCATATAAAATTTTTTTAGGCGTCGTTATCGAATAATGAATGAAGAACCGATACAACTAGAATTGCACTGGCATGCTCATCCAGTCTTAGATATCCAATATAACATTGATGGTAAGGGTCTATTACCAATTTGCTCTTGTTATTTGCGATTAACACTGCAAAACATTGATTGTATATACGCGTAGGATCTTGCTTACTTTCTGGTGGAAGTGAAGGTGTATTAGTGGTATGGCAATTAAGAACAGAAACTAAACATTTTTTACCACGTCTTGGTAGTTCAATTGTTCATATCAACTCTAGTAGTAACTATTCTATTGTTGCTGTCAGCTTGAAAGATAACGGTTAGTAGCTTAAGTAAAAGGCTGTAATAGAAATATTTTGTAAGCTTCTATCTTAATTCTTAATCTCAATTCGATAGTGATACATTTAATTTCACCATCGGAGATGGCAATTAAACAATCAATTCAAGGTCTACACAAAGGTGTGACGATAACTTTGTAATAAACAACTAGACTTTCATAAGAGAATAATAAAATACCACGTACATAATACTATATAATTTAATCGATTTATTTTTTTAACATTAGCTTGTGAGTTGTACCAGCTATCTTCTCCAGTACCTACTGGTTTAGTTTATGATCCTAGATCACGTGCAATAGTTCTTAATAGTATTCCTGGAAGCTTACAGTTTTATGATATTCATAGTCATAAAACTACCAAAGTAGTAAGTATTATATATATTTACCATTCATTGTACTTGCTGCTTTCCCGTAAATTGATGTTAGTATTCTATTTTTACATTGTCAGATGGATGTTGTTGGTCAAAACTATGTAGTAAGCCATAGCAACAAGTCAACTAGCCTTACAGATGTCACTCATGTTGCATTCCATCCAAGTGGAAATTGGCTCGCAACTGTAATGAACGTTATTTCTATGGTAGATTTATTAAAGCACAAATATAATTAGTAACTATTCCTTTACGTAGATTGAAAGCCGTAACAACAAAGATTCCGTTGCTGAAATGAAATTAAAATTTTGGGAATTTTCAGAAGTTACTCAAAGGTTCTGATACTGTCACTTTTTAATAAACACTCGTAAAATTAGCGAAAGAGAATCCTATTCGAATAAAAAATCTATTCTTTTCTTTTTAATATCTATTATCATAGTTATACCCTAAATACCACTGTGGAACCTCCTCATAGTAAATTTGTTACGGCAATTGTATTCAGACCAGAGAATGATACCTCAACTATAACAGATCCGTTACCTATGCTTGTTACTACGGATTCTGGCGGCTACATAAAGACATGGTTACTAGATTTAAAATGCGATAGTATTCGTGGTAGGTCTCATCATAGACTATCGATCAATTCGATTGATAATAATTTCAGCAATACACTGCGTTCTCATTGGATTACATAATATTGTTAGTTAGACCTAACATCATATTGCTATTTCTAGATGATAAGCCAAGTTGGACGTGCTACTCCGTAAGTCACTATCGTGACTCACCAGCAACGACTGCAGATTTCTCACATGATTCATCATTATTGGGAGTTGCTTATGATGAGGTAGCTGATTAGTTGCTGTTGCGACTATATCAATTGCAACATAATATAAGCAAGCTATTCATAACTAATTTATTCCTGTTACATGGCTTTGTAATAATAAGATCGTAACTTTATGGGATCCAAGCAAAAATGAGATTCAGAAAACACTATCTCACTTGATAAAATCTGAAAATGTTCGGTATGTTGAATTATTAGGGCATTTTATAACTTGAATATGTTATGTACTGTATAATGCTGGGTACTATATTCTCTCTAGGCTTAATTTATTACAAATCTAGCATATCTTTATAGAACTTATCTAATTCGTTAAATATTACAAATTTTTTAAAGGCATATGGCTTTTGGTCGTAAAAGTTGTTCTCATCTCTTAACAACAACCACTAATAGGCTCTTATACGTTTGGAATCTATTATCATGCACAAGTAACCAAGCTTTTTCAAATTAGTATTAACTGTAAATTAGTGTGTAATTATGTATTTTTAATTTCCGAAAACTGAGACACTTCACTTGTATTTCTGTAATCATAACAATAGTCCAATGGTGTGTTCAATTACGCGTATCTATGCTAACAAAAAGTCCTACTACGAACCACCAAGCTGCACTGGTTAAAGGGAAGAATTCAACGTGTGGTAATAAAAATGATTAAAAAATACTATTAAGTTGTAGCTAAATACTTTGATAGATCGAATTAAGAGGTTATAATTAAATTTTTTATCTGCAGCTCTGTACGTTTTTTCCCCGGATGAGAGTAAATCAATAGCGGTTTTGAGAGATTTTAGCAATCAACAAATTATTAGTGCTATGTTTGTGCCGGTATCGCAAGCACATAATATACCATCGGACTCTTGGTTATTCAACCAACGTTACTATTTTATTACAAACTCCCAGGTATGCTTTTTACGCTACATCGCTATACGCGATAACTCGTGACGCAGTTTTAATATCAAATTAGGACTTATATTCTTTGGAGCCAGAAGATCGACAAGATGATATCCACGACGAGGTAACCTAATACTTCACTGCTATTCTTACTGTTTATTATATTAATTAATCAGCGTTCTATTGCAATTCCTGTGTACGCTATTAAACATGATGCGTATTAGAGTACAACAAATACAGGAATATCTGAAGAATCTCCATTTGTACGTATTTTTGGAGAATTTGAAGGTATACAGTTTTATCAATTATGAATTCGTTGCTTAAAATGTGGTTGATCAGTGTTGCCTCTCACACTTGTAATAATATAATCACAGATACACTTCCAATGAACGATCGAAGTCAGGCATCTGATTTAACCTATAGAGCTCGATACTCTAAAAATGTGCGAGAGGTAATTAGTCGAATTTCGTAATTATAAGTTTGCAGAACTTTCAAAATTTTTAACCTTCGTTCTCATTGTTAAAACAGGTTTTTATTGGGGCGTCCCATGTTCTGCCTTCGATGACTACAATATGTGCTCAATTTGTGAAATCGTCCCTTGAAGCTACTGCGATTGCTGACTTGCCGGATGGGTAATTTGAGATTTATATTCTCTAATTATGCACTAATTGCTAAATTTACATTCTTCGAAGTAAAATAACCAACCATAATTGACTTTTTAGCCAAGAAAATGGAAATGATTATAGCGATTCTGAAAGCGAAATTGGTAAAATAAGAGGGTATAACGTGCAAATTACTCACATTGTATTTGACAAATATTTTATCAATTTTAGATTCAGCGAATTCAGACGAAGAAATTGTAATAAAACCTCAAAATGACGAAAGAATGCATCAGTTGCAACCGATGGAGATCGATCGTAACTTGGACAACACAGAAATGAATTTTGATTGGATGGATGAACTCGTTAATAAATTCCAGTGTAACTGAAATTGTTGCCTTACATCGTTAGAAATTTTGGCTGTATTGTTTCAGTGAATTTGGATTAAATTGGATATATTGAGAAACCATGTTTTGGATGAAGAAATTTTTATTATGTCGAATAATAATAAATATTTTATATAGCTTCAATATATTTTGCTTTGCCAAGTTTCTATAAATTGTCATTCATAAAAGTACTGTCTTGTAAAAGTCTTCCGGATAACAATAAGAACGTAATGTATCATCAACTAAAATATTTCTGTACCTAAGATCTAATCGTCTCTTAGAAAAAGTCCAAATTATTCAGTTTATTATTATACGTGAAATGAACAAGCTACTAGCACTAATAGCCGTATGCAATTGGCTATAATGAAACAATTTGGAGAGTCAACCATAATTGTTCTAACAATGGGTTAAACTAGTCATTCAGGACTACTAACTGATTTGTACACTCAGTTGCAGTTTGCATTCATTAATAACATTTATTCCAAAAACTGTAAATACAAGTAATTAAATCAAATCTATACATCACGTTGGTAAAACAATTTCTAGTAAATGAGAGTTAAAATGTGTTCCAAAAGAGAAACAATTTCCACCTCCACCTAACGTAAACACCTGTTGTCTACTTTTACCGAGGCAAACGCTGTCATGGTTGTGTAACATCAGTATTGGCTTTTCTATGCATGGTTCCTAAAAAGATCATAGTATTGGACTAAGCTTTATACTATCAACTGTAAAAAATAAAATGAGTAGCTGAAATATCAGCCGTATTATAGTCGATGATCTACTGAAATTTCGCATACTTGTAATAAGAACATTCTCCATGTGCGATTTTCCAAATTAATGTCAATTAATGTGTTAGTACACGTTAAGAAAGGATCTATTCCACCAATAACAAGTAGTCTATCTTCCAAAACATGGGCTGTATGAGAGTACCTACAGGATGATATCAAACAGTCATTAAACATGCATTCATCATGTTACTCTTTAAATTATTGTTATTACTGTATTGCGCACATCCGTATTAGATGCATTCATTTAGCAATCAAGTACAATGAGAATACGTATATGCTGCTCAATATCGAAACGTGTTACCGAGTTGGGAGTTGTGGATTAAATTCTAAACTAATCCAATTCATAGCTAATTCATCCTAATGAACGATTTTGATGTAATAATTATTATCAGATATTTGCTCTTTTCTCCATGTAAACAATTAGCATAATACTATTTAGTGATTGTAGCCATCAAACTTAACCGACCTTAATATTTAATGCACTAATGCCAATAGCGGGCTTAAAATCGAATCCTAAGCCTCCATAGACAACAACGTAATCCTTCCATTTGCATGCTGTGTGCGAATGTCTAGGAGATACCAATCCAGCTACTGATACCTACCACGGTTAATAGTTTGTATTAAGTCGTTTATAATTTTTATTTCTAAACATCTAATTTCATCTACTTGCAAGAACAAAATATAGAAAATCAACCTGCAGACCCAGAACTACAATCCCTATGTATCTACTTTACAGCTTAATATAAAAAGGACATATTCGGCATTACAGTACGGAGTTGCAACTAATAGCAGTATAGCTATTATTACGAGTATCTGAAAGTAAATCACTATGGTCAACGACTGCATTACCCTAGACCATTTTCGCGAGGCAAATTCAAAAATATAAGAGTCATTTAGAGTAACCATATTCGTAGTTATTCCGCCAAAAATTAAGCATTTGCCATCATCTGATCAATTAAAAAAAGTAAGCAACACGTTTTAATTGCTGGTATTATCAATTTTATATATAAAATAGTAAAGGTTACCATAAATGTCAATCAATAACACTATCACATTCAAGCACGTTACCAATTATTGTCGCAGTATGTCTCCATCGAGCTGTTGGCATATCACCGCTACAAGCTATACTCTCCCAGCCTATGTCAACTTTATGCTTCAACTGAGAGCTTGTAGGTGTTTTTGCTGAATCACCTTCTGTAGTTGATTCATCTGTATGAATTGGTTCTAGATTGAATGTTACTACAATAACGTCGCCGTAGTGTTTGAGGGGTGAAAGTCTGCCACCGAATATAGCTATCTTATTATCACTAATAGGAATAACGGCATGAAAAAGTCTCGGATTATCCAGTTCGGTCGAATTAACTAACGTAATTTCTTTCTTCGGATCGTTAGTTATATGAAATACCGATATATCGGACAATCGTCTATGACGAGAATCTGACAATAATCCAAAACCTCCAGTAACAGCTATGAACATGCTATTATCAGATGGTGATAAATTAAAATTCAAAAGACAAATTTTATGGCCAAATCGTCGAAGATTTTTAGTTCCGTTAACGTCTAAGAAATTGCAGTTGGAATATATATCGGGTTTTATCCTCTGTGACCCATCAAGAGACTGATAACGCTTAAACTCTGCAAAATATATATACCAATACATACCTTAGCCTCATGCAAATTGAAAATTAAGCGTAATGGCAGGCATATAGAGTAAAAATAATACCTCCGAGGATTGCTTGACACTGAAGCGATCCTACAAATGCACAAATTAGGATATAATGCGAACATTTTAAATGCCATTCTTCAAACTCGTCAAATAATTCCAAATGTTCAATACGTTGACGTTCTTGCTGTCGTAATTATAATTTTTGATTAGTAGATACGCTGAGAGCATCGACATAACATTCTGTAAAATCTAAGCAACAGTTCATGCAGTACTTATCTCATCACCTCTGGGAGTATCTTATAATAAAAATCGTTCATATCGAGGATAACGCTATCCGACCACCGTAATGATTCATATCTGCGAATTTGAGCTATCTTAGTAGGATAGCTATCGATACATTTTAGTGGGGATCCTATTTGCTTGAAATGGTTTCGCCTATTATATTTGGATTTCCAATTACAGCAATGTCATAAATGCAAGAAGTAGTATAATCATATGTTATATAATTATCAGCATGATAACTTAGTATGAACTATCACTGTTTACTAAAATGCCTTATTGATAAATTTTTGTCCAGCTATAGACTTACATGACTCTTCCAAAAGCATCATTAGGTTGTATCTGAAATAAAGCAGAAGTATAGCCGTAGGAAAAACATATAACTAGCACATTAGGGAAAGTGTAATCAGTCAAATTACCTGCTCATAGGTAACAAACATTGCATTACTGAAGAATTTTGAGGCCCAACCTATAATGTTCGATGAGCTATGGCAAGACGATGAAACAATATTGGTTACAATTTTTTCAAACAAAGTTGCCACAGACAGCGTCTGTTAATTATTGAAATTTCGCACCTTGAAGGATTGATATAAGTTAAAACACACTCAGATAGGATTAGAGTAGGAGACTGACTATCTATGCCATGGAATAGAAGATTTTTTTCAAGTACAGGTAGATTTTTTAAGTCTGAACCGATCAATTTATATCCTTGAGTTGAAATTCCTATTACATAAAATTTGTTTTAATGGTTAAAGTTACTATAAGTTAAGAAAATTCGCATAAGAATAACTCAGCTATGATACATGGAAATAAATATAGTTGCTAAATCACCTGTATCATTATTAGAAGTGTTCGAAATCTCGTTTCCTATTGCATTCTTAAGGATATCATTATTTCTGATAAGTCTGCTTTTATTTTTTACTAGTTCTGGAAAGTCTACCTATCTCAATCCAATATATATTTAGCTACAATAAGTAACTGATAGAGGAAGAAGTTTTGAACTTCATTTTAACTTTACTTGAAGCTCATGGTTTAAACGGTAAAAAGAAGCTAGACAACACAAATTTGAAGATGTTATCTTATATAATATATACTGTACATTTCTCATATGAAACATATCAGTTAAGGTATCTTATCCCTCATTACAAGTATAGGAACAAGTTGAATTGCTAATATGATTAAAACTACTCGTCAAACATTATGCTGCACATTGCACGAATATAACGCATATCGTAAGAGTGTATGTATCACTGACCTCGTAGACAATTGTTGAATCCAACATATTTAATGAATGATATCGGTAGTATAATGTATCAAAGCCAGCACCTAAAGATAAAATCTATATTCACATACATTATATTAATCGGAATGAATAAGCAAGGTTATGATGTGAGCTACAATTTTATCAAGCACAACTTCTAACTTGAGAATAAGAATCTATAGTAGAAATGGTTTTACACTCGCTATTATGTATAAGCTTGACTCAATAATCATTGTAGTTGGTGCTTACGTACTTGTTTATTTTTGTTAGCTGCTTCATCATTATTGCTATAACTTAAAAATTTTCGAATTACAAAGTCTATTGCTTTAGCTCGAATATAGTAGCCCCTACAAATTCAGACAAGGCAACAGAAAAGTTAAAGTATCAGGTTAGTCATAACTTGGCAAGCAAATTCTTATAATGATGGTATAAAATTATTTAATGTCAATTATCCATTTTATATTTATAGTCAATATCATCCCGAATCAAACCTAAAACACATATAACATCATACCTATTTATTAATGGTGATCTCCTCGCTGGCTTTTGAACAACATATTGCAAGAAATCATCTTGATAATAACCATGTTTAGCTGATGATAACTTGCTAACAATACTGTTATCATTAGTTCCTTGAACCTACACAGCAATTATTGTATTAATCATATATTTATTGAAGAAATAGTTGACTGTATTCCAACAGCATCCATTTGTATGAGAATTAGGTGTACTTACAGCAGTATCACTGCGGCTCTTTTTGGTTTTTTTCATGGTAGTATAGCTTTAAGCTATGAAAATTGTCAGATATGTCCTAGTCTTTAATCAACATCCACTAATAAGGTAAATTATAGGTAGAAACGGATGATTTCCAGCTCGCTCCACCAACGAAAGTTCCATTAGCCATGTATGGCTGGCTCCCACCGCAAAGGATGATCTCTAATGTTATACTGAATTCAAATTATGATGCAAACAGCATACTAACAGTAATAACTAAATATCATGTTTGAGTTATAATATAGCAATATACGTCAACTTGTTCATACGATACAAGTAGGGTCACCCGGTCGACAATCTGATATATACTGTATCATACAGTAGTGTATACTCTATAGTGTATAGTAGTATAATTTTAGCAGCTCCCAGCAAGAACAGTTTAGAATACTGCACACCGTACACTAGATGGCTCTACAGCTCATATAAAAGCATGTTTTACTCAGTGCTATACGATACTATATACTCACGTGGAGGCATCGGGACCTGATCAAGGACCCCCCTGCTAACGCATATGCAGAAATATGAAATTGCCTACCGTAGTTCTCATCTTAAAACAGCGATAGCAATGCCCATTTTAGCTCAAGAATATAAATGATTACATAACTAAAGGATACAAGAGATTATCTGACGTAGATGAATCTATACAATAATAACAGCAATGGATAAATCTTGCCAACTCTAATTATAGTTTGCATGATTTATCCGTTGAAAATATATATATATATAACATATATATATATGCGTCTATATTAAGCTAAGAAATAGTTATTCGTATATTACGATTCTTGTCTGTAGTGGCTCCCACTTTAGAACAGTGATAGCAACGCTCATCTATTAATACTCAAAAATATAAATTATTGTTGCATAACTAAATGACGAAAGTAATTAGCCAACTAATAAGTAGATGGATCAGTATGATAATAACATTAACGAATCAATTATGCCGAAGGAGATATATATGCTAGGCTCAGAGATAGTTATTTATATTATACGATTCTTTAGTGCTTTCCACCTTTACAGTAGTGAAAGAAATGCCTGTTTGAACTCAAGAATGTAATTGTAAATCAAATGACGAATGAGATTATACGACTAATACATAGGTAAATTAGTACGATATAACATTAACGCATAAATCATACCAACTAAAATATCGATGTTAGGTTAGGAAATAGCTAACCATACTCTACGATCCTTGCTTATATTGTTTCCACTTTAAAACAGTGATAGCAATGTTCGCTAATGCTCAAGAATATAAATTATGATTGTGTAACTAAATGTCGAAAGAGATTATCCGACTAATACGTAGATGAAATAGTACGATAATCTTTACTTTTTTGACACCGTAACCTAGAAAACTTGGCCATGTGATCTCATACAATTCAATGCCGATAATAACATCAACGGATATTTAAATTATGCCAACTGTAATATGGATACTGAGTTAAGAAATAGTATTCTGTATCCTACGATCCTTGTCTCACTTTTGCGGCAGAAATGGCCGTTAATACTCAAGAATATAAATTATGACTTAATTAAATGGCGAAAGGATTTATTCAACTAATACGTAGACAAAATAGTAGGCTAAAATATCCTCTAACAATCTTTAATTAGTATTATAGCCATAAATCAGAAATTTTATTCTCTTGATCAATTTTACATTTTCTACACCGCAGCCTGAGAAGTTCGGCTGCATTATATAATTAATTAGCGTCCATTTGCTTACAAAACTTGTAACAAAAGAATAATTAATTAGATAATACAATCGTAAATGAAAATAGCAACACTACAGTCAGTATCTGCCAAGATCTCTTTACACTTTGAATAGATGACATTACGTCTATTGATTAACAGTAACAATGTCGGAAAACAAATTAATTGACTATTAACGACTATAGTTAATCGCTAGTGTTGGATATACCGTCGATAGAATAAAATTGGATTATTCGTATACAACATATCGAGATGCCTATACTTATCGTCATGGACGAAATGGATGATATATTAGCCCAGGTTGCGTCTATCATAGTCCAAATCATAACCATTAAACATCGCTAATGTTATCAATCATATTATTACAATGTCAATTGATATTCTTCATGATAGTATAAGAATGCATAATTTGTGTCAACTGTTTTGTTTAATAATATTATAATAAGAAATTTAAAATATTGATTATTACAACGTATAAAATGTCATCTGTGCCTAACAAGGGCCTACCGATAGAATAGATAATTAATTAGTCATTTATGTTCAACATGGCGTAATCCAATGGCTATTGAAAAGAGTTTTGTGTTCTTATTTTGTTATTCTTCACGGTTGACACCGAGTGATATAAGGTTAACATTCTCTTTCCACAGTGTTTATCTAACTTTATTAGACTTCAATGAGTACATTATTGGAAGAAAAAGAGTTATTACAAACTTATTATTTTATGCTATGAGTAATATGCAGGAAAATAAAGCTGTGCGTGCTTTCTGTTTGAATAAATTTTAAACCTATAACTATTGATTCTCACCAAGGTTAACGTAAGGATACACAGTAATTATATCGTAACAATCAAAAAAGAGCTTTGGATCTTTTTTTGTCAAAACAACTGGCCTATTGCAAAATAATAATAATGTCTAATACTATCTCAAAACTATCCGTTTGTTTCCGATAACAATAACATGAAACAAGGCATGGGTATAGACGATACTTCGGCCATTTTGTTATAACTGTAATTTCCTTGCGAAATATAATATTAAGTAATCTTTCACTTTATGCTTAGAATAATCTATTTTCAACTTTTAAGAACAGTAATATCCATGATATTATTTATTTTTCGCTTTAATTTTTTTTTCTTACTATTGTTGATATGTTTACATTCGAAGAACAAAGTAGAGAATATGGCTAACATTTTCTGATTACAACTGGACTAGAATCATACAACTGCTGACCGCTTTTATTCTATCATTCAAACATATGACTAAAATTGTAGCTATGACATTGTATCTGGTTAATTAATTGAATTATGTAGAAAGTCTACATGGAGGAAGAATGCCATGTTGCACGAGTACTCTATCATACGTTAAATTATTTGATCATCCATGAATGCTTGCGATAATATAATAGGATATTGATCCAACACCTGTCATTTTCATTAATTCTATATATTACACAACAAAGATAGTACACAATTGATGGTAAATTGATCTGTAGAGTAATAATTAATTCCACCCCTAACAACATGACAAGTGGTTAATAATTCATGTAAACTAGACTATTTCAACAATAACACCAACGCTTTCGTTAAAAGGGATTTTGTTACTTAGTCTATCCATTTTTTTCTCTCTCGAGATCTCACACAATCATTTACACTGTTCTAACCAAGTTGATCAAAATTTTCAAGTACTGCTACCACGAGGCTTTATAATTATCTAAAAGTTAAGTAAACGTAAATCTAATTCAACTGCGATAGCAATCCATTTGGCAGCCATTAGTGGTAAAGGCTTTTTCGATTGTTAAGTTAACTAATCCATAAGATCATCGATCAGTATGGGTAATTCCAGTGTTATCGATAATGAAGAAGCTAGTTTTTCGTTTCTATCAACTTTACTCCAGCTCGGATGGTATACTACTGTGGTTATGATTTTAATAACTCATATATTCAAGTTATTATTAATTTCGGTGGTAGTTCGACTTCGTGCTAAAACTAATCTTGTTATCGGTAGTTACTGTATTTGTGTTATAGTTATTGCTATCCTATATCTAATACCGCTTGTAATGAGTAAAACTACATTTGAAAATCTAGGATTAATATGCCAACTGATTAAGCGAGTATTTTATCCATTATTTTCGATCAATATGCACTATCATATCTGCCTTTTAAGTATGGATAGATTATGTGCAGTTGGTTGGTCTTCCAGTTACGAGGAAATTATGAGTAAATCAAGAGTGGTAATTGCTATTCTTTGCTTATGGTTATTCTCATCATTTGTAACTATTCTTCCTGTTGCAGTATGGCTACAACTAAATCATCAATCATGCCAACCTACTGGCAATATTAACATGTTCAATTTGTATTCTGCTTATTCGCAGATGTTTACCGCCTTACTACCAATTTTAACAGCAATGACAGCATCGATTGCTATATTAATTATAGTAAATCGCTCCAGTAGTTATCGCTTACATAGTACCAATAACAAAGCAGCACATAAAGCTAATAAAACATGGAAAGCAACTAAGCCGATCCTAGCTATGGTTATAATTTATGTTCTATCTAGCCTACCTTTTATGGCATTGCAATTTTTACAGCAATTTGAACTTATTTCACACAATTCAGTGATCAAGATAACTACCCAAATATGTCAAATGGTTGCCTATTTCCTTTATGCAGTCATTCCAATTAGTATGACAGTCATGAATAGCGATGCAATGGGAATCATTACTTCCTTATGCTGCCGCACACGTCGTTATGTTCCTGATTCCATTAATGACGTAATAAATCAACCTGAATTGGCTACTAGTTAAAATATAGACAATAAACTAAGAACTAAATAGACAGTTTAATAAAGAGAGGACCCTTCATGTGGGATATATAGCGTATCATTTTATTAATCAGCCGTCAAGCCTAGTTACAAATTCTTTCTTCATTAATAATGTATTATGTATAAATACAGTCATGTATACCATAATTTTGATTAAATATATTCATAGAATTTAAGATTGCTTATATAAATATTAGTTGATACAAGTCATGATCCAGTTATATGTATCTTCATTCATAGTCTATAAGGTTTTCTTATCTTGCAAGACTATTCCAAAATAATAAGTCTTCTAATTACTCAACTTATCAATATCTATCAGCACATGTTGTCATAATCAGGTAAAGTACGTATAATATCCAACTATATATCCTATGCACCATGTATCTGCTATTATAGTACTGTACTTATATAAACTCATATGATTGATAATTACACATTGGTACATCGACATAGGCAATCAATAAGCGTATATTTACAACATAAGGAAGGATCAATCATCACCAATCGAAGTCATTTTATGACCGTGTAATTTATATACGTAAATAAGGGGTTTCAATAGTATATTCAAAGTCAGCAATAACTTTAGCAGTAGTTGCGTGTAATCTTTAACACTTTTATAATGGTTGTTACTAATCTGTGTTAGTGTTTGACTAAAATTTTGTTACGTTTCACTAATCGTAATTCTTGCACTGTACTGGAAGTAATTTTTTTACAGCCAGTAATATCAATAAAATTTAGAAATTTTCCGCTACCAATAGCGAGAAAACTATCGTCGTCTACCTGCTTACACCCCCTATCAATGAAGAATAGTAAATAAAATCACGTTAATCTTCTTCTGGCTTATTACTTGGAACAATCATTGTTCGATTTAACAAGATAAATTGGCGATACCTTAAATAAATGGATATTAGGTTAGGAAACAACTCTGACACCGCAGTCAATCTTTCAGTCGCTATATCACAAAATGAAATATCTGTAAATAGAATAATGATAATTTACCGAACGTTAGTACCTACTCCGTAACCGGTACCGGATAATGTCGTTTTTGGTGCGGTTATAAAAAATCGTTATTTACTACAGAATTAATCAGTAAGAGCAAGTATAATTATTGAAAGGGGGTATTCGTATTCAAATGCTTTAACATACCTAAATGTTGAATGCTGCGGCCGTTTAGTAGAGCCATTTCGTATAAACCATAACCATTTATTTTATAACATTTTTCAATATTTAATTTGATTAAAGGTAATTTGCCCAGTTTTGCTAGCATTGAATTATCGCAGTCTGTATCTAAAAATAAAGAGGGCAAAAATGGGTTAATCTTTCGATAGTAATTATTTTTTTACCATTTAAATTAGGATCCACGCGATTTTGTATTGGAAAAAAAAATTAGTTGTGTTAATCATCGTTAATGTACTTGATAGATTTAATTCTCGTAGTGTCGGTATTGCTTTAACTAGCTTCTGTGCAAACCGATCAGGTAACGAATGGCCACTTAGATCCAAACAGCTTAAATTAGAATTCTGATGATGTTGCATTAGGAAGGAAGTTAATTCAATTCTGGCATATGCTAAAACGATTCTTTTTAATTTCATAACTATAGAAGGATTTTCCACCACCTCGCCAACTTTATCTACATAATTGTCAATGCATAACAGGGTATTAGTCAAAGCATACTGTAATACAAAATTGATGCTTTTAATACAGTAACACTCCATTATGTCCATGAGAATAAAGTAATGGCAGTAATTTTTAATATGACATCGAGATTACGTTATGGTAATTGGCTAATGTAACGTTGTACTAATGTCCTCTTTTATTACCAGAGATCAATTGGTGATCATATAAGATCTCAATTTGCTATCATAGTAATTACTTCTGATTAGGTATCATAACGGTTAGCACTATAATGGTATACGACACTGGGACAGATTATATTAGGGCATTGCCAGAAATATCGAATGTTGGAAATTATACAACAGTTTGAATTAAAGATAATCCTACATCAAAATCAAAAGGTTTTAATTCAGGAAAAAAGCTTAGCATTTAATTTTACGTGAAATCTTGGCTAGTCAATATCTAATTATATTTTGCAAGGTATGAGTAAGTACCAAATGTACTAGGTACACTCCTTCATTCCAGAACAGTAGATGGCGTCACCAATGTATGCAAAAGTGTAAAACTGCAGCTGTAACCCAATTGATAATGTTGCAATTTTGTTCAGATTGGTACAATTAACAGTTTGCAATCAGAATCTCATTTTATGATCATAATATCAACTAAAATTGTCACTATACACCAAGGAATCAATGGTACAAATGCAAATATTGTCAGATATCTACATTAAATGACTATTTAAATTAAGTTATTATTTTCAGACAGATCCTGCAATAACTTTGTACTCTAGTTAAAACGATATAGTTGTTCAATATAAATATACGAATATTTATCCTCATATTTTTCCATCCTGCAATACCAGTTTAACGTCATTTCAACTATGCTGTAAATAGTTTAACGATTTCGTTGATCACAACGCTATTAATGAAATAATCGTGAGCTGATTATGATGTACTTGTTTAGAGGCCCTTTTAGTTTAGTTATACTTTTACTACCAAAAGTGTAGTCTGATTTCCATCAGTCGCCTTTATTATATGGTCAATGGGCTAACGAACGGACGAGTACCTAAAGGCAATGTTATGTGTGCCCATCTAGTTTGGTAAAATACATATAGTATTGGATTTTAAAATGCTAATTTGATAGCTAGCAGCAAACCAACGTTTGCTTGATTTAAATTAGTATACTAATAAGTGAAGATTGATGTACATTTCCCTTATGATGGAATGATTATATCATAAAGTAACTAATTTATGAGGACTCTCTCACTAGTACTTTTAAGAGGATAGAACTATGGCATAGCTGTCAAGTAAGCGAGTAGATTCGTAGAAAAGGAAGACTATTCATAAAATTGATCGTTATTGCTATAGCTTAGAGATACCAAGTATGGACGATCAATCGGTTACAAATAAATTCAATTCAAAAAGTAATTTGATTTTTACTTTGACAAGTACTCTCCTAGTTCGAACAAGTGAGTCTGTGACTTGTGCAGGTAGCGTCGATGCTGATATTCTAACGGGTAAAAATAGTATCGTTTCCTAGGGAAACATACCTATTGACTAATCATAAAATATATCTTTGGGGACACGTAGTATTGATGATCTATTAATAGGGTTATAAAATCAAAGAGTAGTTTGAAAATACGTGGGTTATACAAGTAAGAATAAGCTGAACTAACAAGCTCGTGATTGATAAAATAATGTAAGGCGGGGATTGAACTGATCAATCATCTCAACTTACCATGCAAATGTAATTTTAATCTCATAGGCGAGAATATTAGGTAAAAGGTCGATTTCCAGGCTCTATTATCCGATACATATTGGCTATCTTCTAAGATAGAAAATGAGAAATCGATTTCTTCCAGTCGAGTTAAGGTAGCTAGCGCTTTGCGTATACCAATACCGGTAAATTTACGACGATTAATGGGCACTGGACTGTGATAATATCGCAATCGCAGTGTTGATAATGACGGACAATTGGAGCAAAGTTGATAGAGTGTTTTATCAGTTAATGAGTTGTAAGCATCTAAAGCTAATGTAGTTAAGTAATTGAGATGGATTAAAGTATCCAATAAAACTTGATGATCAAAATAGGAGCAATTACTTAATTGAAGATGAGTGATGGAAGTAAATTGAATCATACATCGTAACATATCATCATCGATCATTTCGAATTTTATAACTGTAATTGGCATATCTAATGCAGCGATTGCTTTCAAAATAGTCAGATCGCAAGCTTTATCTTCTAGCTCAAATTGAGTGATCTTTCTAATTTTCATCGTGGACCAAAATGGATCTTGACTACTTATCCTCTTCTTAAGAACAATTGTCTTGCCTAACCATAACAAAGGACTATTGATCAAATCCCGGCATTGCCAATCTACCAACGATAAATGAGACATATCGCTAGAATTCAAATAGCTTGCAATATGGGTTTTCAGTTCGTTGGGTAGGCCATGCCAACCTGTAGGTTGATCAATACAAGCGATTTTACTCATTTCTTGGCCTTAAAAGGTAGACATGATGGCCATGATTTGATGATCAAGAAGCGCAATCCGATCGTAGTGATGAAGATGGATAGATCGGCCACACTCTCTCTCTCTTTCTGTCTATACCATCCGTCCAACTCTTTTAGTAACTGTGTATCATGTATGAGTGCGGTTCTATACAATGCACAGTAGGATTGTAGCGGAGCGGTGTTATTTTCATGGTAGATTTTGACACCGACTACTGTGTATCATGTATGAGTACAGTTCCATACTATTCTATGTTGTAGGAGAATGGATCGTCAGTGAAAAACGTCCAATCCAGTCGCATTGTCTGATATAAATCTCACTCCACGACTACTGTGTTCCATGCATGACCGCGGTGCTATACAATACTGTATTAGAATAGCGATTGTTGGATTGTCGAGAAGGGGTGAACCAGTGTACTGTATATTCAGGAACTTCTCAACCAATTTTCATCTCCCCCCTAAAGTCTTGTTCCAATTACTAATCTGCAATATTTAGTTTTACTCCTGCTTTTAAAAGCTACAAGTATTTTTAAAGAAAGGGGCTAAAATTTTCTGAGAAATTCATTGTTGAACGCCAGTCCATGGAGCTACTACTCGATGCACCTGGAAGAGTAGACAGCAAATTCTTCAGACAGACAGACTTTTTGAACACAAATGAGGTCCAATTATTTATGATCGAAAAATGAGTTACTTTGTATGGATCTTGAGCGGTACATTTTCTTAATTACTTGTACCAATTTAACAACATTCGCGACTTTATGCCAGCGTTTTAAAGTAGATTTCAAAGAACAGATTTCAATATAATGTTACTTAATTTACAGCGATAAGCGAATTACAGAATCGAAAAACTGCGTTAGGACATTATACAAGTACTGAAAGCAGAAATGTCTGTCCGTCTGAGCAGAGTTTCCTGTCTGTCCATGTCCACTACTTCGCCGGTCTACTGCTATATTTCACCGTTGCATGAATGGATTATGGTACTATGCAATGTTGTACAAAGTATATTTGGGCACTACCAAACTGCATGGATCTGTATATATTCTTTTTTTCAAGCCCTATCATAATTAAACTGATGATTAAAACTGAAATTTACCTTCAAGAGCTCTCCAAAGATTCCAAATCGAGTCAAAAATTCGCAAAAATTGATCGCAAACTGGCAAGTCATGATGACCGCAGAGTGTACAGTACACACGACACTACAGTACTTTGTATTGTAGAAACGTACTGTAGACTGTATTGGACATCGGACAACGGATACTGGAGTGAATGAATGAGGTGATTCTACTGTTCCGTACACCAATCCAAGAATCAGTATATTGTATAAGGAGCGCCGTATCGTATAAAGATACTATGCAGTAGAGAGTAGGGAGGGTATCGTTGCTGATTTGCTATCCATCGTTTTCCATCGTAAGTCCGCGCTTGCAGGCAAATTCAAAGCATTCAACGTCTTGAGATCTCCAACAAATTTAGATATTCATGCACTAATTGCATACTTTTCTATGCATGTATACAGCCAGTCTTAAATGTTCAATGTATACCTAGATATACAGGGATAGAAAATAGAGTCGTTGTAAAATTATCAGCTCCAATAAACTCGTAGGTAAGCAAGCTTCTCCACCTCTGCAGGCTGCAGCTCCGATAGAGCTCTTTCCTCATCGCTACTATTGTATCCGCTACATAATACACATTTTAAAAGGAAAGCATACCAATCCACTACAAGAACGTTATCATCACTGTCTTAAAATAGATCGTTCATGAGGACAATTATTCCAGCACTGTGCTAGAACGAATTGTTCAAGTGTATACGTAGGCAAAGAGTGTCAACATGGTATCCGAAAGGAAATACGCTTAAAACTATCAAAATTGTCGTGGTCATTTCGATCGTTAATATCTCTTATATAGTAAGCGTTAAATACGATCACAAACGATCCATTTCATTTTACGGCATACAAATTATTTTAGTATTGGCAATTGGATACACTACAGTGTGCCAATGGCTAGGATGAATATCAGCAGGATTTGGAACAGCTGCTCTACTCGTAGAGTTCCTCTCACATTCTTCAAAACAAAGTTATTACCTCCATCGTGTCTTCTTCAACGTCATTATACCACAGTCATGGGCATAGAAACAAGTTGTGATGATACTGGTGTTGCAATCGTTGATGATCAAGGTCGTTTGTTAGGCGATGCTTTACAATCGCAGTCATCAATTCACAAGCCGTAAGTTATTAGCGTTAACTTAAGTAAACATAGTTGAATCTGTCTTATCGCATTGCTTACACCATGGCAAAGGCTACGATCGTATAGACTCGTTTCTTCATCATTGAGACAATAATTAAATGGCAACATATTAATTCTGATATTCTAACCTTATTCTTCATTCTGTATAGTCTCGGTTGGGGAATTCATCCTGTAACTGCTGCCCAACTGCATGAACGCAATATCCATGCAGTTGTACAATCGGCATTGCATAAAAGCAATTTAAAAATTGAGGTAACATCAATTCATTGAATCTTAAAATTTTCCTACTATCATCATAGTTAACCTAACTATTCATCTATAGGATATACATACAATCGCCACAACTGTTGGACCTGGATTAGCCTTCAGTTTAAATGTCGGTTTAGATTATAGCAAGAAGCTATTACAACAGCACAAGTAAGTACAATATGATACCAGTTGAAATTGGCAAGATAGTATCGGCTGGCCGCTAATACGATATAATCACGAAAGCAATAAAGGAATTATCTTCATTTCGAACTGTAGTAAGAGATTCATAGCTGTTCATCACATGGCTGCTCATGCATTAACTGTTCGTATGCTAAATCCGTAAGTTGTATTAAATATATTTATCCAATTTACTGTATAATTGTTAATTCTTAACATCATGAATGAATCTTGACAATGTCAATATTTTTATTATTATAGTATCGAATTTCCCTATTTAGTCTTACTGGTATCCGGTGGTCATTGTATCCTGGCTGTTGTTAATGGTCCTTGCGAATTTTATCGCTTAGGCTCTACATTGGATGATGCCCCTGGTGAAGTCTTCGATAAGGTACAGATATTTCATGTTATTGTATTCAAATACGTTAAATACTTTACTATTATATTTGTTAACTTGCGATCAATTCTAATTATTAGGTTGCTCGAACGTTAGAATTACATACTCATCCCGAAGTAGGCGACATTGCAGGAGGTCGAGCTATCGAAATAGTTGCAAAATTGGGAGATGAGAAAGCTTTTAAACTACCTCACATTATGGCTGGCGTGTAAGCAAAGTTTTTTAGCTTTGATGGTAATATTTTCATAATATGTAAGCATTCATATTATGCCATTTGCATTGCTGTAATAGGCGAAACTGCAATTTTTCATTCGCCGGATTCAAGTCTGCAGTAAATGCTCACTTAAAAAGAGTATCTTTCGCTTCACTAAGCGATTGGGATCAACAAAAAATGACGATAGCCGCTAACATGGCTGCCTCATTTCAGTATTATCTAACGTGGCACATTGCTAAACGTGTTCGTCGTGCATTGGTTTTCTGTAAAACCTTCAATCCGAAATGTCGAACTTTGGTATTACCTTTATAAATTTGACATACTTGTTAAACTACATGCGCGTATTCAGTATTTAACTGTAATGACAATATAAATTCTATATACATCTTCCTTTAGGTAATATCCGGAGGTGTTGCTTGTAATAATTATATAAGAAATGAGCTCGATAAATGTGCTACAGCATTCGGATTCCAGCTTGCCTGTCCTCCGCCGTATTTGTGTACTGATAACGGAATTATGATTGCCTGGTATAACATTACGTTGTGTAATATTAATTAATTATACTATATAAGTAACTAGTAACTGCCATTGTTTTATAATTAAAATTTGACCGTTATAGCTTATGATTTTACTAGGGCTGGTGTAGAACATCTTAAATCCAACACTGCGACAATTTTAAACCCCCAATCTGTTATATATCAACCCAAGTAAGTTCATCATAAAAAATCTATAATAGGCCTTTCCAATTATCGTTTACCTAACTGATATCGAACTGCGAGTATTAACACGATACCGTGCTATGCTATCCAATGTCTACAGTATTGCGTAGGTTTTAACAACTTATTATTTTATCGCCAACTAATTCTTTTTTTACTTATTACAGATGGCCTTTAGGTGTCGATCTATCAGATAGAGTTGCAAAATCCAATATTAAAGTCTAGCTTACACGGACTTTAAAAGATAAATTTTTTCTTTGAATTTAGTATGCAATAATATCGGCTAACTATGTTATATTGATTGAATTTTTATTATTGCTTCTGGTCTAAAGGAAATCGTTAATATTGTATAATTTACAATCAGAAATCACAATGTAAGATCTGAAACATTTTTAGTGACTACCAGATTTTTCTATATCTGATACTATCTCTTATGTATATTTGATCGTAAGGTTTTATGAATATTCTCTCAAAGTATTTACGTTAAAACAATCTCAAGAAATATACCAAAGAGTGTAACATTGTAATACGTAGCGGGAATCCAATACAAAATTTTAAGATAAACAATTTTAAAGTAAAATTTGAAAGATCACTTTGACACTTTTTAAGGTCTGAAACGTTATCGCAGAAGATGCAAGGTCTCACCTTATCTTCTTAATAATATAGTTACCGTAAATCGATAAGCATAATAATTTGTTTACTGCATATATAAATACCCTGCGAGCAATATTGTACACCATATCGCAGAAGTCAAAGCTAGATTTCTATACATTGCGAAAAACTGAATAAATTATATTCTAAAATTAAATAGTTAAAATCGCTACAAATAGGTGGCAAAGTCAAAGTCTCGAAATTTATAATATCCAGCTGGAGCATTAGTACTGCAATATCAATACTATTATTCAGCAATTGCGTGGACAGTGATAATACATGTATGAATTCTTAGATGTAAAGTAATAGGTTAAAGTGCTACACTGATATTAAATCGATGTACATAGCCAATCTGTTAATAATAATAAAAATCAACTAGTAAAATTTGAAAATCGATTAGCTGCAGTTTTTGGCCTACGTAATTGATTTACTGTTGTGGAATCAGCTTGGTTCCCTTTCTTAACTGTTTTAATTTGTTTACTACCACTTTCTCCATCACCTCTTGCAATGGTTAATTTAAGATCAGAGAATTTGCTTGGTAGCGATTTATCAAGAGTTACCACAGATTTTGACCGCAAAATAGGCATAACAGAGTTATTTTGAGCAAATTTAACCGTTTTCTTACTTCCAATACTAAAACTGGTTGTACTTGTAGCCTGCGATTTTCTGCTAACGATACTGGATGCAGTCTTTGGTCTTGAACATACAATCGGTGTGCCAGCTAAAGTAATTAAGAATAAAATATATATTATACTATTTGTTAGGACTACTGCATATATTATCAGTGATAAGTAGCTTGTACATTACAATTATAATAGTAAATTAATTTTTTAACTAACCATGTCTCATTTTGGTCGTGGTCAAAATTGGGGGACCTCCATTCTTAGTCAAGCTATAAATAACATAAAATAATAGATATAGCATCAGCAGTAGATAAAAAGATGATGGAATAATTCTATTTTAGTGTACCTGCTGGATGGTAATCCAACAGATTCCGCTAGCTTCCAACTATCGACAAAATTTTTAGATATTTTGTTGTCACCAAGATATCCTCGAAATGATTCATATAAACCAGGAGAATTACGACAAGCCGTTAATAGCAAACGTGCCGATGCTCTATCAAATGATAGATAGCCCAAAGCGATTGCCGATGTAATACGTACAAATTCTTCTTTAGACTTTTCAAGCTTATTAATTAAAACAATAACAGCGCCACAAGTCATAAATGCAGCTGCTATACCAGGTCTTGTATGGGCTAAGCTAGCAATAGCACGCGCTACTAAAATTTGTGTAGTCTCTTCACTAGACTCTAATAATTTAATTAACTGCTCGATGGCAATTGCAGTTAATTCAACCTGGTCACAATTATTAATAACGGGCGCTAATACAATCATTTGAAAAGCAGCATTAACACGAAATAGTTCATCGCTTGACTCTAAAAATTGTATTATAAGAGACAATTGTATACCACCTGCTTTAACGATTGCATTCTTTTGTCGAGCATCTTTAAATGCAAATGTTGTTAATGCAGTACCGGCTTTTAATCGTACTTCTTCATTATCTGATTCAAATAGTTGTAATATTAATTGGTAATTGAATTTTTCGTAGTTTTGCAACAGTTTTTGTGTTGTTGAATTATTCAATGTTAAACAAGCTATCGTACAAGCTGAATCAACTTGGATTAATTCATGTGATGCATCATTCATATACTCGACTAATAATGGTATAGCTTCTGGAGCAATTTCATTTTGTAATGGACGATTATTAGTGTGAGCGACACCAATACAAAGCGAACCAAGTAATCTTATCGCTGTTAATAGAACTAGCTCGCAAGTTTTAGGCGATCTTAATAATCGAATTAACGGCTGTATACCGCCAGCTTCGGCAATACGAGCTTGATCATCTAATGAACCACTTGCTAATGCCTCTAACGCAATACATGATACTAATTGCAATTTTTCAGACTTCATCAGCATTAAGTCAACAAAAGTATTAATACCAATACGTTGACACACAGCATTTCGTTGACGAATCGAAGTACCAGCAATTGCCCACAACGTTGAAGCAGCTTGCTCTTTTACTTGAATATCCCAAACTTTTAATAATCGCATTAATGGTTTGACTGCATCTTTAATATGTAGCATAACTCGTTGATTATAAGGATTATCGGATGCCAATGCTTCTAATGCTGCAGCTGCTTGTATTTGTGAGTTAACACTACGTATTTGTAGTAGATCAATTAATGGAGGTATAGCACCTGCTTTAACAAATAATTCTCGATTTTTTGGATGATTGGTTGCTAGAGCACATATTGCAGCTGCACTTTGTGCACGCAACTTAACTGGAAATTGGGTAGATAATAATTTAACTAATTGGCCAGTTGCTTCAAAATTAGCTACTGCAGTTTGATTATCAAGATTATTTTCAACCAATAGACTAATAGCTTTAACGACATTGACTAACACATCGTGATTTGTATTCTTCAATAGTAATGATATTAGTGGTTCAATACCATCACCTGCAGCAATACTAAACTGATTACCATCAACAGTGGATAAATTGCATATAACGACAGCTACACGCGATAAAATAATATCATCAGCCAAGCGCAACATTTTAATTAATAACGGAATACCATTGTTCTCAGATATAACTTGTTTAACTAGATCATGCTGTGATATATTTTTCAAAACTAGTGTTGTTAATGCACGCAATGGGCGCAAATCTTGACTTAATCGCAACTTCTGTTCTATTTCATCCTCATCTAATAAAAAATCATCTAAACTCTCTCTATCTTCTTTCGGTTTTTCATCATCGCCTTCAATAGCTAATATTTTGACTAATGCTTCGACACCACCATGATCTAATATTTGTCGCCAATTATCCTGATGCGATGTACTCAAAAAGACCATCATTGCCGCTGTTGATTCCATTTTTTCTAAATCATCACTTTTAATCATATCTACAATGACTTCCCAAACGTGTAAGTTATGATATGGATAATCAATTAAGTATTCAAGGACATTAGGATTTCGGCAAATGATGGCTGTATGGACGATACAACACCTATTGGCATCCTTGACTAGCATATTACAACCTAGAGAACGTAAGCAAATAATAGAATCCAAGGCACCGCTTAGTGTTGCTACTAGAACGGGTGTTAACTTGCGATCACAGTTTGTTCGTTTATTTAATAGGTCTTGATAACGATGCAGTAAATGCTTAGTCATATCAGCTTGGTTACTATATGTAGCATGATGGATAGCGGCCCAACCGCGACTATCAGTAAGATAAGGATCTGCTTGTTTAGATAGTAAGCAATCAAGGCTTAAAATACTACCACAACGCGCCGCTAAATGTAAAGGAGTTCCTCCAAATGCCACCGTGTTAAAACTCCGCCTTAAGTTAATGCTAATGCCTATCAGATAATTTTAATTTAATAAATAGTTAAAGTTAGATACATAGAAATTGAATATTGTTTTATAACATTATTTTACGCCTAAGTTAGAAGAATAAATTTGTGATATACAAATCAAAATTAATTTTACTCATTCTAATTGTTAAAGTGAAATTGAATGTAGAACTTTATTCCAGCATGTCATTATTTGGATCTACAGTATATGTATGACTGTGAAAGTATTGGCTTTTTAGATACTGACTCGGATTAATAGAAGTAAATATATCGTAATATGTTGTGAATAAACTACTTTCAATGAATAAAACGATAATGCACTACAGTTTCATTTATAGAAGGATACTGCTGAAGGGATAAGAAAATTACTAAAATTTCGTTTCAACTGCAATACTGCGTATATCATCAAAATTGAACAAATGATACTCGTACGATATTAAACAGTATCAAATTTTTTATTAGGGTTTTACGTAATATGTTACTTTTATTACTCACCATGTGCCAAAATGATAGAGATAATATTTGGCTTGTCACGAATAGCAGCATGATGAATTGGTGAAAGCCCATTATCGTCCAATTTCATAATATGAGACGCAGGACAACGTCGTGATACCGATTGGAAAATAGCTGGAAATCCGTATTGACTACATGCTCGTAACGCCAAAGGTAGATACTTCAACTTGGACGCAATTTTATTACCAAATTGCTTCCTTAACTGTTCACTAACTTGTTGATCGGTCATTGGTATTCTCCTAGGTCGTAATTTACCAACTTCATCTTGTAATGCCGACATCCATGGAGGTACTCGTTGTGAAACTTGGTTCAAATGGGATGGCTCTAGTTCTATAGCTAAAAAACAGTATGATTGTCCACCTATTTCATGAACAGGCATATAACAACTTTCACTATAGGATTCTGATTCTAATGCATCGTTAGCGTGAGATAATGCTTTCCTCATCATTTCATCAAATGATGTTATTAATGCGGTATTCTGAACCTTACTCGTTGTTGGTGTTTCGACTTCAATTAAAATACTACCATGTAAATGGAAGAAGTCATCTTGATCAAATCGAAAAAAACGATGATTATTTTCTAATTGAATTAGTGGTGGCAAATCGCGTTCCGTTTTTAGTTGTTCCGTAAAATAAGCATTTTTAATCAGTCGATTAACATCTGGAATTCGTCCACGCTTTTTCAATGCAATTAATAGCGGTACCATTAGCGAAATAAATTTTAACAGAGCTAATTGATGCCGTAAATCTGATCGTTGCGATAAATTATTTTGTAGAAATGCACATTCATCACGAAATCGTTGTAGAATGCGACGGTATTCATCATTAGTCATTCTCTGATCAATATGTCTAATACAACCGACAACATCATTCAAACCATCCACTACCAACATATTATTGTAGCACTGCATAGTTTGTTGCTTGGCTATAAGGCGTAGAAATAATTCATCCACATGTAGCATAGTAAGCTTGCGAATATCACAGTCATCATCTGTCTCTTTAGCAGCTAAACGTTCTAACCGTTCATTTTCAATCCGTATGGCTTCAACATAATCGCCTTCCTTTGACAAATCGACGACTCCTGATTCAGTAAATGCCATAGCAGTTTGACGTCGGCCTTCCGATTTGCCTGACGCTACATTAATATTTAAAGCTTGTCGCCATTTTTCAGCAAATTTTAAGCGTTTATCACGAGGAAAATAGGTACCATGCCATAAACATTTAAGCGCATAATCAATATTAATTAAGACTTGACCAACGCGTGTGTCTAAATAAGCTGGCGGTAATGAACATAGTGTATTTTGGTCATAATTGGCTTCTAAATAGATAGAAGGAATTTGGTTAAATACAAATATTCCAGTAACTAATTCGCGAATAATTTGATGCAACTCGCGTAAGTCGTATTGGCTAGAAGTAGATTCGACCGGCAATGCAATTAAACAGCATTTTTGACATCCACTTAAATGGCTAATCACCCCATATGGGGATCCAACAACTCCTCCATTCATATTATCTTCTGGTGAAAGTAAGCTATCGGTTATCATTGAAGTCAATACTTCTTGGCATTCATATCGACTGTAACGATCAAAAAATGCAGCGGCTTGGCGTGATGCAGATAAAGTACTACTAATTGACTCGTCACGTTTTAGTCGAGGCATATTACCAACACTCGTTTTTCCATGTCGCGATGCGTCTGTTTTTGGTTGTATCAAGCTTGACATGCTAGCAGACGGCGAAATAGCCATAGTCTGCAATTGTGACATGATTATAGTCTTGATCAATTTAACTTCCAATAACTGGCTACTAGTGATAGCTTAACTTTTTCTCAATATTTCGATTAACTTATTAGCGGAAAGGATATCCTTATGAGTGACTTTATACTAGACAAGTGTTGCGGTCTGAAAACTTTTTAATTTCTTAATACAGTAATATTATCCTATAAATCGAAAAATGGAAAAATATGTAAAGATTGTCAACATCAAGTGATTTATACACTGTTGCCTATGATAACGTTAACTACTCTGTATACTATACAAATTAGATTCTTTCCCTTCTCAAATGTATCCTGCCTAATGTGGAACAAAAATGAAAAGGAGAAAGAATATTCTATATCTACGATCGTATCGTAGCTACAGTACAATACGAGTAAATAGAATAGGGCATATCATAACACTGATCGTTAAAGTAATGATAGCAATATTGTCAGTGACAAAGATAAGAGTAAAATGATTTGAAAGTAGAACTACAGATAAATTAGCCTTGGCGAAAATAATGCTGATCATTCGGAAAGTGTTTAATCTGTCATTAAGTAATACAACCGCCATTTATATGTAAACTACCTACTCTTTAAAGATGAAATTTAAATAGCCATAGCCACAAAAGAACCAATTCTATCCCCAAATTAATCGGTTCTCACTTCATCATTATAAAGCTGAAGCAACTTTAAGTATGCTTGTACCCTAGGGTAACAGAACGAATTGAAATTATTAAGGGCAAGTAACTAGTCCATTTGGCCAAATGAATGATATACCCTAATTCCAGGTAGGCTATCCATTTAATGTCCACACTTACTTAAATCAACTGCTCCTCTTGATCAAAAAAGGTAATTTGGTCATCTTTAGTGACTGGTATAGCTAATAAATATTGGAAATATTAATGTTACGCCACAACTCCAAGTTCACGTTGTGTTCACTCTACTGTATGCGGTAACCCACTCTATTTTCAATCGTCACCAAACACGATTCTAAATCAGTCCGATATCCAGATAATATACGCGTATATGTACAGTATAAATATAAGGATCTTTGGCTACTATTTGTTCACTTTAAGCTTCATTGACTATCTCAAAGTAGTCGCTATCAGCTTTGGGGGTAGGTAATAATATTACCAAGAATAGTCTGTTGGCCGTTAATTAATCGAAATTGTTTCCGTGCAATCGTTGTCATAGCAACAAGGACGGATATGCACAGTAGGTGTTCTACTGCAGCTCTTCTCAATACTAGTAAATATCATAGGAGTTCTCGGTTAAAAGTCTATTTTCAGTCAAGAATCAGGTTCATGACATCCATTTCGTGCTATAACACAAGTAGCAATCTTCAATATTGTCTATTAAAAGAGTGAAATGCTCTTTTCCCCCATCGATGTCTATAGTTAATGCCCTTGTAAAATACAGTCCAGTAGGAGTTCATTTCAATCATGAAAGGTTCCATGCAGTAGAGCAGCTGATGTAAGACTCTAGGCACGATACGGCACAACTTGTCTGATATACTGTACTATGCCCTAAGTCTGTGAAGAGTAGAAAATATGGTATACTGGCCGATGATATTGGAGTCAGATGTTTCCTATTTTACTTTTACGGCAACGAAGACTTTAAGTCAAATCATAAACAGGCAACTTGAGTGCCACCTTATCCACTTTATTGTGCCATGATATACTAAGGATAGTCTAGTGCATAGCAGACCGGTCGACGGGGTGTCAAAGATTATTAGTAGTAATGGTCAAAATAGGCTAAATAGCTCGTCATTTACTCTACTAACTCAGTACTGAGTGCACTATTCCAGTAGTTTCGTTCATTTCTCATCTCGACAGTTACATTACCCAAACGGCTGTATCGACAGTACAATTTGTATCTAATCTATAGAATGATTCCTACTTTTACTTACTATTCTTAACTATCTCAACAGAATACTCCTGTATACAATATTTAGATTCAGTGGTGTAGATTCGTTAATAACTTCTTCTTTTTTTATACCCCTTAAGAATTAACTAAAGGCCGACACTATCCGGTTGTCCAAAACTGTGTGTTGCCATTTCGGTAGTGTTTCTGTCCATACAGTATTTCAAAATGATATCTAGTTAGGTAATGGTGACATTATTTTTGTTAGATACTCTACGTATATGTTCAGTCATCAGTCGCATTCTGATAGTAATAACTAGCCGAGCCTCCACAGTTTTACTCACACCTCAAATGGCTAGCAAAAAGAATGTCACTGTGACATGCTTGTTGCTGCCAAAAGACTTCATTGCGCATCCACCAGCAATCACGTGGACTGCAGTGTACACTGTACACTGTACAGTACAGTACTACAGTACAGTACAGTACAGTACTACAGTACGTTGACAGTACTATGACTGTAGCAAATAGCTCATCATTGACTACGAGCTCGCCATTTTGGCCATTTTTACTGAACATCGGGAGGATCCAGCTCTAGCAACATGGTGAAAATGAATGAAGATACCAAAAAACGAATTCGAAGAGTTATCTCCACCGGGCAGACGCTCTTCCAATGGGGATTTATACCTGTTATAGTCTACTTAGGTAAGGACAACAATCATGTCCGTTGAATGACTTCAGCAGATCTTGATCGCTACTTCAAAATGCTTCCTTTCACATGACTGCCTATGTAGGTTTTAAGCAAGGACCGGATCCGCAAACCCCGGAATTTGGTTTATTAAGGTTTGCAATAGATTAATCTGTTTGTAGTGGTAACTGTACCATAGTAGTGCCGTGCTATCGTAGTGACATAGATTTAGAATCGGTTGGATTGTAGTATACGTTGATGTATGTTGAGAAAATGCTTAATATCCAGTACATGGACACAGCAGAGTGCTAACGTTTTGGATGCTGCACCTGCATAAAAATGTTACTATACATACACATGAAGACAGTATGCCCATTATTAAATGAATCAACTAATGTAACTTATCTGATGATCTTTTTACAGTATTTTATGGGGATAAGACGAAATTACTTACTGGCTCAATGAGACACGAACCTGGCCTAACATGATCAATGTAATCAATTGGGATTACTCCACCGTCTTTATACTGAATAACCTATTTCATCGTATATTGCTAAATGAATAATCGATATGCACCTACGCCGCCAGTAATCAAAATTATTCTTCATCATTTTACCCTTGTCGTGATGTATGGAATGTAGGAGATGAACCATCTTTACTATTCTCAACACCACTGTTTTTGTGATGAAAATTTCAGTACAAGCCAAGTGAATTTCGTCCAACTTGTACAGTGCTCGTATTAATTGGAACCTTTTACGCATGATATTAAGTGCATAGAAACTGCTGTACCAAAATATTCGATAAAATATCTTTACTATGGAATATTAATAAATATAAAATTGTATTGCTTTAGATCAAACTGTCCTAACTGTCTTATAAACTGTCTATCTTAGATTGAGATCTTTGAAATGTGTAGGTAACACTATTGATTCTTCTATTTAATACTCATCTACTGTATGTATACATACGTGTATAGCCGAAAATGATGCTAAATCATCCTGACTGGACATCAGTAATTTAACACTTGATCTAAACTACAGTATCAATTTCAACTCTCCGCAATTCATTGTTTTCTAAACAACTTATCTAGACAGATGAATAATTTACTGCTGTGTAGTTAATGGTTCCAAGGTCTATTCTACCGGTAATGTTGAACTACACAGCGAGCTCTATCGATAATTGATTGGTATAGTTATACGAAGCTTCATACATTACAACCATCAGGGATCATAGTAAGCAACTTAAGAAATTGCGACCTGATACAGATGAATTTGTCTAGGAATTAATTGCTCTTGTAAGGCAATTATTTATAGTCTATTGCATAGGCTTCTATTTTATTCTTTTTAGTTAAATAGGCTATCAAGAATTAGCCAGTACAAGTGTATGCTAAGTATTTTTAGCGCAATAGATCGACTAAAATTACATTAATTGTCCAACAAATACTTGCTCTTATAAAATTAGTAAGTAATGGATGAACTAGACATTTACAGTAGGATTATCATGTCATATCAAAACTAATGAATCAACATACTGTTTGACTTCAGTTATTACGATACTAGAAAAGATCTTTAGGTGACAACAATTACATACAATATCGTATCTGAAAATTACTATAAAACAACTTTCACACAATTCACTATATCCTCTTCATTAGTTAGCCAAATTTTGGGAAATGTATCAATTTTATTCCAATTCAGTGCATTTACACAACGAAGTGTATTGTTTTGTCATCAGTAATCTTCAAACTCTGTAGCTACATTTAGGTACTGAACGCTGCCATTAGAGATAATTCTATCTGCTTAGTAGTACTACATTATAATCAATGGATTCGTAGTATATTAAACCAAACCTACTCAAAACGGCTATTCTGGGCTGATTTAACACTGTCGCGATCTATCAGCCACAAACTTATACAAATGAAAAAACATATTTATCGATCGATTATGATGGCACCAATTTGCAACAAAATTATCGTGACAGAACAGCCAATAGAATAGTTGATATTTGCAAATTAATTTTAAAATATTTGATTATTATAATATTAGAATATGGTTATATTTATTTTACTGTTAAACGTATTCATGTAATGGTATCATGAATGATTATATGCAATCGGAATGTATATCGGATAAAAATTAAACGTAATCATACATGCATTTCAACTATAATAGAACTGATACTAAATTTGTTATTAAAAATTATCAACGTCATTTTAGTAGGCATATCAAAATTGTACAACATCATTTTGAAGGAACAAGTTCATTAGTGTGGCCAATAAATTAAATACAGGTTTTATATCTAAGAAATGCATTAAAGCTAAGCAGACTGCTATTGAAAATGTGAAAATTTCATCATGTTAATAGTAATATTGAGGTTAGCAATTGTAAATAAAATTTTGCAGTGTAATGAGTGAGGGCCGGAGCCAAGTAGAAAGAGTGGTTGGTTATGTTTATTTACTCAGATCTGAGGTGGAAGTTTTCCAACTCCTATAGCTTTAAACAAGGGTAGAAAAAGCTGAGCTACCAACGGATGCTGATCGATGCAAGACATGTTGGCTTCCACTATATTTACTTTGAGTTGTGCCATACTGGTCAATAAAAGAGCCATCCTCATCAAAACAACCAGTGACATGTTCACTGCCATATTGATCTAGACTGTCATGACTACTTCCATCATCAATATGTTCAAGCTCTTTATACTCATGAATTACTGGCGCTTCCTGAGGTAATGGCGGTCGTTTAGCATCTTCTATCTCATTATTTTCATCTTTTGGTGACGGTGGACGCGGAGGCACTCTGTGGATTGTCAATTATGCAAGCAATTCATTATTAAATCTTTTCAAAAAAAGGATAAAGTATGAAATCATTTCAAAGTATTAATTATATCGATTGGGTAGAATTAACTTGAAGTTTACGCATAAAACACTTATAAATCGAGCATTGAATTGTATATAGTCCAGTCTTCAATTTAAAATTAATAATAGCTAATTCTTACCTATCCTTAAGTGAATTGACATGGCTAACACCTATAGGTAAAAAAAACATTTGATCTTAGCAAAAAATATTCCAATAAGTGAATGCAATGATTAAATCCGTATCACTGTTATACAGTCAAGATATCCATTAATTGGTTTCAATAGCCATAAATCGGATATTATTAATGTACACTTTATAAGTTTAGCCTTTTCTGAGCTCATAATTACTACAAGATCGGCAAGTTTACGCATTAATAATACTAATTATGCGTACAGTAATAAAAATTAATTTATTTAAGAGCTTAAATTTTGCCTTAAGTGGATATTGTCAAAAATTTAAACTCTAAAATTCGATTGCATACTCTCTAAACATAACAGAAATTAAGGTATATACAAAGATATCGTATATTGATATCTTCTTTATTGAAGAATAACTTAAATTTTAGCTAAAGTAGATACTGCTAAAAAATTTCAACTCTAAAATTTAATTGTATAGTCTCTAATCATAATAAAAATAATAGAAATTAGGACATATACTTATATTGCATAATGATACTTTATTTAAGAATAACTTAAATATGAACTAAAGTAGATAGTGTCAAAAGTTTCAACTCTAATGTTCCATTGTATATACGCTAAGCCTTATAGAAACTAGGTCATATACCGCAGAATGATATCATCCTCTTAAAATAAGTAATAGATAGTACCATATACACAGAAAGGTACCTGAATGTCTTTCCGATTTGCGACTCTTCATAACCAACGAACAGATAATGATAAGGACCAAAACAATTCCTGAAATTGCCACTAAGATGATAAACCAGACTTGCTGGTAAAAAGGTCTTTGCTCACCAACCGGTGCATCTATTAATTTTAAGAATCAAACATTTCATGGGCAAATTTAGTTCAGTCAATTCTTAAATCACTACTAACACTTATTACTACTTCATCTACACGAAAAAATTGATTTATGATTATCACAGTTACCGCTAGTGGAAATAGCGATGGAAGAGCTCGGACTTATGGCTAACGTAAAGTAATGTGCAACAACGCGAAGATCATATTGGGTTTTTGCTTTCAAGTTGGTATAAATTCCATCACGACTTGATCCACTGATTGTAGTTGAATTGCTCCAAGCCGATTGACTTGAGCCTATCAATAAGAACGTTACAAATTTGTTTCAATAAATGGAAGCAATACTGTCAAGGCAATTTTATTCTGATATTCTTCAATCCTAAATTTAGTTCGTGTACTTACTTCGATATTGTAAGATAAATGATGCTGGTGATCCTTGAATGACCCATTGAACTGTAGCATTATTATGATTAACAGAAACTGGTCGTAATCCTGTTGGAGTATATATGGTGCCTGAAATCGTCATTAAAATGAAGAGATTAGTTGAATTGTAGAGGTATTAGAATAGGATCTATTCTATGCATTGAATGATAGTTACTCTTGCTTCCTGCGGTAAAAAGGATCTGTGTTGATGGTTGGCTATCTCCTGCATCATTATAACCTCTAACCGTAAGAAAATATCTGACATTGATTGCAAGGCCTCGCAGATCATATTTAGTCACCAGGCCGACATCTCCATTATATGTTCTAGGTGGTGTAGTATCACTTCGAAATCGAATCTATTGTACATTATAAGGTGTTAAAGTAAAGCGGAAAAGTAATTAGAAGTAAAATTGACTCAGATGCGAAATTGTTTACTTTCACGACAATATCCATTAATTTATTACAAATTACTTCATGATTTATAATCGCTGACTTCAATAGATTCATTCCATAAACGAATATTATACTGTGTTTACTTTATTATAAGATTTATTTATCTGAAAAAAATAAACTAGATGCTGTATAAAATTACCTTGTATCCTTTTAAATTTCCGCCGGTATGATGCGCAGGAATTTCATTCCATGATATTCTTACTGCATCGGAGATAACCACAGAAGTAACATTGGTCGGACCTTGAGAAGGAGCTATAAGCGACAACATATATATATATAAAGATACGCATTAGATTATCTAATATTGTATTAAAGACACTATAAATAAAATCTTAACTTATTAGTCTAGTTAGTGAACTCTTCAATATCTGATCCAATCTTATTTACAGAATACTTTAGGAAAATGTTAATGATTAATGAAAACAATCTCGAAATTGACTTTTTCTTTTCATCATGTGCTGATTGACTACTTACGTAATGGCAGATATTAAGCAATTTATTAATTATTAAATCGGCATCTACTCCACTATTAAATGATTACTGAAGGTAATTGCCAAAGTTATGATATATGCTGCAACGTTATAGACAGAAACTGAAAATATTTTAAGCAATATATTACACAATTAAGGTAGGCAACTGAGAAAAAGCTCACTTTCCTATGTCATGTATAGCTATATCGCTCGTCACAAAATGGTAGGAATTTTTAGCAATATCAGTGCTGAAGTCATACGAAAAATTTGCTGCAGTATTGCAATGGGATCTCTGCATAGCTCATGCCTCCATGATCAATCTATAATCTAATAAATCGATGACTATTTTCTTTATTATTATTAACGTACCTGTTATACAGGTACAGGCTTTGATAGTAGCAATGGTTGCACTAACTCCATCTCTATTATAAGCTTGTATTTGGATGTCATAAAATTCATTTGGTAACAACTGTGATATAAAAGTGGTCGAAACGTTGCCAAGCCTTCGGTAGCTAGTGAACAAATTTGCACTACTTAAGCGATAACGTATCTGGTATCCTATGTTAGGCCCATTTTCATCTTCTCGACTTAATGGCTACATAAAAATAAGCCATGCAGTAATGTTATTACAGCCTATTTTAGATTGAAGAGCAACGACTAAATTTTAATTTATTTAAGGCCAATCTTACCTTCCAGAAAATGTTTAATGCGTTGCGAGCTGATCCACGAATTCTGCTATAAAGATTCTCCACCTTACCAGTAGGTACTTTAGATACCGAAATTTTCCAAATAGAGCAAGAAATACATAGCATAATTAGCCTTTCATTTCTATACTACATAGGATCGTAAATCTCTACTCTTAATATAATACTGATGTTACGAGAAAAGATATTTATCACCTTACCATTAGTGATAGCTTTTGTGCTAAAAGTTAAAAAGCTGTTAGTGGTATTTCGACCTATTCCATTAACTGCAACAACACGTAGCTGATAAATTACCCAGGGAGAAAAATTTAGGATGGCATAACGCGCTGCAGTATCACTAATTCTTTGAAATACTCGAACTTGATCGTAAAAATCAGACTTGTATTCGATAAGAAATTCTCTCAATGGGCTTCCATTATCGCCATTAGCAGGAAATTCCCAAGTCATGTTAGCCATAGTATTACTAATTCTATTAATACTTTGTAGAGAAGGAGCTACTGGAATATCTATCATCACAAAGATTTTAATGCGTTTAATATCAGAGGCTAACTAGCTATTATGATATACTATTTCTACGCTACAGCTAGAAAACAATTCAAAAAAGGCTTTACTAGCGATAATTTTAATAACTTTTACTATCATAGATCAATGTACGGAATAATCTGATATTAAAATTAAATTTACTATTGCAATTTAAGAAATGCTATAGTAGCAAGCTAACTTAGTTGTCGATTTCTTCTTTCGTATAACAATAAAGTATTTACTGGCAAGAAAAATAAAGGTAAAAGACCCTAGCCAAATCGACTAGCCATTAAATTAGGCTATATTGTAATGTTTGAAAAAAAGGAAGGATAACCCATTCCGTTACGATATGTAAACCTACCATTGAATAAAATAGTCGCAGTTTTGCTGTCAGAAAATGTCGTTAAGCCAGGAGTAGTAGCAGTTACTGTACAAGTAAAGTTACCACTTATGGATCTAATCCCATTAATAATACGTAGTTGATAATTTGGATATTGTTCAGTAAGTCGATAGATAGGATTTGTTTGGATAGTAACATTATTGCGATACCAAACCACTTGAATATTGGAACGAAGTCTAAAATCACTAGTCACATTGCAAGGTAGTGTTGCACTTTCTTGTATTCGATAGTTTCGATTAACAGGCCCATGAATAATCCTTGTTCTCTCTAAAGTAAAAGATGAAATCTAGTTATAGTACTCTATTTATCCTTTATTTTACTGAAATATCTTTCAATTTAAGCATATATTCTTTCCATCAAATAGGCGGATAGAAATGGATTAACGACCATGACGTAGTATGTACAGTAATGACATCTATTTTAAAAATTATTTAGCAAACTAACCATAAACTCGAAGTGATGCGGTACTCGTAATAGGATTGGGCGTAAATCGATTTGTAGCGGTACATTGATAACTTCCAGTATCATTAATCGCAACATTATGGATTCTTAAATTGCCATTGGATAGGGCAGTATATTTACTAGACGGGAATTGGATAACACTACCATTATAACGATAGATCATAGTAGGTTTTGGTCCACCATCAACTAAACATTCAAATTCTCCAATTTGACCAGTTTGAATGAGTTGATTTTGATTAAAAGGCTTAGTAAAAATGACGCCAAACGCTGCAATTACAAGCAAATAGTTTTATTAATTTTAATCTATCGCAGTGGTTCTAATGCGATTGAAATAATGCTTGAAGCAAGCAACTTTATGCAATATATAAAATTATACTGTAGCTAACTAGTAGAAATTAATGTAAGCTCTTGATAATTTATCCTAGCGCAATCGTTACGATGCCTTTGCTACTGTGTCCAAAAATCACCATGTAGTTAGTATGGCAAATTAAAGATGCGAGAGTTTAAGTAACGACTTCAATTTTATCCGACTGCCGACATTAAGAGGTATTGCTGCTATACATAAATTACATAGCGAGTAAGAAAAGTTCAGAAATAAGCTGAGCAGGGGAGTTACTAGAGATATTAAATATCTAAAGCTCATTAAGCTCTAAATGTAAGCGAAAGTACTTGGAATATGATTTACTCTCAGCATAGAAATAAATTATCATTTGGTAACTTCAGTTTTTAAGTTCGAAATTCTGGTAAAATTCTATTGAGGTTTAACGAATATCAAATGGATACATACGTACTTGGATATTTAATTTGATCTCTAAAGGGATTTTAGCATTTATATTTACTAACAATCTGCATTCTAAATGAGCTTTAGTTCTAGCTGGTCAGCGGTTACTCAATAAACTAACTGCTATTGAAAAGGATTGGATAGACAGCTTAAAGAGAATAATTTTATTATTAAAACTGTACTATTTTGGCCTTCTTCTAGCGTTGATGTTATTAGCTGAATATACAGTATATCGGATTGATAAGCATCCCTTCGATATACTATTAGAACAATGCTATTGACTTGTTGCATGTCGATGCTATTCACTAAACTTACATCTAACGAGTAAATAACCACTTGAAAATATAGTCCCATATTGATTAGTTGCTTGACATTGATAAACGCCAATATCGGTTGTTTCCAACTTGTTAAAGATAATATTGCCGTAACTATTGGTAAATGTAAATCGACGATCATTCCGAAGGATCTCACTTCCATTTCGATACCACCGATAGGTAATAGGAGGAGTGCCAACAGCTATACATGGCCAAGTAAAGCGATCCTCAATGGATGCAGTAGTATAAGTTAATGGATTACTCCAAGTTGGTAGCGCTATTGAGATCAGTGAATAGTATTATTATTTTCTTTTAGGAAATGATCATTACTTCTTTCATAATAGATTCTGCAGTTAAAATCATGTTGAGATGTAATAAACTACCCATAACATATAAAAATCTGACCAGAGTCATCATTATTTAATAAATATTCTCTACTGAGTACCCAAATATTGTCTTATATTTTATTCTAGCTTATGATCAGATAAAGCAAAGAAACAAATACAGAAGACGATTTATAGTAGCTAATACTGAATCAATCTATCCATTAGTTCTTACTGTGAATGATTAAGTTAATATCACGTCTTTGTTCTTGGGAGTTAAGTTTCATGACACAGCGATAAATGGCTCTATCTTGATATCCAATGTTTCGAATCAGAAGTCGTCGATTACCAAACTGTAACAAGTATTTACTATTATCAGAGACAATTGGTCGGCATTGATAGTTGAAAGGATTGTAGATACACCAACTGACAACTGGAGTAGGCCTAAAATCCAATTTATGAATGATACAAAATGGATTAAACTTTGAGTCTAGAATTGAAATAGATTTTTAATTATCTACGATAGAGATTTGATCATTTTTTGTCAAGTTATTTAAAATCAGAGCATGTTAGAATCGTTAATTTTAGTCTACATGCACAACGGTCACTTAATTATTTTCACGCTATTTAATACAGAATGAGGAATCATCTTATGTCCGGTTGTTTAAAATTAGAGACGGATAGAATTTGCAATCTATGCACTCGATAGATATTCGATTGTATATGCGCAATTTACCATAAAAAAGGAAATCATTTTGCGTCAAGTGGGTTAAAATCGGAGAATACTAAATCATTCGGTTTACTTCATACATGCAACGGATACTTGATTATCTCTGCACAATTTAATACTAAATGATAAATTATCTTGTTTCCGGTTGTTTAAAATTAGATGATAGAATTTACAGTTTATACAAGCAATAGATATTAATTGTTTATACGTAATTTGGTACAGAAATAGGGATCACCTTGTGTTTAGCTGTTTAAATTGGCGAATGACAAAAATTGCAATCGGTTATTTTATTTTATTAGTGTAATAAAAGTTTAATTGCCTAAGCACAGTTTAATAAAGAAATAGGAATCACATTGCACCGTATTTAGGTATTTAGTTGTTTATAGTAAAACTAGGGAATGATGGAAATTTGCAATCATTCACTTTATTCTATTCACATAACGAGAGAAATCATATTGGAAACCTTTAAAACTGAGATGATAATGATCAAAAGGAATCAGTTTTACTTTAATAATAGTGTTACGGTTTATGCCGTCGTTAAAGTAACTAGAGATATGCTGTATCTTGTGGGATATCATCTACCTGCGTTCAGTATATTGTCACTAAACCATTCTAGCTAAACTATGAATTGAGTAATCCATGGTTAAATCACAAATGAAGTGCCATGGCATTTTTAGATGGATAAATCAAGTGCCGATATTCTCTCATCAATTAAAATTAACCTAACTAGCTTTCAAATACTTAATTTATCCACATACCGTCCACCAGGGATGCATTCCAAACTTGCATCTCTTCCTAAGACTCCAGCTACGATGGAATTGCTAGTCCTAATAACTGTCAATGGACGATCTAAATTGGAAAAAGGAAAATAATAACATAAAACTTTGAGTTTATAAATCAATTTAAATCCTACATTGCCATTTTATTATGGAATAGCTTTAGTTAAAATAATTTTACCCAGACAAATCAAAGTAATATCATGTTACAGTAGTATAATTAGTATTAAATCAATTTCTTTTCTTGTCACAAGAATGTAGCTATAATATTCCTACTGCAACCGACGTTAAATCTTATTCAGACTTTGAATATAAAGTCAGTCTATCTAGGCAATAGATTAGTAAAGTTATTGCAAATAAAATGGTGTTGCTTTATCATGTTACTCAATTCGAGTGTATTTAATTTTAGATTAATTTAAACCTTGTATAGATATTTCCCTATTCTGTAGCTATAAAGTCGAAGTGATTTTACTCAGATCGATCAAAGTGATAGTTTATTATAGTAATATATATTGAAATCATTTTTCTTATACCGTAATAACGTGCCTATGTCATGGTGCTTATCAAATGATTTTCAAAAGGTAATAATTAATCTAATCAAGACTTGTACATAAAGTCAATCTATGTAAGATATAGCGATGTTTCCTCATAATCAGCTTGAATTCTTAGTATAACATTAGATGAATAAAGTTAAGGTAAGTAGTATGTTGTTATTTTATCATATTAGTCAACTTGAATGCTTACATTCTAGTATGAAGAAGTCGAGAATAAAGGGATGATATTCTTTGGTCATTATTTAAAATTATTCTACTAGTTTAATTAACAAGATTCTTACGATTTAACAATTTAACGTATCTAGATGTAAGATCTGCTCCAGTAAAGCTATCTTATTGAACTCTATCACTAAAAAATCGTTTTATATTTTGGTTCATGAAATTCTTATGATTTAATAATTTAATATATCTCGATATGATATCTTATTTATTGCGCGTTACCTTATTGAATTATATAAGATATAAATATGATAACAATTAGTGAAATATTAATGACATATCAACTGCCAGATGATATTTCTGACAAGAACAATTGCCATATTTCAAAATGAGAAAAAGAGTAAAATTAACCTTAAACCCATTGAACTGTAGTGGGCGATAAATATTACGAAAGTATTTCCGAAATAGAAACTCCTCGTATGAAGGAAAAGTTTTTTGACGAATTTGGCAATAACGAAAGAAGGATAAATTTTAATCAACATAACAGTGAATAACTGGATGTTATTGCAGATGGAACTGAAGTACCATGATTATTTACAGCATTTTTGTTGACTTTTCCACTAGTTTACGAAGGAAAGAGAATAGAAATGACCTACTGATGTGACAATACGATTATGCCCTGAGGGCAATTACTTTAAGATCTTATTTATTTTTTTTACACTAAAGTAGACAACTTTTGTCTACAACTATGAAAAGAATGAAATTTATCCCAAGAATTTTTATAGCCATTGGTTGTAAACTGTCAGTCAAATTATTATTATTCTCTTTATTATAAACTTACCACAAGTACTTCCACTACAGGCTGTATCCATGATATCGGTAATAGATAGTTACATATGAAATTAGAAATAATACAAAAAGGGTGAGAAATTAAGGATAAGGCAGTAGCGGAGATAACATATTGCATAAGTATTTTATCGGAATTAGTAAGCAATGTTTCATTAATAGAGGAGTGAAATAGACATAACGCATTGATAGATTAAGCTATATCTAAAGTTAATATCGATATTACCTTTACCGTTGACCGTTAATACATTTAGTGATCCACGACTACGTCTTATGTCGCCAGAAACGACTAATGTTGCTTCACATGTATAATTTAAGTTATCTAAAAGAAGTAAATTGGAAAAAACTATATCCCCGTTGAGGGCAACACTTCGTCGTCCATCATTGCCAAATTCAATGGCTTGAAACGAATTCAATCCCATTTTTTTCCTCCAATTAATACTTAGTGATAGTCCAGGTATTGATTGATAGTTCGATGGTATCACTAAGGGCTCATATTGATCTTTATTCAAGTTTTTTTGGGTTTTGTCAGTAAAAGGTGAAGCAACTAGTGAGAAATAATCAAGCATGAGATCTATTAGTCCAATTAGAAAGGCTAAATCCAAAAGGCATACTTTATTCAACCAAGCATCCTGTACGAATAAATAAATCCAATTTTTTAATCTATATCAAATTTTGTAATTATCAGTAAGAGCTACTACAAGAAAAACGACAGTTTTAGTAGTCCCTGCAGTAATTAGTTACATTAGAAAAATTGAAATCAAAAGTAGATAGACATGATCTAATATCATATACGAGTGAAAAATTCAAGCATAGTTTATATTGAACGGTAGAATAATATATTTTTAGCTATCATTAATACATTAAAAACGATTGAAATCAAAGGACATGACCATGATTAAATATCAAGTATAAATGAGTAAATCTAAGTTTTATATCAAATTATGCAGGTGTAATTAGTTGCATCTTAAAATTGAAAGTAAAAGGGTATAGTCTTAATCTAAGATTATGTAGGAATGAATAAATGCGAGTTTGCTTTAAGCGAATTATGTAACTGTCATTGCTTTCCAAATATAATTTAGAATATCTATTAAAGATTTGATTGTTGTACGGCAATTCCTAGCTATAGGCTCGATCAGAAAAGTATAAAATTGGCGTTATGTAATAACTGCAAGAAGAATCAGTTTAGGGAACAGAGAATTTCATTTAATCGTACGAGAGATGATTTAACAACTCAATTGCATAACATTAGCTATGTTAGCTTCTTCGTAACTTAATATAGAGGAATTCAAATTAATTCTTTTTGGCAGAGGGGAACTATAAATTTAACTATAAGCAAGACTGGTAATAGTATACTTCTATGGACGAGTATAGAACGTTATTTGTCGGAGAGATTCTTTAGTATAGAATAGCTCCGCTATGATATCAGAAACTTTTCTAAATAGAATATCTTTAAATGGTAAAAGTAAAATAATCCGTACATTTTAGGGTCGATACATTCGGATAAATGTCGTACTAAAATTAAAAATTAAGACTAATGCTCTTTATCCAAGGCAGGTAAACATTATTATTTACTGATATGAATTTATACACCAGCTTGGCTAGCAGCTAGCTTATTATACTAGAAAGGACATCCATTAAAAAGGCACAGGAAGTGAAGATAGTAAATGAGTGCTATTAATGAATCATGTCATCTTAAAATGATGGCTTTACTCATAACGACAGTATAGTCATAATTTTAGATGATGAAAAATTTATTCTAATATCGCCTGGATTTATTATTTTTTTATCAATTTATTATAGTATAATAACTACGCTTTTCATTTATGAAATTCAAAAGTTTAACAAAACGAGAAAATGATGAAGAATAGAATTAAAAATTAAAATTAAAAGTAGTAAAGTACGAGACTGCATTGCATAAATTAAACTTACGTCCAGAAATTAATCGAGCAAGTTTAGAGGTAATGGTTCCATTAGCATTGGTGGCAGTACATCGATAATCATTGACTTCACCTTGACTAAAGAAATAACCATCACTATTTCTTAAGCTAATAGTTAGCTTGGTTGTACGGTGATATGAATGGTATCGATTATTTGAATTGTTATGAACTAGCTGGTTTCCCCGTAACCAGTTGTAAGACCAAGGAAAATTTAGCATAGGTTCGGCTTGACATTCCAGCACTGCTTCGATAGTGCCTCCCATAATGATCACATCGGAAGGTTGCTTCGCAAACGTATAATCTATACGCGAGAAACCCAAAAGAAACAAGAACATTTATTTCCTTCTAATTTAAATTAGGTTGACTATAAAATTTTATTAAACTAGCGAAAGAAATAGATAAAATTAATTTTAATGACCCTATTTCCAAAGTATTTCTTTCATGCCTACTATAAAGTGGTGAAATCGATAACAGAGTTTAAAGCTTTACGAATAATGTATAGTACGCGTATACAAATGTCACGAATAGTTTATCAAATGATAATTAATCACAATTTTTGAACACTATTTATGAACAGACGTATGGGCTAAATCGAATAAACAAAAACATCCTAAAATTCATTCAGTGGAGATATCTTCGTCATGCAATTATAATTCTGAAAATCGATTTTATACCATACTACCTTCTCGTACCTAAAAATGAATGATGCTTTAAATCCTATCGAAATAATATTACTATCTCTAGGTAAAGGCCTCTATTTAATTAATTAATCACGTATATAAAATTATGCTGACTTTTACATTCATTAGCCCTCAATTAATCTTGTTAGCTAAATTAAGCATGTAACCATGATTGCCTTAGCTTTTATTCTAACCTGCTGAATAGATTACAGGTAAGTTAGCACTCATTCCAAGTAGATAGATCCCTAAGATCCATAGAGCCATCGCTAATAATTGAATTATGTTGCTGTAGATCGATAGATAAAACTCCTCCAAATTAATGGATACAATTGATGTACTTCTGATACACTACAAATTTCTTCGCTTCTGTGGTTAATCTATAGTTACATTATTGATTGGAAAAGAACATGAATTTACAGTTAGTAGTGATAAACATATATTATAATATAGTTTTAGTTACAATCTTACAGAGATGAGATCATTAAAATCGGATAAGCCTTGTAATCGATATGATAAACATTAATAAGCTAAATCATGCTAGTTTTAAACATGACAGGAGAAAAAATAAAGTAGTTAAAAAATACTAAAGAAATTATGGTGAAAAAGCATGTGAAAAATATTCTAACAGCTTTCAAAATTCATAATAAAATGAAAATTATACTATTGAAAATAAGATTGTCGATATACGTTTATTTTAAATGTCAATGCTACTCGTACGTCGAGATCTACAGAAGCATCAAGAATTTAATTAACGTCGAGGATATCTGAAAATGAGATAGATTTTGCTGGCAATATCGTGCTAAGGATGCTGATTCTTGTAATGCGGTACTTCTCAAAGAATAAAAGCTGTACAACAGTATATTGCGGTATCTTTTAAAGCTTGACCAAGAACGAAGTCGTATTAGTAAATCAGAAACAGACAAAGATTTATATGAATATCCGTAAGACTATTTGCTTCTATAATGTTGCCATTTACTGTGCATACTGGTATCATTTAATTTCCGTCCTTTTTAAAAAATAGGGTGGATATACGTTATCTATGTAATAATAACAAAAGTGATAGAGAAGATGGATCCTGGATACGCAATTTATGATGAAGAGTGTTGTTCTATCTTTTAACATTGATCATCCTTTCACAATTTAAAATATGGATTTAACTATGTAGATAATTTAGCCGTATCTTGTTTACACCGCAATGCTCAGAGAAAGAGATCCTGTATATTGTATGCAAGATATTAATCGTCGGTGTTGCTGTTTCTACTTTTTAACATTGGTCTTCCGTTCATAATTGAAATTTGATTGACTATGTGGATAACTTAGCTACTGTACATCTTGTATATTAAATTTGACGCAATACTATAATTATATAGAGGAAGAACCCCTAGATATATGCAATTGATTGATAATCATGGGTGTTATTTTTATCTAGTGATATTCGTCATCTTTACATAAGCAATTTGGGTTGAGAATGTCAATAATTTAGCTATATCTAGTATACCGGGTATACTATAATATTCATACCTCTGAAGAGGAAAGATCATAGGTATATGCAATTTACCGGAAATCATGGGTATTGCATCTATTAACATTAGTTATCCTTTCCTAATGGAATTACATGGAATATATAGATAATTTAGCTATATTTTGCCTACTGGATTCAGCGTAACAGTCATTTAGAGGAAGAATCCTAGATATACGCAATTTATTGATGATCATGGGTGTTACTTCTATCTTTTAATGTTAGTCATCTTTTCATAATTAAAACAGTTAGATGGAAAATATGGATAATTTAGCTCTATATTTATGTGCCGGGTATATCGTAATAGTCAAATAGAGGAAGGACTTTAGATATGAGTTGTATATGCAATTTATCGATAATTACGGGTGCATGTCTATCTTTTAACATTGGTCATCCTTCCATTATTAAAATTAGACTGAATAGGTAGTTTAACTATATCTTGCCTCTATCGCCCTGTTTATGAAGTAGTTTACATGGTTATTGACGCTTGAAAATTACTCATACATGGAAAGGTAGTGTGCGCTATACTGGAAGCGAAATATAGTCCCGAGTGCTTTAATAGGATTTCAATTTTCTTCATCTTAGCCGGCTTAATATCCTTCTATCAATTATAATATAGACAGGCTACTGATGATAAAAGCCACTCACGTTTAGAAAGTGATCCTCTTAAACATTAGAAATAAAATAAGAATATTAAAAATTGAAAGGCGATTTCATTTTTTCTAATTATTAGTTCGAATAAAGTACTTCAGGCGATGTGTTAATGACAATTTCAATTTACTTCCTTCTTTAAAAAATAAAAATGGAGTATATCTACAACATAGTATGCTAAGATGAGGATAATAACTACCGATTAGTATAAAACAGCAAGTGCTAATACTTCTAAAATATGATTACTTTACAATATGAAGTATTCTTAATGGCTGTGTGACTTCTAATCGTTAAATAACTCGAATTTAATTATTTATGAATAGAAGCGAGAAGAATCATTTTTCTGCATCTTCAAATCAATGTTAATAAATCGCATTTTATTCTATAAGATCATGGAAGGGTATAGAAAGTAAATTGTTAAAAAATTTGAGGTGGAAAAGTCTATGATGGCAAAGGAAGTCATAACACAGCTATGGTATACTCGTACGGTACTAGCTAGAAATGAATGCATGCCAGTTTTGAAATGATGACAGGTAATCCATTTTACAGATGGTGACAATTTTATAATATCTATCCCAATTAGCAGGTAAGATTACAATTTAGAATTGTATTGCAATCATAATTCATCGTGAATCTTTGCCATACTTCTTCTTACTAAGAACTCTATTTTGGATAGGAGCTGACTGTAGTAGAAGATTGAAATAATGAAATTTGGTTACTACTAAGGTAAAATCATAACTCATTTTTGAAAAATATTTGAGTTTCACTTGTACCACTAAGTAGATTATTTTAATGTTGAAATTATCCAACGAATCTATATGGACCATGTTGTTTGTACTCTTAATAGAAAATGCCATGATGGAGTGTTGTTGAGTCTTGGAGATAGAAAAGTAGTATTTGAGTAATGAATGAATTCAAAGCTTAAAAAAATATTTTCTTTTCATTCAAAAGCGATGCGTAACTCAATAGCGGTAAATTAGTGTTAACTGAAACTAAGTTCAAATGTAATCAAAGATTATATTAGATTAATCATATTTTTAATAACATGATGATCTTGAAGCTATTGGATGGATTAGATAGGTGATCGATAGCCCATACGCGAAATGTGTTTTAGTAAGCTACAGCACAAATTAAACATTTCTGGAATGCAATCGTGAGATTGTTTGAAGATTGTAAGGACAGTAAGAAAAAGATTGCCAGAGAAAATGATATCAATCAACAGGGATAACTCGATGTAGTTCGATATTTTGGATAGTAAAGGAAATTCTATAAAATTCTTCTCTAGCTAAGCGTTGTACCAAGAATTGAATTGGTTTTATAAACTTACCGTCAAGGCTAATTTGATGAGAGGTTATACTAGATTTGAAGAAGATAGAGGTCAATTTATTGAAGTTGTAACGGTCGAAGATGAAAAATTATTATGCAATAAAATCAGTTAGATTAGTGGAATTTAATGGTCATGACTAACTAAGTTAGACAGTATGACGATTGGAAGACTTTGAATTGATTGAAGAATAATCGAATGGTTAATAAAATATGAAATTAATTTAAGTTGGGTTCAATTTAAAGCGTATTGATTTTAACCAATGATTGAATAATGCTATTCACTTGTTATTTCAATGGTTGAAAATCAATGAAAAGTAAACTAGCAGATGGTGTTTTTTCTCTTTTTATTGAAATTTAGATAATTGGATTATGAATAAAATCTTGAAGTATAAGCCTCCATTAGTCAGTTGAACGCTTGTAGGTAACTTTATTACCTTTCAGTAACGCCGGTGATTAGAAAGGAAATGACTCAGACAAACAACGCCTAATCAATTAACAGGGTTATTTTTATTTCTCTTTCTTCTTCCTTTTCTATCTTATACCATCAAATTAAGCTACTGCTAGAGTAGGAGTCCTCTTTTGCTATTCCTATCAAAAGACATTCCTAATAAATGACAATATAACTAACCAATAAGAACAATAGATTTTTCTATAACACCAGCTATTGACTTATTCAAAATCAACCTGTCAAAAAGTCAAAATGATTATGCCAAGGAGAAAGCCTAACGGGTCCTTGATGACACAATAGCGATACACTAGTGTATTTATGAAGAAGGGGATATCGAATGGCAATGAGAATAACATTAAAACCTTGATGAGATCCATTGATTTACAACTGAATTGATTTTACCCCTAGTCATGTTGCAAGGTATTTCTTTTCTACAGGAAAGTATCATTTGCTAATCTATCAATTACATGTAATTTGATGAAAATTGGGCTAATCGTTTCAACCTTAAATGAATATTTAATAATTTTATAATCCTTAAACTAAAGTAATCAAAAGTGAGCCCCTTCCTAGTTTAACATTAATGACTCCTATAGTCACGATTGAGACGGGCTACTTTTGAGTAAATCGAAAGTAACTGGCTAATTTAGGTCATTCCGGGAGTTTAGTAATAGTAACCATCATCTACATTCTTTTCAGTCGGAGACGTATATTGCAAAAATTGCTTCTCGTATATTGACGAATTTTTACTGAAGCTATTTCTGAAATTAGTGCATAACAAAAAGGTAGTCATCTTATTTTATCAGTATATGGGGTCAATATTTCTCGATTTTAAAATCTTTTGTCTCATGCTAGAGGTAAACTGCTATGGAGTAAATCGAAAGTTGCCGGCTAATGTTAGTTATACCGTCAGCTTCGTGACAGTCATCATCGTCTAACTTTTTTGAGCCCGAGAATGGCATGTTGTGCATGTTCTAGAACTACTCATGCATGATGTAAATCTTTATATAAACTATTCCTTAGATTGAATAGCAAAATAATAGCCATTGCTTGAGTATACAATCTCTACTTTATGCTAGAGGTAAACTGCTAGAGAATAATCGAAAGCTGCCAGCTAATTTTGGTCATTCCGTCAGTTCTGTGATAGTCATCATCATCTAAACTCTTTTAGCATGAGAATGGCATGTTGTGTATACTCTAAGACTGCTCACACATGAATTGAATCTTTATTTAAACTATTCCTTAAACTCAATAACAAAATGATGGTTATTTCTAGATTGTAAAATTCTCTATCGCCTGCAAGAGGTAAACTGTTGTGGAGTA